TTGGAGACCCATTCATAGTGCTTATAGTGGCTATCATCCTCCTGTTCACTGGCATAGAATCCCAACGAGTGGGAGAACTCTTCCTTCCAATCTGTCAAGGACTTCTTTATATAAAGCTGGGCATAGTTGTAGCCACCTTTGGTGTAGAGCTGTAGGCTGGCAGCTGCTAACATTGGTGGAAATAACTCTGCTGGTGCTGTTAAACTGCGTCCCTTTCCAGATTATGGAATGACGATTTCCCTTTGGGCCAGCTTTGCTATCGAACTCGTAGACAATCGGTTGTGGCTGAAGGCCACGATCTAACACTCCCCAAGTCACGCATCCCTCCGGAACTGACTCCTTGGGGAACTCCGATTCCCAGAACCCCCATAGTGATCACGTCACACCACCAAAATGACAACATCTGTCAGAGCAAATCCGGACAGCAAAATAAAGCGATAACAGCCAGCCCCTTTAGACAAGCTTTCAGTGGTCCTACGTTCCAGGTGTGTTTTCATGTGTATGTTGGCTTGCCACAGTTTGTTTTGGCATGAATATTTGAATATGGGCAGCAATGCGAGAGCATTGCAATGATTACTTGTCCTGTTTTGCCCTTGCTGCATAAACACAGGCATGTGATTTATAAGCATAGTAGAGAGCTCCAATAATAAGCATGTTTTTATTAACTTAGCCATAGTGTTTTTATTATCTATTGTAAACTCTGATCCAAATGCTGAGCCTGTCATTAGAAAAATACAAAAACATATGCCTAAATGTGGACCTTAGAGAGACCTTAGAGAGCCATGTGAAAGCCGTGTGACAGTGTTGACAACATGCATATATATATATATATATATATATATATATATATATATATATATATATATATATATATATATACATACATATGCAAAAGTGGGTGCCCCTGCTCGAAGTACATGTTTTGTTGATTTTCCATGTTTTCTATTCTAATAAACTGAAGATAGTTTGATTTGTTTTTTAGTCTCTACATAGTTCTGTATGTGTTATTTCATATTTTTGATTTCTAAACTATCATTCTGTAATAGTAACAATGAAAAACACTTCTATGAGTAGGCACATCTGAATTTTTGTCTGGTAATACACTTACACCAATGGGTCAAAACATCATGATCCCCCACCTAATGTGCTGTTGGTCCTCTATGTGCCATCAAAACAGCTCTGGCCCACCAAGGCATGAACTTCACAAGACCTTTAGAGGTGCCGTGTAGTATCTGGCACTAAGACGTTAGCAGCAGATCCTTTAAGTCCTCTAAGTTGTGAAGTGGACTTGCTGCAGATCAGACTTTTTGTTCCAGCACATCCCAAAGATGCTCAATAGGACTGAGATCTAGAGAATTTGGAGGCCAGGGCAACACCTTGAACTATTCTTCATGTTTCTCAAACAATTAAACATGCAGTGTTGCAGGTGGATTATCCTGCTGAAAGAGGCCACTGGTATCAGGGAATACCATTGCCATGAAGGGATGCACTTGCTCCACAATGATAGCTGGTACGTGTCAAATTGACCCAAAGTTTCCCAGCAGAGCATTGCCCAGAGCATCACACTCCATTGGCTTGTCTTCTTCACACATTGCATCCTGGTGCCATCACTTTCACAGGTAAACGACATACATGTAACCAGCTGTCTCCATGATGTAAAGGAAAATGGGATTTATTAGACCAGGTGACCTTTTCCATTGCTCCAAAGTCCAGTTATGATGCCTGTGGGCCCATCGTAGGTGCTTTCGACAGTGGACAGGGGTCAGCATGGGCACTCTGACCAGTCTGTGGCTATGCAGCCCCTAGGCGCGATGCACTGTGTGTTGTGAAACATTCTCCCCATCTGTGACTTGTGCCACAGTTGCCCTTCTGTCAGTTCAGACCAGACAGTATAGCCTTGATTGCCCATTGCCCTAATTGATGAGCCTTGGACGCCCAACACCCTGTTGCCGGTTCATGGTTTGTCCTTCCTCGGATCATTCATTCCACAGGACACACCCCGCAAGCCTTGCCATGTCATGGATGCTTGGGCCCAGTTATCTGGGCCTTGTAAAAGTCGCTCAGGTTATCACGCCAGCCCATTTCTCCCACATAGCGTACTGTTTGCTTACAGCCTAATGTATCCCAGACCTTGACATGTTGTTGTGAGATAAATGTTGTTCGCCTTGTCTGTGAGTGGTCATAATGTTTTGGCTCATTGGTGTACAGTCGTATGCAAAGGTTTGAACACCAATCAAAATATTTGTTTTTGTTGAGTTTAACATATTGGGGAAAAAATACATAAAATATCTGTATAAAAATGGGCCAGAACTTTTGCACAAGCAATGTTGAATTTTTTTCCCCAATATGTTAAAATCAGCAAATAAACAGTAACTGTCTGTATGGCCAAAAGTACGTGGACACCTGGCCATCACACCTATATGAGCTCAGTGGACTTTTAGACATTTGGACATTTTTGGACATTCCAAAACCATGGGCATTAATATGGAATTGACCTCCATTGTTCTACGAAGGCTTTCGTCGAGACTTCAGAGTGTGTCTGTGGGGCGTGGTGAACAATCAGCATTCCAGTTCTTCCCAAAGCTGTTCACTGGAGTTGAGGTCAGGGCCGCTGGAGTTCCTCCAAACCAAACTCATCAAACCATGTCTTTATGGGTCTCGCTTTGTGTACAGAGGTACAGTCATGCTGGAACAGGAAAGGGCCTTCCCCAAAACTGGTGCCACAAAGTTGGGAGCATATAATTGTATAAAATGGCTTTGTATGCTATAGCATTAACATGACCCTTCACTGGTACTAAGGAGCCGAGCCCAAACCCTGAAAAGCAGCCCTGTAACTTAACAGACCATTATCCCTTCTCCACCAAGCTTCACTACTGGCACAATGCATTTCCCTAGGTTCTCCTGGCATCTGCCAAACCCGGATTTGTCCATCAGACTGCCAGATAGTGAAGCACGATTCTTCACTCCAGACATATTTCCACTGCTCCGGAGTCTAGTAGACGTTTTTTTTTGCACCACTCCAGCCGATGCTTGGCATTGCACACAGTGCAATCTTAGGCTTTTGTGCAGCTGCTCGGCCATAGAAACAGATTCCATGAAGCACATGGGTTCTTGTACTGATTTTGCTTCCATATTTTTACACATTGGACAAAACAAAACTACTTGCAAAAGACTTTTGCACAAGCCACATTTCTTGTTTTTTTCCCACTATGTTAATTTCAGCAAATGAACAGTAATTGCACATTATAAGGTGCAGAAGTGTGTTCTCTGTAGAGGATGTTTACTTATTTTAACCAGTGGTGGACGAAGTACACAAATCATGTACTTGAGTTAGAGATACCAGAGGTCAAATATTACTCCAGTAAAAGTATCGCAAGTGAAAGTACGAAAAGATTAATTATGACTCTGATGTCCTATTATCATTTCTGTAACAAGACTCTGCTTCATTAACTCATTTTAGGTGAAAATACTCCAGTGTCACTATTGGTACATCAGTCTTTTAACAGAATTTCATTAATTAGTCTGACACTGATGTCTATTAAAACTATCAGCACAAAACACTGAAGGCAAACAATTTCCATTAGGTAGAACCGAGTGGCTCTGAAATAACTTTTTAAAAACAAGCAAAGTTTCAGTTTAAGATTTATTTGCAACTTAGCTACAAGTTTAAGTTTAATAAAAACTGGAGAATAAGAACAGGTTCACAAATGAGTTTTCCTTTACTGTATTGCATCTGTAGGTCTTTGTTCATAAACATAAACTAGCAAAAATAAATTTACTATAAAATGAAATAGTGTTTGTATAAATTCAGAAAAAAGACATCAGTCACAACTGCATATGTGTTCATATTTCTATATTGTGGTCTATTTACACAAATTTGGGTTAGTTCCATCATTTATGTTGGAATAGACAATTTTACGCTGATGCACTGATGTAGAATCGTATGATTACACTGGGTCTGTATGTCCAACAGGTCAAAACAAGCTCAAAACAAAGTGCATGCTGTACTCTGATTGGTCTTCTTGCTTCACTTATTTCATTTTGACATGTTACTTTTTTATACACACATAATCCAAAAGGAACAACAGATTTCAAATAATGTAGTAAAAAGTAAGATATTTGACTTTGAAATGTAGTGGAGTGAAAGTAAAAAGTCGCCCAAAATGGAAATATTTCAGTAAAGTACAGATACATGAAAAAACTACTTAAGTACAGTAATGAATTACGTTTACTTAGTTACTGTCCACCACTGATTTTAACTTCAACAAAACGTGATTTGACCATGGGCGTCCAAACTTATCCACACATGTATATACAAAAAATGAAACTGCACAAAACTTTTAGTTTCATATTAAATACTTTATTTAAATATAAGGCATATAAAATAGTAACTGGATTCCCTTTCACAGTGCAAACGCTCAAGTCTACAGTATAAAACATTCTCAGTAGTATCTTTACTATTTACATATGGTTACCACAGCTATAGTCTGGCTGAATGCAGAGACACAAAATACTGAAAATAATTGTATTATATTCATAATAAAAACAATTAATTGTAAAACAAACATTGTGTTCCCTGCGGTTCACATAAGCAGATTACACAGGTGTTGAAGCAGCTTATTTGATGGAGGATACAGACAATAACAGACATCAAGCACTTTGCACTCTTTCCAGGTACATGCTCATCCTGCAGATGCCCAATCAGAAAACATGAAACCCAACGGACAGTATCAGTAAGTAAAGTCTTATTAACCCAAAAGACATCTTGTAAAAAGCTAAAATGCATCAGTGAAAAAGAATCATTTTACATTCATTGTCAGTGACCCTCAGTCTGTCTCTCTCTCTCTCACTCTCTCTCTCTTTCTCTCTCACAGTCTCTCTCTCATTCTCTCTCTCTCTCTCTCCCTCTCTCTCTCCCTCACTGTCTCTCTCTCTCTCTCACTCTCTCTCTCTCACTATCTCTCACAGTCTCTCTCTCATTCTCTCTCTCTCTCTCTCTCTCTCTCTCTCCCTCTCTCTCTCTCTCTCTCTCACAGTCTCTGTTGTGTATCACATCCCAGGAACTCCACTCTCAGAGCGATGTCGTTAATCCAGCCTTTAGGATGAATGCGAATGAACCTTGTGAACAGTGGAGGCTCGAACAGGTTCAGTCTCTCTTCTTTATGGTCAATGTTTCCATCAAAGATCTATAGAGAAACATAAACATACATAAATATATACAAAAGTCTCAACAACTCTGGTAAAATTACATATTCTGTTGATTTTCTAAAGGCCACCACACACCAGACGTGCCACATCACGTCGCGATCGGACAGCATCACATAGCATAGCGAACACTATACAATGCTTAATTACTCAGTGTTTAGAAATATGTTAATATTTCTTATAATAATCTTACAACAATCTCAAAATGAGAAAGATGAGACATATCAACTACATTTAAGATGATTTGCCAAGACATCATGTTTTACAACGTAGGCAGTGGCCTCAACTAATTTGAAAATGTACCTCCACAGGGCCCCTTCTTTTAGACCCCCACAATCACTACATCCACTCCTGAACCCAGTAAATGGACCCCACCCAGTGCAAAGTGTCTGTGGACCGTCTGTAATTGGCGCCTCTTTTAGTAAATCTGCCCCAAACTCTCTCTTACATACACACACCTTCTCTCGTTTGGTTCCCTGCTCGGTGACGGTGGACCAGGTGCGTCCATCGTCGCTAACAGAGACCGTAAACTCTGTGACCATCATGTGTTTTAGCATGGATTTGGCTCCCTGTGTCAGAATACCCGTCACTCTCTTCACCACCGCAAAGTCCACCTGCAACCACTCGTGAGGGTTATTGCTCTGAAAGAGAGAGAGAGAGGGAGAGGGGGAGAGAGGGAAGGTTAGACATAACACTACATATAGATCCATTCAACTAATACGTTGTCCAAATCAAGGATTTGTAATAATGAAGATTCATAAATATTTAGTTAAATATAACAAATCCAACCACACAATCTGTGTGGAAAGCATTCCAACTGTGTTGTTACATGTGTATATCTATATGTTCTGTATGTGTGTCTATATGTGTATTTTTTACCATACCTATATCTTCCACTGACCACAACTTTTTTTGTGGATGAAAACTGACAGTATTAAAAACAAACTGTCTTTGAAACAATGTTCAAGGCTTATTTGCTCTTTTTTTTTCTTTCATTTGCAACAAAAAAAATCCCTTAATAAAACATTTGAGGTCCTGAGTAGCATCATCTAAGCATGTCCCCTCCACTTTTTAAAATTACACAAGGTCATTTTTGGGGTCATGGGATGGTTGTGAAAAAAATTACACAGCTGAGTTGTGAAAGAGCTGGCTGGTATCAACCAGAGGCATAGCCTAGGGGTGGTCGGGGTGGTCGGGGTGGCCAGTGCCACCCTCAAATGAAGCTTGGCCGCCCTTCTGGCCACCCCACTTCATCAATAAATCATTAATAAAACATCAGTTATACTTTATGGTGAAAATCTGCCATCGGGGTAGTTACCAATCAATAATGAAACCCTGATGACGCTGCACTTATTAATCAGCATATCTTGCTGTGATAGGCTAATTTACTCAGCAAAGCTGCTCTGTGAGCTACATTATAGTTAAATGTATGCATGAGTTGTAGGTTAGCTTATACCTATATGAATGCAACCTAAATGAATAGCCTCTACAGCCTGTCTATATGAACTGTTTTTATTAAAGTTGTGCACTGAAAAAAGTGATGCATTTCATTTACTTGATTCAAATACATCATTTCCTCATGAATAACCAAAATCTTACATCAGTACAGTTTTGTCTTTCAGTTTACTTTCAGCAATACTTATCTTGATGTAATATTTTATTCATGTGGAAATGATTGACAGATTTAGTTATGTACAGAGCCAATTACATGTCATTTTAATAGAGTGATGATTTATTTATTTATATATTTATTTATTTATTTATTTATTTATTTATTTTCTTAGCAGTGTCCCACCCCAATAAAAACTCTGGGTCTAACCTCTAAAAGTTCTAGCTACACTCCTAAAATCATCTATTATGCAGCTGCCAGTTACATTCAAAAACTCAAAAGTCTAAATAGATTTTTGTTTTGATTAGTTATAGTCAGTAACGACAAAATGAAAAAAACTAACCTGTCCTGAAATTGTTTTCAACACTTCTTTAATGTACTATATTTATTTGCTAACTCATACCATAACAGTTATAAAAAGTTCCTTCTTTTTTCTTAATTATCATCATACTTATTATTATTGGGACATTTTGCAAAAATATTTACAACATGCAGATCAGACAAAGGATTTTAGTGACACAGTGTAAAAAAAAATAATTGTATAGGCAACAAAATTGAATTTCTGCATTTCCTCTGATGTGTTTGATATTATTACTCCTGTTAAAATTATTATTATTAGTTTTTGTATTAGGATTGATATGTAAAGCATGGGATATCAATATGATAAGTGTAACTGTAGGCATCCTTTGTTTACACAGTTTTATGTTTGAATTGTTGTATGTATGGCTATAACCCCCCATTTGTCAGACCAAATTTGCAACCCAGTTTATAAGTGAAAACAAATTGCATCCTCTATAGCAAGCAGACTTAAATATAGCACTTTTTGCACAGTGCACAATTTCTATTTATTCACTGTGTTTAACATATTGAGGGAAAAAACATGTTCTGTGTTCTTATTTGCAACACTGAATTTGACCAAACTTTTGCAAATGACTGTCCATAAACATTGATAAAGCCAATATATCATTTCAAGGTGTCGTGGCAACCCAATCTCAGAAGAAATCTGAGTCACCTGACATACGTGTTACGTCAGCTTGACATCGAAGTTGAAAAGCATTATGACAAATGATGTCTATTGAAGTCTGTATAAATGCTTACATAGGTTTATGTCAGTTGTTATGAAGGGTTTATGCAGATGTCATGCCTTATAGAAACTGCCACCACCATGTTTTTAGAACTGGTGGTAACACTTTCTATGAATGTCACCTTTGTAAGCATCTATAAACACATTCATAGCATGTTATAATGCATTCATAAGACATTATAAACATAGCTATAAATATTTATAAAAATGCATTATATGTTATAGCCATGTTTATTATGCATTATTGTTAACATAATACATTATAAGTACTGATCTTAACAAATTATAAGAGCTCATAAGTTGTATTTATCCGCTCTAAGTAAAGTGAAGCATACTGTACTAAAGCCTCCTCCAGTGGCTTTAGTACAGAGTGAGGCTTCAAGTTGAAGTATTTACTGAAGAATTTACTGACCACTAAAACATACACAGTAAAGCACATTACAGGCTTCAAATGTCAGAGTTTAAACTAGTGCTGCCATCAGTGTTTTACCCAATGTGGGAAAGGTAATGTACACCACCGTTAGCTTGGTATTTGTCCTTTTTTATGCTCTCCAAGCTGGGACTGACTCTTTGGCACTGACATTATAACATGTTATTAACACTATTTATAATGCATTATATAAACAATTCATAATGTATAATAAACATGGCTATAAAATGTAATTCAGTGTAATTGTAAAAAAAAAATTATAAATATTTATAACCATGTTTATAATGCCTTATGAATACATTATAACATGTTATAAATGTGTTTATAGATGCTTACAAATGTGACATTCATTGAAAGTGTTACCCTGGTTTGGTCTCTGACATGTTTTAGCCCATTGAACCAGAGGTCTAACTCAGGACATTGTGTCCAGTCTTGAATTTTCTGATCACTGGCGTTTAAATAAAATGTTGGTGCAATTGATTGGTCACCTACCAGCGATTACAACATCGATGATTGCAGATTACCTTCCAGGAACTACAACCTTCAGAGTCTGTGTGTGGGTTCACATTTCAATTGCTCACTGTTATAACTATTGAACGATGATATTAGCTTTATAGAAATTACTGAATGTATTTTATGGTAGTTATAGAATAATTAGTCTTAAGATTAATAGCAGAATAATAAGCCTGTAGTAAGTGTGAGTTAAGTGTGTAAGCCTACTTGTAATTGGCATTGTGCACAGATTTTTATCAAAACCACATGGCACCAAATGGAAACAGCTCATAAATCTAGGAGGCGGGTCTGTGTGTGTGGGGGAAGTGGAAAAGTGGAAAGAGTGATAACTAACACACAGCTCTGAGAGTGAGACAATGGCTGAGCGTCTCACTCCCACGCAGACAGACAGACAGAGGAAACTCACCACAATGGTGTTTAACCGAGCAGCTGCTGGCCAGGCCAGGTCACTGATAAACCTAATTTGTTCTGAGTGGAGGGGTAATGTGCCAACATTTTTTTGGTAGCAGTGGCACTAGCTGGCTCAAACTCTGCCTAATCATTAACAAGGTAGCTTTCAGATCAGTCTTGAGTTATGCAATTTTATGCAGTACTAGTTAACTGATAGATGGATGGATGGACAGTTGAACGGGTGGATCGGTCTAGAGATGAGTGTTTCCAAACTGTGGTCCTGGCCAACCTCTGCTCTGCTCATTTTAGTGTTTACCCTGCATCAACACTCACATCTCCACTGAAGTAATCTTGTGCCTATTTTTAAATAAAAACAAAGTCAACAATTCCTAGATTTTTGCTTTTAGTGACCATTTTGAGAAAGTAAATTGCTGCTGTTGGAAGAAAACCTTGTATCTCCATTTTTTGTCATTTTTCAGTTTTTGACATAATTTGAAAATGTCTGTTGCCCTTTATATTGTATGTAAATTTCATGATGAAAGCACCAAAAGAAACGGCCCAAAATTACAAAACAGTCTGGTTCCATTGACTTACATTAAAAGTAAAGTAGGTTTTTTCCTTTTCCTGTAAAGTTACCATTTTGGAGATACGAGGTTTTCTTCCAACAACAGCGAAATGAATGAAGATATTTTTGCCCTTCAGTTATCTCTGATTGAACAATGGTTTCTGATGTCTAATATAAGCTGTAAATGACTCAATTATGGTCTCAATGTATTTGAGGGAGTTTGAGGAAGTGTCATATTGTCACTGTTGTGCAAAAAATCTCCATTTTTGTAGTTTTTACTTTTTTGTATGATTTCAAAACTCCAGCTACTCTTTTCGATGTTAAAATTTCAAAATAAATCAACCAATGGAAATGGTCTAAATTTACCTTGTAAAACTTCTATTCCATTAAGAATGTTTTTTTTCCCTCTCCTGTAAAGTTACTATTTTGGAGATATGAGGTTTTCCTTCTACAGCGATGATATTCTGGTAGCATTATCGTAAGGTCTTTATGCAGGCCACTTAGTGGCCATTCCACCAGTTGAACGGAAAGATATTTTTAATAAATTCAATGAAATTAAATATTTTCCCCAAAACTCTGTCATCAGATCAAATAGGACACTGTTGGCTCTCTGAGCAACGTTATAACTCCGCATTGAGCTGCTAGCGAGCAATGAGAGGCGAAAGTGAAGGAGTGAAAACCCCTGCTGTGAAAACAATTTCTGTGCAACTGCCACAATAAAAAAGCGTTTCAATACAATTGAACACTTTTATAATAATTCTGGCTTGCTTTCTCAAAAATCTAGTTTGTAGTTGGGTTTTATGAATCATTCATATTTTTGAAGAAAAAAATGCGTAGTTCAACTGAGGAAACTGCAAACTAAAATTTCATTTTATAGTTACTGTGAAAATGGGTTAACCGGCGTGAGGCGGTTTGTGGCACAACCATTAGGGAACATAGTTTAAAGTTAAAGACCTTGTCTTAAAGTGTAGAGGAGACCGACATGAAGAAGCTACTGCTGATTAGTTGAATCAGGTGTGTTTGGAAACCACTGCTATAGGCAGACTAGAAGATTCAAGATACTATAAACAGATAAAGATTCATTTCTGTGGGAGGAGGTACCTTTGGTCTCCATGCGTTGGCACGACCATCCTGGTTAAGTCTGGCCAGATCAGGGCTCCAGGACAGCATCCAGTTCTGATGGAAAGAAGAGGCGCTGATACGACTATTTTGAATCAGCCTTCGCTGCATGCCTAAGGGCAGAGAGCAGCCTGAAACACACAAAACACATGCACAGTTTATTGTCCAGGAAACAAAGCCAAACAGAATGACCAACAAATGTTAATGTTTGCACATTATGGGAGCTTTTGAGCACTGTGTTTGGTGGCGTAAGTTACCATCACCCAGGTTTTTGTCCTTATTCATAACCCCAGGCGGGATTCGGTAGCAGGTCATGGCCGTGCTACTGGTTTAAAGAGCATATGTCCTCTCTCTGGAAATAAGAGTGATTTTCCTGTCTTGTACTCTGACTGCCAACTCAGTTCTAAATAAAGTACAAAATGGGCACAAACTATGTGTTGTCTATGCTTTTCCTGCCTCCATGCTACAATGGTGTTAGAAGTGGGATTGGCAAGGGTCGCCACTCAAAGACAAGAGGGGGCGCAACGTGGTGTTAAAGCACACCTGGGGTTCCCATGATACTTTGCTCATGCTTAGCCGGGCTGCATTTAGTTCTACAAACAGTACGTAAAGTTTTTGCTTGCATTTTTAAGGAACTCATGTTAATTTTTCCAGGTTATGCGACTGAAGGTTGGGTGGGCAATGTGTTTTGGGAGTGTGAGCTACCATCACCCAGGTTTATGTCCTTATTTATAACCCCAGGCGGGATTTGGTAGCAGGTCACGGCTGTGCCAGAGGTTTAAAGAGTTTGTTTTTTCCTTCCAGAGATAAGAGCGATTTTCTCTCTTGTACTGTGGCTGCAGAGTCAATTCTAAACAAAGCTGCATTATGGGCACAAACTTTGATTTGTCTAAGCTTCTTCTGTGTACCCCCATGCTACTATATATAGCATAGTGTATACCATGTATGCAGTGCACCAATTCACATCAAACTATTCTGAATAACTGTGCTGATACCTTTTTAGCCTAATTCTTGCCCCAACACTATTTTAAAACAATGTCTCAGGCATCGGGCAGTGCATTCATAACCATGTCATGTAATAACTTTCCTCTTCTGTGAGAAAGCTTTTAGACACCTTTGATTCAGATGGGTTCTCTGGTTCTTATCATCATCATCACTGTGAACAATTCTGACTTAATGCATTTCTCCAGAACCGCACATTTCTCATCAAACCATTTGGAATTATTTCGTTTACATTTGAATGATTTAATTATGTTGGAATTGTGAAAAATCAGTGAAATTCCCCTGCGAACCAAAACCTGTGAGTAATCACTGATATGCATGCGCACATGTCTGTGTTTTAGCTCTGGCAATGGCTCCAGTTGTATACACAGAGGAAATAAAACATGCCAGAACTAAAAACATCAAAGGATATTTTTCATATTTCAAACTACTCCAGTGGGAATGCCAGTGCTTATCTACATGCTGCAGTTCATGTTAGTTTTTCAGTTGTTTTGTATTCTGCTGCTGTTAATTATGTTATTCATAAAAATGCATCACAGCTCCTCACTCACTCTATGATGAGTTGCTGTAGAAAAGAGCTCATGCCAAATGCCATATGTGTAAATGCAAACGATGAGCCCTATTAAAATAAAACATATAAAATAATAATGTAATGGAATAATGTAAAATGTGGTTAACCAGATAATAATGCTATTATTTTGTGATCTTTATATCATTAAAACCACAATAATAATTTGCCCATTACTCTTCAGCAGTGCTGTTCTGTGAGCTACATTGTATGAAGTAGGCTATATGATGGTAAGATGAGGTAACTATCAAAAATTCGTAACTACTAACATTTGCTATCGTGCAATATACTGAAATACATTTTTTACTGAGTACATGTGTTTAGTAATGCAGTCTAGATTCATCAGGGGCGAATCCAGTGCTGAGTATACGCTCCTGCTAATGCTAAAGTAGGTTAGCTGGGTCTAGGAAGGAGGCCCTAAGGTGACATAGTGATTATTTTAGCACATGGCCACAAATTCATAAATTGAGGCCTCGAGTTAAGTTTCTTGCAGCCACAAATTAATATATTAAGGCCACAAGTTCATATATTGAGGCCATGAGTTAAGTTTCTCATGGCCACGTGGATTCAATATATTAATTTGTGGCCTCAGTATATTAATAGGTGTCCATAAGAAACTTAACTTGAGCCCTCGATATATTAACTCATGGTAGAGGTCTGCACGGGACTGTTTTTTCAGTCCCATACCTGCCCACTCCTGCAAAATTTCAATCCACTCCCGCAGAGAATCGGAATCAACTGTCCCGCTCCCGCCCACAGCTGAAACGTTTTGTCCCGCTCCCGCCCGCCAAGTTCCATCAGGGTGAACTGACATCTAATATCTGACAGTCTATTCACAAATGCATTATCCTCTGCTAAAATAACACGGCAGTCATGGTCATCAGCCTCACTGTGCAGTAACTTCACCAAATGCCATTTATTCCCAGTAAACACAAAGCAGGAATTAAACCACAGAGTGGTTATTTTTGTACAAATGTATGTTTATGTGAGTCTGTATGCATGTGCATGCATGTCGGTGTGCATCTGCATGTGTACAGTATATATGTGTGTTTGTGTGAATACTCACTGTTGAGGTCACAGCCCAAAAGTTCGAACCTCAGCGCGGGCCGTTCGCTGTACTCGAATGGATGGATGCGAATGTATCTACCGATGATTGGAGGAGTGAAGAGGTTATCTTTTGTCCTATAGCCGTCCATGTTACCATTAAATTTCTAAAAGAAAAGTAGTATAGTACCGATTAGTGATTAAGAAATAAATATAAAATGTATTGTCAGTGAAGGATTGCACAGAATTTGGTACAACATCAAGTTATGTTAAGATCATTCAGTATGACTAATACAACAATGCAAACTGAATGTGTAAAGACTTTTTGAAGAACTAGTGACAGTCATGGTTATGTTAGTGTAAATATATGGGTATTTGATGAGTTTCTGTGTTATTATGCTACATTGCGAAGCTGTTGGCAATTGGGGGTGTGCATAGCTGCTGAAGATAGGGGTCGAGGCTAGGTTTTGAAACTAGTCTTTGAGGCTAGAGGTTAAGGCAAGGTATAAGCATAAGGAGTTGGGGCTAGAGGTTGAGGCTGAGCTTTGGGACAAAAGGTTGAGGCTAAATGTAGGACTTAGGTGTTTGGGCCATGCTTTGGGACTAGGTATTGGGTTAGGTTGTTGAAATTAGGCTTTATGGTTAGCTGTTTGGACAAGAAGTGAAGGCTAGGCTTTGGAAATGGGGCTGGAGGTTAAGGCTAAAAGTTGAGCCTAGGCTTTGGGGATAGAAGTTGAGGCAAGGCATTGAAACTATGTTAGGGCTAGAGGTTGAGGCTAGGTGTAGGGGCAAGAGTTGGGGCAAAGCAGTGGGACTATGTGTTGTGCTAGCCTTTGGTGATAGACTTCAGTTGCTAAGTTGTTATGTCAAGGCTTTAAGACTTGGCATTGATGTTAGCCTTTGGTGCTATGCATTGTGGCTATAAGTTAGGATTAGAAGTAGGTTTTGGAGTTGAGCTAGGATGAGCTTTTGGAGCTTCTATTTTGGGCTGGTAGTTTGAGCTAGGCTTTGTGGCTATGTTTTGGGGCTAGTTGTTGGGCTAAATTGACAGGGCTAGCTGTTAGGCTAAGTTGTTGCAGCATAGACTTTATGGATATCTCTTTGTGGTATGAGTTTAGGCTCGGCTTTGGAGCTATGTGTTGGTGCTGGAAGTTGGGACTAGAGGTTGAGCCTAGGCTTTGTAGCTTGAGGTTGATGGTAGGTGTGAGGGCTGGAAGTTGGGGCTAGGCTTTGGGGCTGGGTTTTTGGCTAAGTTGTTGGTGCTAGGTGTTAGGGCTAGAAGTTGAAGCTGGCTTTAGCGCAAAAGGTTGAAGCTAGGTGTTGGGCCTAGGAGTTGAGGCTAGGCTTTAAGGATAGGTGTTGGGCTAAGTTGCTGGGGCTATGCTTTATGGATAGTTGTTTGGGAAGGAGTTGGGCCTAAGATTTATAGAAAGCTGTTTGGGAAGGGGGTTGATGCTATGTTTCATAGCTAGGATTTAAGCTGTTGTTGCTGCTATGTTTTTGGCCAGGCTTTTTGGCTAGCTGTTTGGGTTAGAAGTTAAGGCTAGGCTTTAGGGCTAGTCTTTGGGGATAGGCTTCAGGGCCAGGTAGTTAAGGCAAGGCTTTAAGGTGTCGGTGCCAGCCTTTGGGGCTACGCATTATGGCTACACGTTAGGACTAAGAGTAGGCTTTGGGGCTACATCCTGTGGACTAAGGATGGTCTTTGATACTAACATAGACAGATTCGCTGCTGTTTCCTCTGTAAGTCCTCCATGTTTGCTGGTCCAGGCTGTAGCTGATGGTAAAGATCACTGTGAACATCTCACTTAGACGCATCGAGGTCTTTACTCCTTGTGTCTGGATCCCATGTAACACCATGGGCCGCAGCAAATCCACCTAACATGCATCAGAAGTCAGAAGACATAACAAAGGCAGTGTTGCCAGGAATTTGCAAAACCTGACCAAGTACAATTAAAATGAAAACATAGACCATAGCTGTATAAAAATAATTTCCTGTTTCCTAAAATGTCAGGAAAAGGAAAGCACCATAGTGGGCCTTGTTCGCAAATCTTATTCTTTACAGCATAAATGGTAACGGTGTCAAATTGAGTTTATTTTGTCAACACAGCACATCTGTGTGCTATACAGATAGTACAGTGTGACTCATGACTGAATCCACAGACATGGATAAGAATACAATGCCTCAGGAATCTGTCCATAATCACTTATTGTCTCTTCAAACAAGTGGGTTATTGTACCTGGATCCAGGAGTTCTTGTCACTGCCAATCCAGGCATTAATAGATCCAGACAACTCAAGTCTGGCTAATCTCGCCTCCCATTTACCTAACAGAAGAAACGTCATCAGACTGGTTCCAGTAAACTGTACATTTTCAGATTAGAACTGTACGTATAATAGTCAGTAGATACATATAAATGTAAATGTAACACTTTACAGGTCATTATTTTGTGTTAGCATTACCATAATGATCAGATTCAGTGATTTGGTCATCAGTTATCCACCCTGTCTGCATTCCCAAGGGCTGAATGCAATCTGCAAGACAAGTCCAGTCAGAATATAATTGGACTCAAACATAGCTGCCATTTGTGCAGATAAAATAAACATTGTATAATATATATATATATATATATATATATATATATATATATATATATATATATATATATATATATATATATATATTACAACATCTTGTATTTTGTATTGGGTGCCTCTTAGTTATTTGAAAGCCTCTGTTGTTTTATTAAAGCTGGTCTGCCTGACCATTACATAGATTGCTCACTGGACCTCCCACAGCCACAACAGACAAACTCCAATTTGTGCAAAACGAGGCAGCTAGAGTATTTACACTCACTAGAAAACCAGATCATATTACACCAGTTTTAGCATCACTGCATCACTGGCTGCCTCCTTGTGTTTCCTTTAGAACTGATTCTAACTTTTTATTACTAGTTTCTAATTGTCTTAATGGCATAGCACCTTCATACGTCTCTGAATGCCTGATAACCTGTGCCCCAAATTGTGTGTTAAGATTATTCAGTGCTGGCCTTCTCCACATTTTGCACATAAAAATTAAGAGGAGTGGTCAAGCAGCTGTTTTCATGCACCAAAGATCTGGAACAGGCACAACATTATGACCACCTCCTTGTTTCTACACTCATTGTCCATTTTATCAGCTCCACCTACTATATAGGTGCACTTTGTAGTTCTATAATTGTACTGTAGTCCATCTGTTTCTCTGCATACTTTGTTAGCCCCCTTTTGCCCTGTTCTTCAGTGGACCCTCACAGAGCAGGTACTATTTGGGTGGTGGATCATTCTCAGCACTGCAGTATATATATATATATGTGTGTGTGAAAGGTGCCACATACACGGATTGTAGACGAGCAGTTTGGCCCTCATGCCGGACAACTGGTGTTCTCCAATGGTGCATTCCACAAGCCAGGTGCCTACTATAGTCGGCCTCATCTCTATAGTTCCAAACACACCTGCAGAGAGGAGAAGGAGAAGAGTTTAGATCAGCACCTGTACATCAGATACACATTCATTCTTACAAGGACAGTTCAGAAAGTAATTATGTTCACATACATAACTCATGTACATCTTTGCCATCTACACTTACTGCCCCCTTTATTAGGTGCACCTACCTTGTATCTACACTCACTGTCCATTTTAGGTCCACTTACTATACAGGTGCACTTTGCAGCTTTACAATTACAGACTGTAGTCCATCTGTTTCTCTGTGTAATTTGCTAGCCCCCACAATTTGTTTACTCTATTCATTGGTTAACCCTGTTCATCATCGCTACCATGTCAGTGTCACTGCAGTGCTGAGAATGATCCTTCACTCAAACAGTACCTGCTCAGTGTTGGTCCTGACCATTGAAGAACAGGCTAACAGATTGTACAGAACAACAGATGGACTACAGTCTATAATCATAAGCCACAAGTGGTAAGCAGACCTGATAAAATGGACAGTGAGTGTAGGCACAAGGTACCTAATAAAGTGGTCAGTGCATGCGGATGCAGAATATAACATAAACCACCATTTACACACTTTCACCTGAATCTCAATTAACTCTCAACAACATGCTCATTTATGCCGCCGTCAAGTTTAAATTCAAATTTACCAGGATAAAGGTTGAAAACTCCCAGGCGGTGCTCCTCGTCTTTCCCGACACTGAATGGAATTCCATGGAAGTGGACAGCATGGAATTCCCCTCCACTCCCCACGTTCAACAGGTGCCAGCGAGAAATCTGGTGCTGTGCCACCTCCAGGCCTGGCAGAGTCTCTGCCACATATCCGTTTATCGCTGCACGGAGAGAGAGATGAGAGAGAATGAAATAAGAGAACTTGTCATTGTTGTCATAACAACAGTGCATCCAAGTGATTCTGCATCTTTCTATGAGTGCATTCATCAGGAAATGTTCACACAATGTAAAGGGCAGCTAGCTTTTTCGAAAAAATGAAAAACAAAACAAAAGACTTTGATAGTGACACTATGGACATGTTACTAGCCCAAATATATATGGAACATTTCATGAATTCTGATTTTTCTGGTATCGTTCTGGTATAAATGGATTTTTATTGTATGCTGTTACTGAATAGATGATGCATTGTTGCAGTGAGCATTTAAACCTACAAAACTATTATAAACCATGCTGTACTGTACTTTGCTAACTGGAATTCTAAAAATAAAAATGAAAAAACTGTCCTGTACCTGCAAATCTGTTGCCGTACTCAAACCAAGGATCATCTACTTTGGCCTGGCAGGGTGGTGTGCAGAACTTCCTGATGTTGTAATCCAGGTACCAGCTCTTCCTCTCGTCGAAGATGGTGAAGAGGAGGAAGAGGTCCTGCACTCCGGGCTGTAGCAGGAAACGCGGCTGCAGTGTCCCAGGACGACAAATCAGCAAAGGACCAATCAGACCAGAGTTTATGTCCTTCTCCTAGAAGGGGGGGGGGGACATGGAGACGCATGGAGACAAACATACGCATATTATGAAAATCATGCCTTTGCCAAAGTGGAAAAAGAAAAGACTGTGATAAATATATACACTTTTGGTGTGTTTAGTTGTTTTTGCTTCTTGAGGTTCACGCTAGAGTTACGAGGCAGTGTCAGAAACCACATAAACAAGTCTGTTGGAGACTGGTTGACAACTAGACACAGTTTGAGGTGAACATGTGATGCTTCTCTAAATAGGTTGAATGAGTTCAGAATGCAGCAGCCTGCACGCTCACCAGGAAAAGAAAATCACTCTGGTCTTATTCAATCTTATTTCAGCTTCACTTAAGCTTCACCTGTTCACTGCTGGCATTCCAATGCATCCTAGATGATCTGACCATAAGCAGAGAGTGCTAAGTACAGGTGTAAATGGGGCCCAGTTCATCTCAGAATGCCAGGAGTAAATAAAGTAAACAACTATATGTCTTGCTGTTCACTTGCGACAGATGTTAATACCAGATAGGAAAAGAGCCATAGTTTATCTAAACCAGCACTTGTTAAACTGTGCCTACCATGTCGACTGTAGAATAGTAGGCCCCAGCCTTGCAGTCAAAGTCTTTAGAATATGGGCCATGTCGTTTCGTGATCCTCCAGTTGTAGACTCTCTCCTCCCCTGGAGGAACCGGGTCTCCCGGGGCCTCTCCATCTCGCAGCCTTTCTCCTGGACTTACTCCTGGGCCAAAATTCCCTGTGATCTTATCATACACCCCATGAAGGTGCAGTGAGTAAGGCCTGGACGCAAGGTTCTTAAAGACCACCTGTGACAGACAGCAACAGGCAATCACCACCAGAAATCACAGTACAATGCAAAGAGCAATTCTTTTAATTGTCCTACTTTACATTTTATCTAAAGGCTTTGGTGCAAATCTTGCGATAGTGAAGGCATGCAGTAGTTTGATAATATTATATTTTGAATTTGTTATATTCTTGCCATCTTTTCTTGACAATGGAACAATCAAAAAAGATTAGAAGCACAGGCTCAAACTTGTCAATTCAAAATGTAAATGCAATTCATTGCATAATCATGCAACTATATTTAAATTAAATAGCAAAACAACAGTAATAACTCTAGACGTACAGTGAGGACATCGTTAATTTCAGCCTTCAGCACAGGGCCCATAATCCCAAGGTGTTTGTCCAGCTCACCACGTTTCACTGGATTCTGAAATTCTTTGTCGTGGTACTCCCGGTACACTACTTTCTTATAGGCTGCAAAGTACTTCTTCTTTCCTTGTTTCATCTCTCTACAATGCATACAAACATACATAAAGCACAATCACTTTAATTTCTGTTCAGAATTGATGGTATTTTAACTAGGGGTGGGCAATATGGCGATGTTATCACTACCGTGATAAATTACAATACAATAATGGTTTTCTGAGTATCATCAGTATTTCTAGAACACTGAACAACTGCATGTATCATAAAAAGACATATTAAGACCAATTATGGAGAGCCTGTACACAACAACAACCGGTCTATAATAACTGCAGAAACAGCATAGCAACATGTAGCTGATTGGATGCCAGGCCTTTGTACCTTTGTAAATCATGACCACAAAATAGTTGGCCACTGTTATAAAACTAGTTTGCAAAACTCAGAAAAGAAATATGGTGAAGCAATTCAGAAAATGCCTTTGAGAATGATTATATATTTTTGCCAGATTGTCCACCCTTAGTATCGACTTGTTTTTACATGCACTTATACATTGGCCCTTATTCATTAAATAAAAATAGAGCAGATTTGACCACCTTTAATGACGTACAAACTACTTTGCATCTGATTTATGAAACTTTCATGCGACGTGAAAACAAGCAGAGATTTGAGAGCAAATGATGAATCAGCTTCAGTGCGTGAAATCAAGCGCCAGCTTACCAGCACCTCTTTTACACATCATTTACATGAAGCACGTCCTAATTCATGCAGATGTGTTGGTAGGGAGCCAATTAAAAATAGCATTTAGCAGCTCATGAGCCAATGGCTGTGCTTGTAGGCAGAGTTTGAGGTCAAGAGGTGTGTGCATTGCTCCCTCCACTGACCAAACTTTACAGTGTTAAAACTACGACGACAGGAAGGAATTAATTGTGAGATAAACAAAGCTGTGAAATTTGCGTGCTCTCATTTCATGATCAGATTTGACCGTACGCAATTTTGATGAATAAGGGCCATTGACTTTTCAAATGCACTGCTGGGTCTGTAGTTATTGAAATTTATACTCCACCTGGGACTGAGGAGATGAGGAGGTTTTTCGATCCCATAATTCCACAGGATTTCCTCAGCCGCAATATAATAGCTACGAAATTTTGATTCCGTGGACCTGATGTCCATTTCATTCCAGGTGCTGAAGCTTAATGTAGATTCGTTCCCTTCACTTTCATAATCATCGTATTCCACGTCCAAAGTCTTCTTTGGATGTGTTTGGTTGGCTGAGGAGTTTGATGGGAAAGTTTTCAGAGGAGGAATCCTCTGTGAGTGTTTTGGAGTGTATCCACGAGGATCTAAGCTTTCCACCAACTTGTCCACCTCTAGAACTGAGTCTTTGAGAATGTCATTGCCACTCAAAACATCTTGTGGTATCTCACCTCCATCCTTACCAACACCCCATGTCTCCCTTCGACTCCTCTCTGTTATATTAGACTTCAGTTCTAATGTAACTTCATCATCCTCATCAGAGTCCTCAACGTCATTAAGTGGTTTGCTAAGGTCAGAACTCGTGTTCCACCCTGACCTCTGAATGAATTTCTTGAACAGGTCAATAGAAGAATTCTTTCCCGGACTTGATGTCTCCATTTGACCTTCGTCCTTGTATCCTGAGGTTGTAATAGTGCTTGTTTTCACTGATATCAGATCTTTTTCTTCTTCCACTATAACTGCCTCATCTGTCTCATTTGACTGTTCCAGATCCGTTTGGTGAAAATCAGAGAGAAGATGTTCAGATCTCTTCTGACGTCTTGAGGAGCTTCTGCCCATCTCCATGTCCAGTTGATCCAGAATGTCCTGTGGAATTCCACCCTGTGAGAGAACGTCCAGATCCTCAGCTTCCTCCACTGGGACAAGTTTTATCTCGCAGACCAGTGTGTTCTTTCTTCTCCCACCCCTTGCACTTTCCTGGCTAGTATTCCTATGACGTTCCCCAGCAAGGAGGTCTGTTTGGGTATTGTTCCCCTGCGGCCTCCTGCACACCCGGATGGCCATCGTCCGGTTCCTCTCCCTGAAGCCCCTTGGGGTCAAGAGATTCTGTTCTATGTAATCCTCAGTGTCATAGTCATACTCTTTGTCCACCAGGGGGAGTATTTTCTCACAGTTCATCACAGAGTAACGTACACTCATGCCTTGTTGTTTCAAAACAGGATCAAATGCACCGATCTCCCACTCACCTGAGGAAACAATTACAACATTAAAATAATTAAAGCAATCTGTGATCAAATCAGGCTTTTTCCCACTGTCCACCTTAGCAGACACTTGACAAAATAATAATTCTAATCAACACCACAACATACCATTCTAGTTTACATTTTGGTGCACTTGGTGATGCAGTAGTGCTTGAGATTTTAAACTCATCCAGAAAAGTATTGAATTCTCTATTTTGTTGTTGGCTTCAGATGTTGCCAAAGTGTTACCAAAGATAGTGTTACCAAAACTGTGTTATCAAAGACACAGGAAGACACCCCTGAGTACCATTAGGTCCTGTTGGTGCCAAGGTCTTAACAGTCTCCAAGAACCATAAACTGACAAAATCCATCGACACTTAAGTTTCTAGTTCTAGTTCATGTTCCACATTCTTGTGAAACAGCTGGAAGCAGCATAATAACCACAGTTAACAATTTTTGTGCATATTTTTTATACCTCTGTAGTAGTCTAAAACATCTCATTTGTCCAGTAGCTACCCTTTTTTCTAGTAAACATAGCTTAAGTCATTGGCTACAAGGTTTTACTGACTGACTTTACAATACAGGGTGATTAAAAAAGATTCATCTGATTTCAAAGCACCATATTTTTACAACCGTGGGGTGCCTAGGAACCAATCACATACCAATTGAGGGTGTCATAGAGTTTCTGACTGTCACCAGAAGATGGCTCCCTTCAGTCTGCGAGAACATGGCAACACCTGAGCAAAAGGTGTTTTATGTTCTCCGCTTCAATAAGAGTGCATCTGTCACTCAACTGTGCAAAGTGATTTTTGTCAGCAGTAAACCTCCAACAGCTCAGAGCTTTCGTCAGTGGTTCCACAACACTGGATGATCTCCGAAATTGCATTGAAACAGCTGTGAGTACAGTGACACCCGACATGCTCAATCGAGTATGGGATGAATTTGACTGTGGCGTTGATGTTGTCCGTACAGCTGGAGGATGTCATAGTGAGCACTTGTAAAATTACATAATAAACTTTAAGCTCACTTAAACCATTTACAATTTACTGCATTGTTCTGTAATGATTTACAAGTGAAATAAATCATTTTGAAATCAGATAAATCTTTTTGAACCACACTGCATTTTGCAAAGAGGTCTACATAGACTCATGTGTCGTCAAAGTAAGTCTTCATTTTTTGCTCTTGAGTGAGAACCGATGCATTAGTTTTTGCTTACTAGATAGCTTAGTTAAACATTAGCTGTGCTCACAAAGTCATTCTGTGGTGACTAGCGTAAATGCTAATAATGTTAACATTAGATTAACTAGCTAATGTCATCTTAGCAGACTCTTTGCAAAGTAATAATTCTAAAAATAGAAATCGACTCTTCAACATACCTTTCTAATTTACATTCTGGTGCATTAACTGGTCAGGTAATTTGAGTGCTTGAATGACTTTATCTTCACTTGGCACAGTGAAGAACTCACTAAATTGTCTTTGGCTTCAGCTGCAAGAATTAATTTGGAAAAAAAAGATGTTTCCTGTGCTGTAGGAGTAAGAAGGAGCAAGATACTGCTTTTGTGACTCTAATAACGTAATGTTAGAGTGGCAGTTCTAACAGATAGTTCTAAAACAACAAATGGACATTACAGACCGTCAATTAGCATCATGTAATTTCTAGATCCATCTGGTTATTATCAACTTTCTTGCACTGCCACTATTGCAGCCTACTATTCCAGTAACTGAAAAGTCAGTGCCGTAACTTCTGACCCTTACCCTCAGTCTCCATCTCAATGGTGACAGTGTCTCCAGTCATGGGGAAAAGTGTGAGGACAGTGCCATACGTTCTGTCCTTCTCAAAAGGGTTTCCCGTGAAGTAAACAGACAGGAAGCCACTGTCCATGCCCACACTGGCCACATGCCAGAGCATGACTACCCCAGCACATGTCTTAAACTGCAGGCTGTTATTGATGAGACCATTCACACCTGCAGAGAAGAAAAGAGAAAGAGGCAACTTCACTTGTAAAATACTGCTTACCAGTCAACCTTACAGTGAAATTACACAAAACCCAGAACTGACCCAATTAATAGAAGATACTTACTGTACTTGACATTGGATTTGTAAAATCGGGGATCATTGCGGTCAACCTTGGAAGGATCTTGAATGTAGGTCTGAATGTTCTCCTCAAGGTACCAGCTTTTGTTTTCATCAAACACTGAAAAGATGAGGGGTCTTTCTCTGTCTGACGTTACCTGAAAATGAAACATACCTATTATCAAGTGAACTATCTATCCATCCATCCATCCATCCAGCCATCCATCCATCTCCCCAGCATTCATAAAATCCATGTGTCCATGCCTCCTATTCAACTACAGTTCCAGTAGTATAAATAATGAGGTGGAGCAAATCATGATGGAGCAAATCATTAAGTTTATTCTGAGTGAAGATCTTTCAAGAAATTCACAAAGCATTGTTTCTGTAAGAAGAAAGCCCTGCATCTCTGAAATGGTATGCTTGCACTATTTGAGGGCCTCTCAAGTGGCACAACTGTCTAACCATTGGCCCTATTTTCGGGAGGTTGTGAACTTGATCCTCAGCGATGTTCATGACCTAAAGTCCAAAAGAGTTCTCTCTGGGTGGGTAGTCCTACCTCCCCCTCTCTCCTAGCCAATACAGGGATCTGCTAGCTTCTAGCTGGTACTTTGTGTTCTCCTTCAAGCGTGTTGAGCTGTCTAATGACATTCTGTTAGAGTAGCAGTTCTAAAAGGTGGAGTAGCACTTCACATGTCTCGGAGCAAGCTTGTGCTAGCCTCCACACATCCAGGTTGGTAGCTTGATGTGACTGGGAGAAATCCAGTTAGTGGGTGGAACTGGACATGACTAAATTGGAGATTAAACTAGGAAATGATGAAAGATGTAATATAATGTAGAGGACAATGTGGAGTCATCTAATGAGATTTACAAGAATTCATTCTGGACCATTTCTGTCTATTCATAATGAAATGTTCTCACACTGTAAAGGGCAGCCATGTTTTCAAATGCACTATATGGCCAAAAGTATGTGGACACTTATATGAGCTTCTTGGACATTTCTTTCCTTAACCATGGGCATTAACATGGAGTTGTCCCTCTTTGCAGCTAATAACAGCCTCCTCTCTTCTAGGAAGACTTTCAACAAGATTTTGAAGTGTGTCTGTGGGAATGTGTCTGTGGGTACGTATTCACTCAAAAGAGCATTTGTAAATTCAGGCACTGATGTTGGACAAGAAGGCCTGGCTCACAATTGGCATTCCAATTGATCCCAAAGGTGTTCGGGGGGTTGAGTTTCAGGGCTCCGCGCATTCCACTGGAGTTCCTCCACACCAAACTTGTCAGACTATGTCATTATGGGCCTTGCTTTGTGCACAGAGGCACAGTCATGCAGGAACAGCAAAGAGCCTTCCCTAAACTGTTGCCATTAAGTTGGAATCATTTAATTGTCTAACATGTACTTTGTATGCTGTAGAATTAACATTTCCCTTCACTGGAACTAAGCGGCCCAAACCCTGAAAAACAGCCCCAGACCATTATCCCTCCTCCACCAAACTTTACTGTTGGCACAATGTATATACTTTATACAAGCAGACTTTCAGAGGTCTACTATAGGTAACTATATGTAATCATCTAAAAAGACGAGATGGTGAGAGATGGTGCGTGTTGCCTCACCACTTTCCCTCGCTTGTCCAAACTCTGTGATTTGCAAATGATCAGCGGTCCCACCAGCCCAGATGCCACATCCCTCTCTGGATCCACTGTACTGTGGTACAGGCGAGTTAAACAGCGTGGGTCGGCATCAGCAGGACCATCCTCTGCGGTCAACTTCCACAGGTACATCATAATCTCACCTGGAGGCACGGCCAGAGAGCGCAGGTCCACCTGCTTCTCTTCATGCCACAGAGAGCCACAACAACATGGGTTATTCCCAGAGTCTGCATAACAGTACAGTATTGTCCCCTTCTATAACCATTTGATCTTAGAGAGTCAACAATTTTTCACTGTGAACTCTATCCTCACATTATTTTGATTACTGTACTTATAAAAGAACACTTTTAAAATAGAAGAATATGTTTCACCACTGTACAAAGCAGACGCAGCACATAGCGATTATCTTGGAAAATGCTTGAGGACTTTTCCTTTCTTATCTGTGACATGGCACAAAACACAATGCCAAATGTGTAGGTCAAGTTAGGAGTTGTGGGTATTGAGGGATTTTGAATTTCCCATGTTTTGGGTTTAAGAATTTAAAGGATTAGAATGATGATGACAGAAACTTGACTGGAAAAAGAACATCAATAACAGGAAAGCGGTTACGCCTTTATTTCCTAAGGAAACCGAAGTCCTTTAATGCTTGTAAAAAACACGGGTGGGGTGAAATAAATAACGAGCATGCCAGTACGTCTCATAAGATCTTTGAAAAAGTTTAGATCATGTGCCATTATCTGAAAGCTCCTGTTATTATTTTTACTTGACTGAATTGAATGCAATAAATTGCTACATTTTTTAAGAACAGTGCATCATATTAATAGATGTATTACTCCAAAACATTTTTTTTTTTCATTTTTTACTTGTTTTGAAAACATCAACTTTACATTGTGTCAAAACTTCATAGCAAATACGAATTATCTAAAAATTGAAACATTAACTTACAAATTAATACATTTCCCCCATTTTTGGCAATACAAAGTGTTGTTCCAACAGTGACAATATAGAAATATTTTGTTCCTCAAGAAACGGTACTTCAACAAAGTTTTTCCAAACTGCATCATCATGGAAGTACACTGCAGATACTCCTTTTATTGTTAGAAGTAAAGCATTTAATGGACCTGCCTTATAACTCACTTACTCATGTTTAGCAGGCTGACGATTCTCCACAAGAGGGAGCTATTAGCACTAAAATAGCTTTTTTCTCATCTCTATGACACTCAGTGTTCTAATATTAATAATAATTATTGTTATACTATGTAGCACCTTCTGTAGTGCTTCTTAAGGCCTTAACTAAAATTACACTCCTAAATTCTGTTTTTAGAGATAACATTAATTACTAAAGTCAGAGATAACTTAACATAAACCCTTCAAACTACAAGGAACCCATTGTGAGTATACACCTCAATTTATCTCTCTCATAACTATATAAATTAAACATTCATTTTATGCAAGCTGGTAAATAATTCATATTTGATATAGTTGACAATAACTAAGATTGATAACTGTGTAATAAGGCTGTTCTTTAAGGGGCTGCTGTACTGTGGTGACATCTGACGGTAGAAACACAAACCGTGCTTACCTTTACCTTTCTTCTTCAAAGGCTGAATGCTGGCAAGTCCGTTTGGATAAATGTTGTATGGTCGACTAGCCATGTTTTTGAAAACGATCTGAAAAGGCATTACAAAGTGGAGTGAGCATCAATGTTTCTATCAAACGTTTACCTTTGAAGGCCTTTGTAGAAAGATAATCATATAGCATATGAACTAACCTGGAACTGGTCCTCTACCTCTCCCCTGAGCACAGGACCAATCAACATGTTGCTCTTGCTCTTCCTCACAGTGAACGTTTTGTCTGTGTACTCCACATACACCACCTTCTTATACACTTTACCCCAGCGTTTAACCGTGGGGGCCATCCTCGAGGACCTGGAACAGAATAAAAGTCTGGGCTCATATATGTTTGGGACAGTATGAAAAATGCAGTGATTTGTAAATCCATTTAGACCTGTATCTAAACAAAAACAGTAGAAAGGCAAGATTTTTTTTATGTTTTTCCTTATCAACTTCATTGTTGTTTTCTTCTTTTTTTTTGTAACTATGCAATATGCACATTCTCAAATTTATGCAAACAACTTGTTCCAAAAAAGTTGGAACAGGGACAATTAAAGACTAGGAACATAGTTAACTGTTTAGAGAACATAAACAGGGGATGCAATCATGCATGGGTTTAAAAGTATCATCCAGGAAAGGCCTAGATCCTTATAAGCAATGACAGGGCAAAGTTTGCCTCTTTGCCAAAACATCTTACAGTTTAAGAATAATGTTCTTCAATGAGTGTTTGCAAGACTTTTAGGTATTTCACCCTCAATGGGCCATAATATCATCAAAAGTTTCAGAAAATCTGGAGAAATCCCTGTGAGTAACTAAGATTAATAAGTGTGAATGCCTGTGATTTTCAGTCCCTCAGACAGCACTTCATTAAAAACAAGCATGGATATCACTAAATGGGCTTTGTCAAATCGTTGTTAAGACACATTGCTTGTCGCTGCATCCACAAATGCAAGTTACGACTGTGCTATGCACAGCAGAAGTCATGTATCAACAACATCCAGAAACCCTGCCGACTTCTCTGGGCACAAACCTATCTGAATTGGACTGATGTACAGTGGAAACATGTATTTGTCAACCTTTCAGATTATTTGTGGAAAGAATAAACATGTTCTCTGAGTCAAAGAAGAAAAAGACCACCCAGATTGTTCCCAGCAAGTTCAAAAGCCAGGGTCTGCGATAGGTTTTTAAAAAGGTTTACAAATATAGACATATTAAAACATTATTCATTGATTAATTTTACATGAACATGACATGAATTAGACATAAGGGTTATTGGGCACCTCAAAATATACTATATTGTATTTGATTTTTATTATAGGCTATCATTTCAATATCAGGCCAGTAATAATGACAAATCGGCCATTAGTCAACAAAAAATATGCTTGCTTATGACATATAACAGACCTCGCACCCCTGCAAACAACTCAAATGAAAATGAATGGAGTGTCCCTACCGGTCACTCTGAGGGTTGTAGTCCCAGGTGACCTCCTCGGCGCTGATGTAATGGACCCAGACTTTGGGTCTTCCCCTCCCAGGTGACCTCAGAACAGAGGGTGGCATGCCAGGTTGGAACACAATGGTGGAAAAAAAATTGTCTGAAGAGTAATCTTCATCCTCCTCCTCATCCTCAGCATGTTTGACGGTTCGCTTGTCGCTCACTTCCACGGGTTCAGGACAGTCCTCCACAGTGAAGAAAGCACTCATGCCAGCTGACCACAAAGACAGGAGAAAAGTCAGAAGCTCATTTAATGATGTATATAATAGAAGCAACATCATTTTTGAATAATTTTACAGTGTCAGTTATTCATACAGAAGCCTAAACTAACAGTGTTTTTGCTCTCAGATGCTCTGTCATAATACATTTACACAAAACAATATCTATTGTTATAATATCAGTTTGCAAATCTGATTATTAAGGGTGTAAAAATCTGAAGGCAACACCATTAATACTGAAATGATGCTCATCATGAATGCTCATAAATCCTGATAGAAGCCAATAAAGTATATGCTCAAATTTTGGCCAAAATAACTTTCAAACAAACAAAACTTAATGTATTGTTAATACTGTCTATATTTTACTGCTGCACTATGTAAGATGTTTTGTTAACATTGAAAGGAGTAAAAAAGCTCAAATTTGATGTGCGAGCATTACTGCAAAACACCCTGTTAAGCCTGAAATAAGAAGATCCAGCTCGATGTTTAGGCCTCAAATGCTAAAACAACATTGTGCTGATACAGACATGATGACAATAGCAGTTAGTTCACTCACATTTTTGGAAAATACATCCTTCACATAGTTTTGACTTGAGTTCACTTTGAATACTCTTTCAATCATCACATTCATCCACTCAGGGAAGGGATCTAGTACAAAATGTTGTTCTGAACGTTGCATGAAATAACACATTTCTTCCAGAGAGGTCTCCAAATCCCCAAATCTTACATTTGGGTGGTGCTGCTTTAAACAGTCAAAATAGAAATTTTGTGTATATTGAACTCACATAGTAATACTGGCAACCTCACAAAATACCCTGTTCAAACAAGCACACAATGTGAAGTGTGGTAGGTGGCAATAGTAGTCCACAGTTTAAGTAAGTGATGTTGTTATATACACCGACTGGCCACTTAATTAAGTGCACTTACCTTGTATCTACACCTTTTATTACATGTACTTATATTATTATTATCATATTGTGTCTATTTACCATGTAGGTGCACTTTGTAGTTCTACAATTACAGACTTTAGTCCATCTGTTTCTCTGCATCCTTTGACTCTGTTCTATAATGGCCAGAGCCCCCACAGGACCACCACAGAGCAGCTACTATTTAGGTGGTGGATCACTTTCAGCACTTTTGGTGACACTGACCTGGTGGTGAAATGTTAGTGTGTGTTGCGCTGGTACGAGTGGATCAGACACAGCAGTGCTGCTGGAGTTTAAAAACACTGTGGTCACTTACTTTCACTCTGTTAGACCTTAAGACTACCTTGTCAGTCCACCTTGTAGACATAAAGTCAGAGACAATAGTTCATCTGTTGCTACACAGTTTGTGTTGGTCATCCTCTCATCCTTCATCAGTGGTCAGAGGATGCTGTTAGAGTGGACTATTCTCAGTCCAGCAGTGACACTGAGGTGTTTAAAAGCTCTGTCAGATCCACTCGTACCAGCGCAACACACACTAACACTCCACCACCATGTCAGTATCACAGCTGGACTGAGAATGATCCACCACCCAAATAATACCTGTGGTGGTCCTGTGGGGGTCCTGACCATTGAAGAACAGGGTGAAAGGGGGCTAACAAAGTATGCAGAGAAACAGATGGACTACAGTCTGTAATTGTAGAACTAAAAATTGCTCCTATACGGTAAACGGAGCCGATAAAATGGACACAGAGCGTAGATACAATGAGGTATACTTAATGAAGTGGCCAGTCGGTACAATAGTGTTGGGAATTGTGTATTAGTGTAGTTCCAATGACAGCAGTTAAATGCATAGGAGTGTTAACTTCCTGAGAAATATATGTAGCTATATTAGCATTTTAGCTACTTAGCAACCTCATAATTCAGTCACATTTGGGGAATGTGTCTCCTTAATAACGTTTTTGTTTACTACACGCCACAATTTTCAAAAAAACAATATTAATTTTTCCCAAAGATAAAACTGGCTTTGGCTCAGACTTCCTTATTTGGTCATGTCACCAACTACAAACAGATATATGACCTCACAGGTCTATAGACGTGACCAGGCAGTGCACAGTTATTGTTATTAAGTGTGAACGTCTTAGCCATGACCTTTTCTGGCTTATGTGGGAAGAAGGTATGCACAGATACATAATCTGGTATAAACTGGCCAGTGCAATTACACAGTGATCTTTACCTTGCTGGTGTGAGTGGATTTTGCAGGAGATCAGAAACTTTCCCTCAGTGTATGGCCTCATCAAGGCCATGGTGTAGGTCATGGGTGTTATCTCAACAGTAACCCGTCTGTGGTCCATGACCTTTACGGTGTGGTCCTGGAACCGGATGGTGTGGATGTCTGGAGTGGAGCCCAGACCAATCAGGTGCCAGGAAATGACTGGGCTTTTCAGACACAGCTTCAATCCTGTACAAAGAAGATAATGATGAATATAGCTAGGACCACTTAGATAAGGATAAGTAGGATATCCGACATAAACTAATGTGTGTAACATGCTGATCAGTCGGTTTTACCAGATTCTAGGTTGCAATACTGTATCCATGTGTTGATGTAGAAGATACTGCTGTGAGAAGGAGTTGTTCAAACCTGGCAAAGTGGAGTTGATGTATCCATTGATGGTGTGGAACTGCTGACTGGACGTTTTCCTGGGTTTATCTGCTCTGCTCAGCTCTCTGTACCAGCTCTTGCTCTCGTCAAACACCGCAAACAGCAGCACAAACTCCGGAACCTTCCGCTCACGCTCCTCTGTCAGAGCACCTGGATACAGGTTAAAGGCCACAGTCAGATTAATCCAATTTCCAAGGCTGGTAAGTAAAATTAGTCAGGTTATTTATTTTATTACACTGTTTTTTGGAAATGTTTAACTTTATAAAGTTTTTCTTATTCATTTGTTATCTGTTCCAATTTTCCACAGGAAATATTCCCTTATTTAACAGCTTAGTCCACACCAAACCATTTTTACTAGCGACTGGATGATAAGTGTCAAGGTTAGAGCCTTAGAGCCTAGAGTTCAACAAGTTAACTGTACTGACATGAACAGTTCTGAGAGTAAACCTCATAAGGCATGTATAAGCATTGAATAACAGTTAAAAAGCAGCAGATGCAATATCTATAAAACTCCAGTATGTGGGCATGTTTATCTTTTTGCTAACTAGCTTATTGTTAACAAGCTGCTTCAACATCTCCAGCTAACATGGCTAATCTAGGCATTTGGTTAATATTATTTTCACCTATGCATTGTTTTATCACTCTGTAGCCGATGTTATCATACTCTGTATATATATATATATATATATATATATATATAGCTGTGAGGGGATTCTCCAAAAAATTCTTTTTATTCTTTTTTCAGCTTGGTCACATTGAGTGTGTTTACATGCACTGAATAATCTGATCATAATCGGATTTCTGCAGTTATCTGGTTATTCAGATGGTCATGTAAACAGCATACTCCGATCTAGAAATCCTAGTAAGAAATCCAATAAATAGAGCTGGATCTTAGCTCAATAATCAGATTTCTCAGTGCATGTATACTCTTACTCTGATTTCTTTCAGATATCTCAGTCTGTGCATGTGTGAAAACAGACCGTAAATAGAGATGGCAGCAAAACACTTTTGAAGCAACGCCATGAAGTTTGAGTTTACATCACGTCTTCTTCTGTGAGTTTATTTGCTGGTTGCAAAGCAGAAATCTGATTACTGTCTGACTCATGTAGACCCAGAGTTTCGCAATTATCTGATCACTCAAATGCATGTAAATGTGTTGATCAGACTACTGACAAAATCTGATTTTCTGCAGTTATTGGATTATTAAGTGCATGTAAACGCACTCGTTGTTTCATGTTTGGTGTTCTCCAACAATTCTGGACACAGCCTCGAATTTCAATCTTGGCAACTATTAAAAACACGAGCAGATATACTTTCCAAGGTGAACTGAAGTGATACGAATGCCAGTATTTCTGAGGTTAATAGTCATCTGGAAGGCAATAGCAGTATTTGTTTTACCCGGTGTTTATGCACGTCCATTCGTCATGAAAAGGACCTATTGCCCAGAATATTTTCTCTTTCACTCCAGAACAGGACTTTTGTACTTCATCCATCCCTGGTATTTACACAGGTGAAATGCATATGACAAAATAGTCACTGATGTATAATGGGCCTCTGCCTTATAAGTGCCATTAATGCTTCATATCAATTGCTATAAATGGACTTTTAGGAGCCATTTAGGAGCCTTATGCCAATGCAATACCATTTTAAGAATACTGTCATAAATACTCAAGAGTTTTTTGTTATTCAATGTTTATACATAAAACACATAAAACAGCTGTTTAAGTAGCCTTTAATTAAACTATTACCCAAAGGGTTTTTTTTGCTGACTCATTTTTTCTTTGGTAAAAATATAATGGGTGACAGTTATGACTAAATAATTTTGTTGAAAAATGTTCTGTGTGTGTTGTTAAATCTGAATACAGTATGTTTTACACCATATATGAATCACTGGTTGCTAGGTAACAACAATGGTAGTGTTATGCTGCTAGAACTACTTTGCTATATATATGCTAGCGTATACATATATAGATATTAGATCGAATTCTCTCAGACCTGACTTGCATATCAGGAAAGCGCCGATGAGTCCGGAATTGAAGTCCCGCACAACGTCCACCTGAGATGAGTACGAGTAGGTGAGGCACTCTGGGTCAGTTAAAGTTGGTCCACTGTTGGGGTGAATGTCCCATACATATTTATAGTAGCCACCTGGAAGTACTGCATCATCTTCTCTCTCCTGGAGAGAGCTGGAATCATCATAGCCAGCACCTGGACACATCAGAACAGGACATCAAAGATGGCATTCCAGAAATGATCTCTTATCTAGATTTTAGTCACTCACTGTTGTTACTAATACAAGGAAAGGTTTTACGACACAGCTGAGCCTCAGCTTAGAGTTAGAGTTAATCAGTATGCTTGCTTTATTTAAACGCTGCAGGTTTTGTAGTAATACTCTAATTTGATTGTTAAGTTTTGGTTGGAAACAAAATTGTTACATTCTTGAAATGCCCAATGGAAAGTTATCCAATCAGGATTCATGTTTTTGTGTTGTCTATGTAGATACACCCAAACTAGTTCTCATTTACAGCATTTGGCAGATGCTCTTATCCAGAGCGACTTACAATTCGATCATTTTTACATACATAGGCAGTGTTAGGAGTCTTGCCCAAGGACTTTTATAGGTATAGTGTAGGGTGCTTGCCTAGGCAGGGGATTGAACCCTGGTCTACAGTGTAGAAGGTGGAGGTCTTACTCACTACACCATACCAACCATAGTGCTCCCATTGATTATGGCATCAGGGGCTGAGCTGAAGGCCTTACACTTAGATTAATGCCCAACATAGTTGGGAATAGACAGTGGAATCAGCAAATCACATTTTGATTTACAACAGTAGGACCAATTTTGTGAGAAAAAGTCACTCTAGGCCTTCTGGAGATCCTCGATAGGTCACTGGCTGCAAGTACTAGTTATAGCCTAAATAGGTTACAGTTAGTTGTTAGACGTAGAAAACAGCAGCAGCCAACAATTACATTTCTTTATATTTCAGTCTAGGTTTAATGACATTTTGTTACAAATCTTTTTAATCTAAGAATTTACAAATCTCTCTCAGTATCAACAGTTTATTTAATTCTTCTACATTTGGTTTGTGTTTCCCCCATTTCAGAAAGTAAGATATTAATCTACACTCACGATGTAATGTATGGAAACATCTTTGCTTTTGTTTTTGGGGGGTAGGCCCAGAGTTTCAAAAGAATAGATTTTCACATGCATTAATCAAACCGTATGCCTCTTGAGGGCAGGAAGTACTTAATCAAAGTTTAGCTCTGTCAGAAACACCAGAATTATGTAATAAGTTCTTTGCTACGCTGCCACATAGGATCATTTGGTCAGAAGCTTTGTGCAACACAGATAAAAACAGGTTGGACAAGTTCTAGAGATCGAAAAAACAGAAACTGTAAGACTCATTTTGCTGAGAGATTAGGGTTCGTTATTCATTTATTTTGTAAGTGTGTGAGAAGTTCCACTGGGTGTAGTATACTTCATTGAGTAATCGAGCATGATATCAGCAAATGGTCAGTGTTTACAATAAGACTTTATTTTGATGCTTTATAAAAGACTAAATATCTATTAAATGCAACTGAACTTAAAGTTTGAAGAAAGATTTTATTAAATTTAACCTTACACCCTTAAAGAAAGGTGGTTCTTTAAGGGTCCTTTAGTAAAGGCAATGGTTCTTTCCATGGTGAAATTGTTTTTCAGATTTACAGAGAATATTTTGTGTAAGGTTCTATATAAAACCTTTTTGAAAATAGTTATAAAAGTGGCTCGCCAGATCTACTTAAAAAATTACTTCATGTGGTAACAAGTAAATGAACTAGTTTTATTCAACCTAAATAAATACTTTGAATGAATGATTCTTTCAATCAAAGTAATTTTTTGAGTTAATTTACTTGTTACCACATGAAGTAATTTTTAAGTAGATCTGACGAGACACTTTTTACAGTGTATACAGCACCAAAAAGGGTTCTTTTGTGGTTTTGATGTCAAACCTATAACAATATAAAAGCCATTTTTGATGCTATGTAGAACCATTTTCAAAAGTTCTGTAGAGAACCATATACAACACATTTTCCGTCAGTCTGAAGAACCATTTCACCATGCAAAAAACTATTCAAGCATGAAATGGTTCTATATACACTGTAAAAAATGGCTCATCAGATCTACCTTAAAAGAATTACTTCATGTGGTAACAAGTAAATTAACTAGTCTTATTCAAACTATATAAATACTTTGAAGGATTAGGGCCAGGGTCAGGCTTAAGTTTTGGGTAAGGTTGGGTAAGGTTAGGTTTTGCGTAATGTAAGTAATGTATCAACAGAACATCTATAAGTATATAGTAATCTGTTTAACTCATCTACGAAGGACCACTGCAAATAAAATGTAACCCCAACTCTAACCTTAACCTCAACCCAAAACCTAATCCTAACCCTCATATGTTTTTTGACGTTACTGAGAGTCCATGGGGTGTTTGTTTCATTTAAAAAGGACCACTCAAAATAAAGTGTCACCACCTTGCCTATGAAGTCTTATTGGGGCAGAGTCGTGTGCTTACCCGGGTGGGGAATCGAACCCTGGGCATCAGTGGTGTTATCCGCTGTGTAATAACAACCGCAGTGTTGTTTCCAATTTAGTTTCGATTAGCTAAAATAACACAATCTAGCTCGGTTGTGTCGCATTTTAAACTGGCAACTCAACATTAGTGACAATAAACAAAGAGCGCTACAGTTTCTCATCAGGTTGAATGGGATTTCTTGCCAACATTCTTGTCCATAAGCTTGTTGCATTTGTAGGTGAAGCATGGATAGGTTAGTTATGCTTACCCTAGAAACACCTACCTTGTTCTTCCACTCCACATTAGGACCACTATACAGGTGTATAACTACACTAGCACAGAATGTGCATCAACTGTTGGGCTACAGTCTCTAACTCCACAAACAAAGCTATAAAGTAAGAGTTTCTAATAATGTGGCCAGGGGTTATAAAGGGTTTTAGAGTTCCTAACCACTGTGTTGGTATGACCTGTGGTTCTAAAGATTTAACTTCATAAGCCAGCAAAGATTTTCTAGTACAGTCCTGAGAAATGAGAAACAAAAGGCCAAAGAATTCACCTTCTGACTGCTTCCAGTATGGGACCCCGATCGGGGAGATGCTGTAATTCTGAGAGGCTAAGTTCTTGAAGTGGACCACCACCCTGTCATTGACCACTGCTCTGATTGTAGGACCCTGAATACCTGCAACACAAAAGCACAATAATATAAACTGTTTTAATGTCAGCTTTTTTCAGGTAGCCTAATGTTTAGAGTTTGCTGTACTCTGTAAAATAAAGGTTCTTAAGTGGTTTGGCTTAAATATACAGTTCTGGGAAAAACAAACTTTCATTGGTGTAAAACCTTAGCATGATGTGGAGAGTCTAAACTTTATAAAGGTTCTTGCACTTCTACATATTTAGAAAAATGGGTCTTTAAAGAGCCACTTGAAGTTACTTTGCATCATCTACAGCCTTTATCCAAGGGAACCTTTTGGGTTGCCTTTATTTTGTGTAGTTGAATGCCTCTAAGCCAAGAATTCAGACTGTGAATAACTTGATTGTTTAGGTCACTTTACAGAGAAATTGACAGTTTCTCAGTAATCAGCCAGAAATATTTGTCACAACCTTGCTAAAAATATACATTGAATGATTTAAAGAATAAAATCTCATGCACTAACCAGCCCATGGAGGTTTTGTTTTCTGAGTAGTGAAAGTAGAATCTGTAAATTCGGTGTAAATGGCCTTCTTGAATTTCTGGACACCAGATGCAAATCTCCTGGCAAGAATGAAGAGATAAAGGCCATTAGGTCACTCCTTGCAATAAGAGATGCATGAAATAGTAACACTTTACTTTTTTATATTTTTTTGTCCAAATGCCCAAACCAAAATGAACTCCTGCAAGACAGGGAATGTAGGCGCACTTAACTGAATGCAAAAGTAAAACATACAAAAACAGTCGCGTGTGAACGTTTGGGGGCATAACTCTGCAGGAACAAGCTTACATGGGGTGTTTAAATACAAGAAAGGAAAATATACAAAATAACTTTTGCACAGGCCACAGTTTTGTACAGTTTTGTTGATTTCATCTAATAAGCAGTAACTGTATATTAAAACGTGCAGTGTGTTCTCTGTAGAGGATGTGTTAATTATTGTTGCTTAGAAAATTAACAACACATAAAACTTTTGCACAAGACTGTATATTTTTAAAGGGAAGTTTGACTGAATGTTTCTAGATGTCTATATAATTCGATCGTTAACAGTCATTCAAAGTGGTTTGGTGTGAAATGCCCCATTCTAGGGAGTTAGAACTGTTCACAGTGGTGGTCATAGGAACCAGACGTCTGAAGAGCTTAATCCCTCTAAAAGCTCCCGTGCATGAAATTATTACATTTAATGGTTATGAATATGATGCCTGATGGCTGAAACATTGTTTTATGATAGTTATGAGCTGAGCAATTGGTCTAAAACTTCTTTGAATGCCATTTAAGGTACAGGGCACTGTAAGATTTAGCTATTTTAACCAGCATCAACATTACATATAAAAACTCAGGAGATGTGTAGGTTCACTAAATAAAAAAAGCTATATTTGTGTTGTAGATATGACGACCCCTGGTTCCTATCACCACCAATGTAAAGAAATCTGAGTCAGTAAGTTTCTCTAGTGCAGAGCATTTCACATGAAACTACTCTGAATAAAAATAAGTTAACACATCCTCTACAGAGAACTGGACATTTTAATGCACAGTTACTGTTTATTTGCTGAATGTAACATCTTGGCAAAAAAATAAACATAAAATATTATATATACTGTATACATTATATGTACTTTGCATACACTTGTATGAGCACTTTGTAGGTTTACAGTTACAGATTGTAGCCCATCTGTTGGACTAGATGAACTACAATTCTCTAATAAAACACCAGCAAGGTAGGGGTTTCTAGGAAAGTGGCCATCACTGCACACAATACCTTGCTGTTGAGAATGGTCCACCTTCCAAATATTATCTGGCCAGTGATGGCCCTATGGTGGTCCCTTTTTTTAGGGCAAGAACAGGCCTGATAAATGTGCAGAATTTAACTGGGCTACAGTCTGTAACTTCAACCCTACAAAGAACACCTATATTGTGGGCCTTTCTGATAAATTGGCCAGTGCATATACATATCAGGTAGAGGTTTCCACTAAATGGGTCGCTCAGTGTAATGTCCACTCTCTTGGTGTGTCTGTATTACTTATATGGAGGCCTTTACCTTTGATTGGCGGCCGAGTCAGTGCTGTCCATGTTCAGGTAGTCCCAGCTTGTTTCAACGACAGCGATGAAGAACTCCTGGGTCTTCGCGAGAACGTAGGCATCATACAAGCACACGGCGAGAAAGAGGATGAACTGGAGAGCCTTCATCACTGCAGCATCAGGGCTCCTGTGTGGCTCCTGTTCTGGCTCTGTGAAGTTGCTGAACTAATGAACTTGGAGGAAGTGGCATCTTTTAAAGAGAGAGAAAGTGGGAGGGGGCATCAAGGAAAGGGGAGGGAGAGAGAGAGAGAGAGAGAGAGAGAGAGAGAGAGAGAGAGAGGAGAGAGAGAGAGAGAGAGAGAGAGAGAGAGAATGAGGGGGAAGGAGAGTGCAACAGCAGGAGACTTTGACTTTTAACCCCTTTTATTGAAGCATTATTAATTAAGAGATTTTACATCTTATAGTAAAGAAAAGAGCCAGTAGCAGGAGAGAGAGAGCAAAAAGTGAGAGAGAGAGAGAAGAGGGATAGGGAGGATAAGAGAGAGATAAAGAAAGAGGGAGACAGAGAGAGAGAGAGAATGATGAAGTAATGAGAAAGAAGGATTGCGAGAGAAAGAAAGAGAGAGGAGGAGAAAAAAAAAGAGAAAGGAGGAAAGAGGAGAGAAAGAAAGAGTGAGCAAGACAAGAGGAGAGCAAAAAAGAGAGAAGGAGAGACAGAAGGGGGCAAAGTGAGACAGAAAGAAAGAAAGAAAGAAAGAAAGAAAGAAAGAAAGAAAGAAAGAAAGAGAAAGAAAGGGGTGAGGGAGGATAGGCAAGAGACAAAGAAAGAGAGAGAGCGCGAGAGAGAGAGAATGTTGGAGTAGTGAGGGAGAAGGATTGATAGAGAAAAAGGGAATAAAAAGAGGAGAAAAGAAAAGAGGAAAATAAAAGAAGAGAGAAAGAAAGAGAGAAAAAGAGAAGGGGAAAGGAGAAAAAAGAAAGAAAGAGAAAGGAGGAAAAAAGAGAGAGAGATGAAGACAGAGAGAGTGTGAGAGTGTGTGAGACAGCGTGTGAGAGAAACAAGGGAAGAGAGCCAAAAGAGGTGTAGAGAGATGATTTTTTGATGATGATGGTGCATAACGAGCTGAAGAAGTGATCGTATCAGTGATTGAGAGAAGAGGAAGGAAAGGGAGGGAGAGAGAGAGAGAATGAGTGAGAATGAGAGAGGGGGATTAACTCATTTACTAATGCAGTAATTCAGGCTTCCTAATGCTCACTGTGTTCTTCATGTTTGATGTTTATCAGCACTGACTGACAGATATGAATATGTTCTGCATGTTAATAACCAGCAGATCATGTCAGAGAATCAGAGCACAGGAGCTGTTCTGTGTGTACTGGGCTGATCTGAGGCATGTCCAAACATTAGGGGCTCAGTCTGAGGAAGATGGCCCTGTGCCAACATGTCAGTACCAGTTATGAATGCTGGGAAGTGACAAAGCGGCTATGAGGGAATGCAAATTAAAAGCCAGTCCTCCCCCTAGTGGTCATAAGATGCAAGTACATAAAGTCATTCAGAATAATTTGTCAGATGAGCAGTTTTACCTCTTGTGAACAGACCTAAATGTTATATTTCAGTCACCAAACATATGTTATTAGTTAATTATTAGTAAAACATAACATAATTAATCATTTAGTTAAAACCATATAAGGCTGGTGGTGGATCATTCTCAGCACTGCAGTGACACTGATGTGGTGGTGGCGTGTTAGTGTGTGTTGTGCTGGCACAAGTGGTTCAGACACAGCAGGGCTGCTGAAACACGTCAGTGTCACTGCTGGACTGAGAATAGTCCACTAACCAAAAATATCCAGCCAACAGCGTCCTGTGACCACCGATGAAGCACTAGAGGATGACCAACATGAACTATGATGCTATAGATGAGCTACTGTCTCTCTTATATCTACAAGGTGGACCAACAAGGTAGGTGTGTTTAATAGAGTGGACAGTGAGTGGAAACAGTGTTTAAAAACTCCTGCAGCACTACTGTGTCTGATCCACTCGTACCAGCACAACACACACTAACACACCACCACCACATCAGTGTCACAGCTAAGAATGATCCACCAGCCAAATTATATGCTCTGTGGTGGTCCTGTGGGGTTCCTGACCACTGAAGAGCAGGGTTAAAGGTGGCGGTGAAACAGATGGACTACAGTCTGTAATTGTAGAACTACAAAGTGCTCCTATGGTAAGTGGAGCTGATAAAATGGACAAAGATTGTACACATTGCACCAAAGAGGTGCAGAAAAGAGGAACCTACTATATTTGTAATCAAACCACAGAACTGTTTTTGAACTACTGTTGTTGTGCAAACTGAGTTGATCTGAGGAAGCTGGCCCTCTGCCAATAAGTCAATTCCTGTTATTAAACTGAAAAGGGACAAAGCAGCTATGCATACACATGAAAAGCCAGTCATCCCCCTAGTGGTCATAAGGTGCAGATACATTTAGAATTTAGATTTAATAGAGCATAGATTTAAATTATATAATCTAGACACTAAAACCATGTGTTTGGGGGTTTGTCTTATTCAGTGTTTGACGAACATCAGTGAAATTAGGTCATTTTTAAAAAATATTGTATTCCTGCAGCATCAATAAATCATCTTCCAAAACATTTTTATGGAATCGTAACTCAATTAAGTGTGAACGAATTTGTTTTAGTAAATAAAATGATTACTTTTTAATGTATTTTCAACAGAATTTGATTCTAGGTTAGTTTTATTCATTTTAAATCAAATAATTTATTAAATAAAAAACACCAGAATCTTTTAATTTTAGTACAAATATAAAGCTTAATTCCAAAATTCTGTTTATCCATTCGTAACGTTTCAGGATGTAGGAAGTCCAAAAAGAATAACACAGTTTCTTAAAAACACATTTTTATTTCTCTACATACATCATAATATGTGTTTATCATAATATTGCATTATTACTCAGATACAGCGTATATTATGCGTTAGAAACAAAAGTGGCAAAAACGCATTTAGAAACGAAACGTTTCATTTGTTCTTGAAGAAAACGCCGCTCTGTTTCTGTAATCGAGCCAACAGGATGAGGACTTTTATTTTGATACTTGAAGAGCGCTTGTGCTCCGGAAAGAAACGGCGCGTCGTTGTTTGGTCCGAGTCTGTTGTAGTCCGTCTGTGTGGTCGGGGTTTCATCTCCGTCCTGGTCTGATTCCCGCATGTCCGCGCAGGGCGACTGCGACTTCTTGGTGAAACGGGCCCGGGAGCTCGTGACTGAAGACCCTTGGGCTGCTAAAGCCTGGCTCATCACCGCCCGGACCCTCTACCCCACCGACTTCAGCATACAGGTGAGCGCAGCTCACATAAAGAAGGAGGCGAGGCGCAGTCTGTGCAGACCCCCGGGGTGGACCCTTATTTAGATGGTCCACTCTGGATGCTAGCAGTGCAACCGTTACTGATACAGGCGTTCAGCTGTGCAGACACAGTTTATACACTAATAACATTCAAACCACCATTCAAACACTCGCTGTCCATTTCATCAGCTCCACTGACCACATAGGAGCACTTTGTAGTTCTACAATTACAGACTGTAGTCCTAAGGTTGACATACCCTGTGCCACCATAGGGGTTTCTAGCCCCCCAGCACTGGGCTGTGGAGCAGTGCAACTGCGTTCTCGAGTGATGGAGCTCCATCCGCTTCCTTTGGGATGAGCTGGAGTGGCATTTCTGATCTAATCATCCAACATCAGTATCTGACCTCACTAATGCTTTTCTGGCTGAGTGCAGTCAAATCCTCACAGCAATGTTCCAACAACTAGTGTAAAGTAACTGCAGCAAAGAGGGACAGACTCCCTATTCATACCCTCGATTTCCAAAGCTGGTGCTTCACATGTTTTCATCTGTGACCACATACAGAGCTGCCTAAACGTTAGAGACCAGGTATTTAATTTTCAGGAGATTTGTGTGTAGGATAGATGTAAGATCATCTGCTTTCAAAAGGAGGTGGAAAGTCAAAGGAACATAAGGAGTTTCGAAAATTATTAAAAGATATAGAGGATATGCAAGACCTGGTAGACCCCCGAAACTGCGACCATCAGATAAACAGTGCTTTCATTGAGAAACAAGTGAAAGTTCCAGTGTTGCTTCAAATCTGAAAACATCCACAGGTGTTTCTGTCCGTTCTACCACTTTGAGAGGACAATGCAGTGCTTATATTTTCTGCTTTTTTCTTGATGCTATAGAGTAAAAAAAAAAAAAGAGTTATTAAAAATGGGCAATTGAAAATAAATGAAGTGTGACCTCTGACTTCTGCACAGTACAGTAGATGACCACATCTATAATCACTGACTATGAAAGATTTATTAATTGGCTCCAAAAGGAAAAAAATGGACCAAAATCAGATCTGTCAGTCTGTCTGTGATGATGCTTTAATAAAATTTGAGGTTGGCATCAGCAGATGCTGGTAAAGGAATAAGAGGCGTACTTCTGTTATGTCTGTCATTCCTAGCTTGCTAAGTTCTGCTTTCTGTCTCTCGTAGTATGAGATGTACATCATTGAGCGCAATGCGGAGAGGACCGCGTCAGCCGGCAGACTGCTCTATGACATGTGAGTGCACAAAGAGGTTATAAAATGATTATAAAATGGCAACTTAGACTTGTTCTTCACAACCTAAGTCTCATGTCATGTATAACTGGTCTGCTGAAAGATTGTACTGGTACAAATTATATAACGCTGTGAAACCACAGTTCATGTTAATTTAGCTTTTGTTCTAATTTACTCAAACTTTTTTTGAAATGATTTCTTATTAGCCTATTTCTTCCTATTATTATTGCCATTCTGTTGTTATTATTATTATTCACCATGTGTATTTTTCTTTTTATTTTGTTTTTGTGGAACATGTTTGTATTTGCTAAATGCTAAAAAAAACATCATTTTCAAGTTTTATTGCACCTGCTCAAAATTTTTATGCACATCCTGTTAGGATGTTATACCGCAAAACAAACTGTCTTATGAAGAGTACTTCTTAAGAAAAATGAGGTCATTTAAACCATGAGGAAAATTAAACCGTTAAGAATTATAACTCCACCCTGGTGCTACAATATTGTGATTATTTAAAACCGACTTTCTGCTGTTTGACCATTAGAACTTATTAGAACCATATCAGTCAGTAAAGCACTGTTTAACCAAAACTATTAGACTCTAGAATTAAAATATACAATATAAATATGAAAGTATATTGGCCGATATAATTGGATATCGGAATTTTAAGAACGGTAAAACTGGTATCGTATCAGCCACAAAATGTTAATTTCAGACAGGCCTTTATTGACATCATAGTTCTTGTGAATAGATCTGAACTTCAGATTCATCATTTTTACTGTTAATTGATTTTTATTTTACTATCAATTAGATTCATTAATTTCCCTGATCAGCCGGTGGTGTGGCGAGAAATTACGGTCATAACAGCAGCGCTGCGGAACGACAGCCAGGACAAGCATGCTCAGTTCCTTAAAGGTGGGTTTGGTGGGTCTCTCATGGTTACTAATATAAGTCACAGAGTACAAGAGTAAAGAGTTAAAAGCATTGTAATGTTAAGTAGGGGTTGGTGATATGACAAAAAATGTGTGTTTAATCAGTGTGAAAACAATGTGTATTGCGAAGATATAAAGTATCTGTCATTTTGTGTCATATGTTGACATATTGCTGAGGGCTTAAAAGGGAATTCCAATGATTTTGTAAAAAAAAATCTGCATAATTCAGTAAATGGGATGTAAACAAATTCATTCAGAGTGGTTTGATATTTTAAAATCTTTACAATGAGCTGGCAGAGAGAGGATACTGTTGGTCTTTTGTGTTGAGAGACTTTGACAGTTTGTACAGCTGTTTTCTTCAGGTCAACCGCAATAGCTAGTGTGTCAACCTTGATAGTGGGAATGAAATGATACTTTAACTTAACGTTACATTAGCTGCCTCCTCTAACATCAAGGCTCACAGTGTTCCCTCACAATTGTAAATAAATAAATACATAAATTTATACATATATTTATATACATATTCACACACACACACAGGTAAAGGCTTTTTCTCCAACACATCTTTACTATTAAATTTAAAATTTCAGTATTTGAAACCATGTTGACAGGAACTTTGACAAATGACTTACGCAGAAATTAAAAAAAAAATGGGTGGAATTCTCCTTCAGTTTAAAGGAAGAATGGAGAATAAAACATGTCTTACCACATTAGAATTTCTTTTGCATTTAGGAAAAAAGGTGCTGGGCTTTAATGTTGCATGTGCGCTGCAGATCTTTGTTCTCTATGAGATGCTGTTGTAAGCTGATGCACTAACCGTGTGTGTGTGTGTGTGTGTGTGTGTGTGTGTGTGTGTGTGTAGGTGTGTTTGAAACTCTCCCAGGCCCTGTGCAGTGTCAGATGCTGCTAAAGGCTACTGAGCAGTGTTTCAACACTCTGGAGAAGGCAGAGATGCTTCTGCTGCTGCTGAAGAGATTCCCAGAGTCTGTAGTACAGCATGGGGTGAGTGTCCCTTCAGATATTAGCAGGCTTTATGCAGATCCTAAGGTCTACACATTATACTCAAGTACTATGGAAAGTTTCTTGGATCTGCAAAAATCTTCTTTGCCTGTGTATCCAGGGAAGACCCATGGAGAGAATTGCTGACGGCATGATTTAGTGGTAGTTGTCCATAGCCAGAGCTGTCTGTAGGAGCTGCATTTCACATAGCATGTCATTCAGACTGAGCATTTTCGTACGGTGTGATCATATTGATCATAGGCATGTCCGTACACAGTGGTCTATTCAAATGTACAGTGGGAGTCACCAAGAAACAAGAATTCTGAAATCCCACAATGTATGCCTGGCTTTAAAGAACATTCAACTACAGCTTAACCAGCCAAACAAAAGACTCCAACAAGACATGAAACACTAAACATGAGCTCCTTGGATGCATTAGTCTCAAATAAGATTCTTGCTGTCACTGTGTTACAGAGACTGTTGTTAAAAATGACAGATGAAAAGCATGAGATCAAAACTATGAAACATACTTTACGTACAGCTGGACAGGGGCGCTTTTCTGGCATGGAGCAAAACGTGCTCTTCTCTACTGCGGTGCTGCTCGGTTTAAGATAAATAAAGCAGCATAGCTAGCGAATGCTTTTCATCTAAAACCAGCTAGATTTTCTCTATTTTATTGTTAATGTACTTTGCGCTCATTTACACTAACAGCTACTTAATTCTAAGTCAGTTACTCAGTATTGCATTGGAGTTGGTATCAGCAAGTACTGAATAACGTGTGCTCAGTCTAAAAAAATAGCAACAATGCACCCCTTGAAAAAAACATTATGCTTGGAAAAGTTGAAGTTAAAAGGAAGAGGATGACCAGCAATAAGATGGATGGATACAGTCAAGTGGTTCATGAACCAGCTGTTTAAAAGCCTGAAGACCCAAACCGAAGACAGGATATTCTAGAGAAACACTATCCATGTGGTCACCAGGAGTTGGAAACAACTTGACGGCACTAATAATAATAATAATAATAATAAAAATACTCGCATATGACCTCAAACATTAATTGAATTATGTACTAATGTGCCAAGTTATTAAAAAAAAAAAAGTGCTGTCCATGAAGTAATCTTTGACCGTTATGTGGCGTGGCAACCATAGCCTGCTGATAATGAACTACATTGCATGGCAGAAGATTTGTTTATTGCATTATTAATAAATTAAATGCTCATTTATAATTATTGTTGTATTTTGTTGTCATTTTGTAAAAGCAATAAACCGCAGCAGCCTGTGCATTGGTGATTTTGCCATGGTTAACTGTGGTAGAATTGCTGTAACACACAGCCTCTAGTGGGTTATTGCTTTACTGTAGATCTACAAAAGGCAAAAACAGTAACCAAATTAACGTTTTGTCACACTAATGAATAATATCTTTGATTTAATAGACTGTTAAACTCTGACCCCTTGACTCCTCAGGTCAGTTTAGGAGAATCCCTTCTGGAGGCGGAGAATGTGGAGGACTTGGACACGCCCGTCAACTGTTTCAGGAAGCTGTTTGGTGCGCCCTTTTGTTATTTGCACATTTTTTCCAGTGACTTTAATGTGAATAGTGTGTGCTGTCAGATATTGAAAATTTCCCACACTTTTAATAAAGGAGTTTGAAATAATGTGTGTAATATGTAAACATTGTTAATGTTTCAAGCGTTCATGTCTCAGTCTAGAAAGTCCAATTATGTAAACTAAGCTGCAAAACAGCCTCTTTCGAAATCATAGTGCCTCTGATGTCACAAGAACCAGCACTTTTACATATATTCACCTATTCAGTCTGCAGCACTTTAGCCCCACCCATTCACAGTGAAGTTCAAGGCATAGTTCCAGCTCAATACAATGCAGTCAATCAGAACAGAGCTCAGTTATCTTATATCATTCGTAAAGACACAATAACAAAAACAGCCAGTTTAGTTCTCGAGGTTGGAAAATGTCATGTAAAAATGAAATATGACCATTTTTGGGACATAAATCCACAAAATGTTTAAGTGGTCCACAAGGGAAAAAATAAAATGCTAGAGATAAATGTAGGATAGACCCTTTAATGTGAATTCTCTCTTTTTCTCTCTCTTCTCTCCCTCCATCTCTCCCTCTCTCTCTCTCCTAGTTTGTGATGTTCTGCCGTTAATAATCAATAATATGGAGATGCGTCTTCCTGCTAGTCTCTTGCATAAGTACATGCACAAAGCGGCTGAGTTTTATATTGGCTATGTGACACGAGGCCCCTGCACAGACCCACAATTACAGGGTGAGTGACGGTTCAACCTTCACTTACAGACTCAAAATGGACAAATACGGTGGTTAAGGCATGTGAAAACACGTTGGTTCCTTTACCAGATGAACTTAATGTTGATTTTGTCTATTTTTGCTTTAAATAATGTTTTAACTTTACTTTTTTGGACACTGATTCTTGTGAGCTCAAAATTTGGCAGCCAGGCAATAAATCTTTTATGCAGTGTACATTCTGTCCTTTCGCTGTTCACATTTTTGTTCTCTCTCTCAGGACCTCAGGAGGTGGCCGGGCTTAAGTCACCTGGAATGGGGCGGGGTCAGCGGTTTGTGATTGAGGGGTTGTCAGAGAAATCGTCTGTGGTGACGGAGCCGTGGGAGAGGTTGCTGGAGATAGTGGGCGTGGTCGGAGCGAGGTGTGAGTGGCAGGGCGAGAAAGGGAGCAGGTAAGAATGTTTTTAATTGATTCGATTTGTTTTCCTATGATTCAGAATGCTTTTTAAAAGTGCTCAGAATACACAGAAATGACTGGAGAAACTACATGGATGAGCTGAAACATTATGACCACTCACAGATGAAGTGAGTAATGTTGATTATCTTGTAATAACTGTGCATGTCTGGGATATATTAGACAGTAAGAAAAGTCGATTCTCACAGATGACATGTTGGATGTTGGAGAAATGGGCAAGAGTGAAGACAAGAGCAACTTTTGATAAGAACCTAATTGTTATGGCCAGACGGCTGAGTCGGAGCATCTTTGATAACAGCAGGGATTGTTGGGTGGTCCAGGTCAACAGTGGTGAGTACCTAGAGAGGAGGGCCGAACTATGAACCGTCGACGGGGTGTTGGGCACCCAAGGCTCATTGATGCATGAGGGCAACGCAGACTATCCTGTCTGGTCTGAACTGACAGAATGGCTACTGTGGCACAAGTCTCAACATTTTGTGATCGTAACGAGAGAAATGTGTCATAACATATAGCGCATCACACTCTGCTGCATGGCCGAAGACTGATCAAAGTGCCCATGCTAACCCCTGTGCCCCATTAAAAGGACAGGCGACCGTCATAATTGGACCTTGGAGCAATGGAAGAAGGTTGCCTGGTCCGATGAGTCCCGTTTTCTTTTACGTCACAGGGATGGCTGGGTACTTGTGTGCCGTTTACCTGGGGAAGTGATGGCACCATGGTGCACTGTGGGAAGAATACAAGTGGTGGAGGGAGTGTGATGCTCTGCTGGGAACATACAGCATGTGGAGGACCTAAAGCATATTATGCAGGGCGTCATAATGTTTTGGCTCATCAGTGTATGGGAGGAGAGACTATTGAACTGTGCCTTTTCTAACATTTGGAAATAGCCTTAGAATTTAGTTTAGGCCAAAACATGCATAGTTTGTTGAATATTATGTAGGATTCCAAAGTCAATTCAGTTCAGTCATCTGAGTCTGCATTTCTACACCCCCAGCGTGAGTATTTAATGCAGTTTTGTGTTCTCTTGTATTTAATGCAGTTTTTCTGTGTTTATTAGGACGTACACAGAGCTGTTGCAGCGGGTAAAGGAATTGTGCCGGTATCTGCCCGGGTTGGAGGGAGAGACTCTGTCCCGCTGCTGCGGTCAGATCGTCACCTGTTCCACACTGGTTCTTTTCCGCAGCGCCCACTTCTACGTTTCTACTGTCCAGCCCTCACTCTTTCAGAGTGAGTATGCATATAACTGTGCATGCATGTATAAAAAAAAATCCTGCACTGCAACTTTTAATGCACAGTTACATGTTAAGTAAAAAAAGTAGTACTTGTGGCATGTGCAAAAGTTTGGACACCCTTCCAGTTGTAAAGTCACAGAACTGAAAGCTACACTATATAAATTTGGGGGATTTGTGGATTTAGAGACCTCTCTGATGGAAATTCAAACTTTGTGCTAACACTCAACAACCATAGGCTCTTCTAAGCGGTTGGCTGAGGATCTGAAAATGGAGCTAACTGATGCCTACAAAGCAGGGGTAGGCTATACAAAGTGCTTTCCGCTCCAATTTCCACTGTCCGAAATATCATTAAGAAATGGCAGCTAAGGGGAACTGTGGAAGTTAAGGCCAAGGAAATTGCTACAAAGGCAAAGCAAAACCCCCATATGACAGCAAAGGGCCTGCAGGAAGGTTTAGCTGTCACACTGGTGGTGTATCGTTCTACTCTGCAGCATTGTTTGCACAAATATGATCTGCATAAGAGAATCATCAGAAGGAGGCCTTACCTGCAACCTCATCGTAAAAGTTACTGTCTAAAGCATGTAAAACATCATCTGGATAAACCAGAAGCATTTTAGAAACAAGTGTATGTATTTCCAAGTCAATTTTGAGCCCACTTTACAGCAACATATCAGTAGTACTCAATGTGTCATATGTTAAGCTCTTTAGGTATAAAGAACCTGAAGGAAACATGCTTATTTGTTTCTGTACAGCAGTTTGTTTTGCTTTAATACATTATAAAGTACTGTAATATTTGTTTTAAACATTTCATTTTGTGTGTCTCAGGTCATAATTCTCTTGGGGCGACTCCATGGGTTCTTGTGGAGGATCTGTCGAGTGTGTTTAGCGACGTTGAGGTGGAGAGATCGAGCGGAAAACACGCACACAAGAAACGCAAGCTGGCAGATGGACGAGAGAAAACCATGGTGAGGATCATCCTTTAGTTCATCATCCTGCTGATGATGTGCGTATATCTGTGTGTATAAGTGTGGATGTGTGGATGCCTTGTATATAAAAAAAGAACATCTTTTGTGTGCAGAGTTCTGATGATGAGGATGCTCTGGGTAAGGGACGAGGACGGCACATTCTGGTGAATAAGACAGAAATGCCAGGATGGGCGGAGACTTTAGAACATTTCCGAACAGCTAGAGAGAGCTGGGACCTCCTACACTCTCACGATGCTCTGGAATCAGGTACGCTGTGTGCCTGTGTGTACGTAATGTAAACAGTACTGTGCAAAAGTCAGAGGCCGCCCTTCTGTTTACTTAATTTCCAGTCAAAATGGAAATTAGTTTGTCCACTCTTTTGTGCACCTACTGCCGCTTTAACTCGTCCGTCCTTCCACTCTTCAAACCATCATGTTACAGCTCATTAGACCTCCCAGTAAAAGCTGTTCCCAAAGATGTCACTGAGATTATGTTCCCTAACATTGACACTAACATTGACACAAGTGACTACTGAAACTCACCTTAACTGCCTTTAAATTTCCTTCTCATGCGCATCTAAAATCTTTAAAAGAGGTATTTTTATGTTACATATAGGATAATCCACTGGCATATAGAAGGTGAAAATGGGATGCCTTAGAACTGCAATAGACCTGGTAGACCACCGGTCAACAGTCACCATCAGATAAACAGTACCTAATGCTTTCACTGAGAGAGGGGAGTAAATCAAGCCCCACTCTTGCTTCAGATCTGAAAAAATCCACAACGATATGGGTCTGAAATAGTGCAATATAACAATATTTGTCATTATCATGATAAATTACGTTACAATATCCTTTTCTGAGCAAACTGTGGATATCGTCAGTACTTTTAAGAACACAGGCATGTTTCATTACAGTAAGAGCATGTTTAGTCATGTTTAATTTAATGTGTTGCAGCACAGTCTGTGAAACATTGAATAAAAATATTTGTATTTAACATTTTTGATAGCTTTTTTAAATGTGACAATACTGGCCTTTTCCCCTGTTTCCATTTCTAGAAATATTGCAATATTATATTATGATATTATTATGCCATATCGCCCACCTCTAGTCTGAAAGGATGCAAGGCTCTCAAGAAGTCATTACTGAGAAAAGCACTGGACATCTAAAATTTTACAGATGGTTTTTCAGGCTAATGAGTCTAAATTTGTATTTGTAATTATTTGGCTTGTGAGATTGTGAGAAGCGAACAACTTCTAAGACTGAACTTGTGGGTGTGGAAAAAATATCCCTTTGAAAAACTGAAAGTAAGTCTCTTAAAAACTAATGGAAGCTGTAATAAAGGCAAAGAAGGACACAGTAAATACTTAAAAAGCTGTAATAATCTGTTGATTGTTATTTATTTCTCACAGAGTTCAATAAGATCTGCGTGGCTTGGAAGACTGAAAGCTGGCTGTGGTTCCGAATATTCCTCACTGACATGATCATATATCAGGTATGGTCTTGTTAGTAGTTGAGTGGTGGGGTGGTTGGTTGATAGCATGATGTTCATCTATACTGTGTGTTGTGTAAAAGTGCACATTTGCTGTTTACATATGCAAAGTAGATTGATGAAAATTGGTGACTAAGGATGAGGTTAGAGACATTGTCGCAAATATGAGGAAACCCTGGAGAAGAGTACAATGCCAGCTCTCTTTTATGTATATTTTTTTAGATAAGTCAGGAAGAATATAGGAAATATAAGAAAATATAAAATGTAATGCTTTTTAAGTTAAAATGAAAGCAAATGTTTTCGGTAGTGAATTTAATAGCAACCATAAGTGACTGTTTCCATTGAAATTAATATAATTATGCAGTTTTTCTCACAAAAAGCTAGTGTGTCTGGATCTTAAAAGACAAAATATATAATTTTTGTTGTTAAAATGCTTTCTTTTTCATAAACCGTCATGTCTGAATGCTTTATTCTTTTTTTAGAAGCCCTGATATGAAAATTGTGGGCTAATATGCATATCTGCTATTTTTCAATGACATATTGGTCTATACTGATACATAAACATTTATAAAATGTTGACATTGACACTACATATATTTGGATTACCATTACAGAGAAATATAACATGTATATCTGCATAGTTACGAATGCAGTGAAATGAATAAAATGTCACCTAAATGTTTTGCTTTTCTAGAGTACAATAAATACATAATTAGATGTTGGCTTGAATTATCTGTCAGTCTGTTATATCTTATCATCTCTCCAATGCCAGTCATTTAAAGCAATTTTCAAGCAATCGTCTGCCAATACTAATCTGATTCCCATGTCACTGTGCATTCCTAATTAATTTCATGTGTATGTCTTTCAGGGCCAGTACAGAAAAGCCCTGTCCAGTCTGGTACAGATGTCAGCCCTGCAGCCCCAGCAGAGCCAGAACTCACTCACAGCAGCGTCCAACCTGGAGATGCACAGAGCTTTGATACAGCAAGCATCCTGCCACTATGCACTGGGGGAGCACAGGGTAAAAACGTAGCACACAACGTCTTTTTGCTATATACAGTCATATGCAAAAGTTTGAATACCGTTTCTCAAATTAGATGTTTTGTTGTTTTTCTAAATGAAAAATGCTTTATTTTTTCACAGTATGTCAAATTCAGCAAATGAACAGTATTTGTATGAATGTGCAAATAGTGTAAAATGTGCAGAAGTGTGTTTTCTTAGAAAATCCATCGAACATCATTTGAGCTGTGGCGCCCACACCTTTGCGTACGACTGTGATTCAATTGCATCATTTTTTTGGAATGTTACAGTTAATAATATTCTATAAAGTATGCACCAATTTTTCTGCCAAAATGGACTTTTCTGCTTCTTTTTCAGCATGAAATCTTAAAACATTTGTATATTCTGTGTAATTTTCACAACTGTACCAACATATTTAAGGTTAGATGCCTGGTGGTACCGCAGTAGCAGGCCCCAGTGCAGTAAAAACTCCAGTTCTTTTATTGATTTATTTCATGCAAGCAATAGCAAAGACGCTAGTATTCCCAACACATGAGCATAATAGAACTGTTAAACATGTCGGGCGTAATGAAATCCTTCATTAATTCCACATTTCATGTACCTAGCATAGACTGTAGAAACACAGCTGTTGAGCTGCACTGGTTGAACATTTGGTGCTGCAGGCAGATATTATGCCTAAAAAAGCTGCCTGTATAGTATGGCGTACATTTTAGCACATCCTCAAAGCACAGCGTCACATTACTGAAATCAGAAAATCAGATCTTAATTTAGTACCAAGAGTATTTGATGCCTGGTTTTAAAAATATCGTTATACGTATTGTGCTTAGTGAAAAAGATGTTAGTATTGTGTTATGATATTTGTGCCATATCGCCTACCCCTAATTGGATGGTAAAGTTTATGTGACGTTCGCAATTTCATTTTTTATTACTAGTTTAATTACTCTTTTGTCACCAAATTTAGGTTTACAATATACTACTACTGCATTTTTTACTAAACAGTGCTATTATTATGGTCTTTTATTTGACAAAGATTAAACTTCCACTTGCACTCTGAGTGGAAGGTTATCACTGTGTTTGCTCCCACGGCTGCTTCAGTGCAAGTGACGTAGTAGTAGTATTAGTAGTATTAGTAGTATTATCTCTCCAAGTACATTTGCTGATGCTTCTGGACACATCACCAGTGATGTTTCTGGAGAGATGTCCTTGTTAAAAATAATAATACCAGCCTAATTTAACTGTTTAGACACATGCCTAAATCAAATCGTAATGAAATTTGCAAGCCGGCTTTGGATTTCTGTGCTGTGTTTGTGTTTATGGTGTTAATCTTATTCCCTAGCTGGCATGTGAGAAGCTGTTGGAGGTTGTCAGTGGTCTGGTACCTCAGAATCAAGAATCAACAAAGTCCAGTGAAGAGCAGGGCAGAGTCAGGAACAAGCCCAGGAAAGGTACGTTCGTCTGGGCTTACCAGAAGAGCAGTCCACTTTATTGACTGCCGTACTGTCATACTGGACTGTCATAACCACTATGAATTACACACCTCCAGCAGTCTCAGCGTGCACCAGAAGTTTATGTTAAAATCACAAAAACGTTCTTATAGGAACGATGCTGCCAGACCTCGCTACAGGGGACTGCTTTCTGAACTTGTCTTCAAGGTTGTTTTCAAGGCTGTGATTCAGAGCATAGAGTGAAATGTGCAGAACTTGCTAACTCCTTGCTAACTATATGGAATGTTTTGTTGATTTGTGAAAATAATGTAACAGGTTCTCTACAGGGAACAGACTTAAATATGCCATTTTCTGACATTGTACAAAATTTCTATTCTTTTGATGAATTTAACACATTGGAAAAAAAATGGATAATAATAAAATAGTAAAAGCATAAAATATGAACTGTACCAGAACTTTTGCACAGGCCAATTTTTTCTTAGATTTTTTTTCCAATATGTTAAATTTAGCAAATAAACTGTATTTGTGGATTCAGGTGTGTAGAACTGTGTTCCGTGTAGAGAATGTGTGCTTATTTTCAATTAGAAAATCAACAAAACTTGTCATTTGACCAAGGTGTGCCCAAACTTTTGCATACAATTGTTTGCCTGTTTATGATTTCACAATGCTAGCAACAGTGAACAGTCAAGTACTTAAAAAAAGGCATTTCTATGGTGCAATTTGTTTATGATGTCACAGTGGTGTTCTTGCTAACCATAGTGAACAGTCATATTCTTGTATTTCCAATGACATTTAGTCCTTAATAACAGTGAACAGTCATAGTTTAAAGGCCAGGGTTCGCTGAACGGACAAACGTAAGCATTCACACTGGTTCATTTTACTTGACGTTCTAAAGACGACTGCAAGCATCGCCAGCATTAGAACACTCAGGTTTCTTCATGTTTGTCTGGTCACTGTGTTCCGGACCTTTTGGACCTCCTTTGATGTGGTTTTGAGATCTGTGATGTCACAGTTCTAAGAATTGCATCTTTACCGTATTTCTAGGCAATGACCTGAGGCTTGTTCCGTGCACCAGCAAAGACATCCTGCCGTTCTGTTTGCAGCTGATGTTGGCCTGTTTCAAGGTGTGTGTACATCAACACCGGACTGACCATATATAGTTCTAACTTCATTTCAGTTGCTTGTCTGTGAGCGCTTGCACATGTACCTGTTTGTTACATTTGGGACATTCGGGAAGCCGATTCAGTCTTAGAGGCCCTGACCCAAATTATTGCGAAGACATAGGGGGTCAGGAACTTTTGACTTAAACTCAGAAGCTAATGTCATTTGCACCATATTAATTTATAATAAGCCAGTTATTAGATAAAATGCTAGCTTTGAAGTTACCCACTAATAACTAGGTTTTTTTTTTTTATTGTTTACTGTTTGATTTATATATTTTTATATGGTTTATATAAATTACCCAAAAAACTGTTTCTGTTTGCAAAACATCTGTTTGTAAGCTACCTTACACAAACCTCAAATCCAAAAAGGTTGGGACTGTATGTGATATGCAGATCAAATGAAATTAGTGGTTTGTAAATCCAGCTCTGTCACCCTTTGAAAATGCGTGCAAAACACAGCAATGATGGAACCGTATGGTTGCACAGTTGAAACCCTGTTTAACAGACAAATGGCAAACAGTTCAAAATTCAAACAGCTTTCAAAGTGTTGTTAAAAGGAAATGTAATGTAATGCAGTGGTAAACATGCTCCTCTCTTAACTTTTTTAGAACATGTTTAGAATTTCATGCAGATATGAAATTTAGAATGAGCATATATTTACGAAAAAACAATGAAGTGCAGTTAAGGTAAAACATGAAATATTGTGTTTTTGTACCATTTTGAATGTATTACCGGTCAAACAGAATTTACTAATCACTTCTTTCTGTTTTTATTAGTATTTAACTTACTGTCCCAACATTTTTGGAATTGGGTTTGCATGTGGAATGTGTAATACCATTTCACAAAGTACCTCAAAGTCTGCTAGATGGCGCTGTAATATTTTAAATACCTGCATTCACTCTGGTGTGAAAGGCAAACATTAATCCAAGATCACAGCATTGAACAGAAACATGAAGAGAACTTAAAGAGAAATCTTTAATGTTGAGCAACTTCTGAATGCTGTTTTGTGTGGCTGTATTTTATATCTTAACAGTGCAGTTTTGTTGCTTCTGCTGCTGGCAAAAACACAAACACATAAAAACTTTCATATAGATTTTGGTGATTTTATTCAATAATTCATTAAACCTGTTCAATATGTCAGAAGACCCATAAACATACACTGCATGGCCAAAAGTATGTGGACATCTGACCATCACACCTGTAAGCTTATTGGACATTCCATTCTAAAACCATGGGCGTTATTATTGAGTATACTGCCATTGTTTGTCTATGAAGATTGCATGGCAACTGTTAGCAAAGGAAGCTGCTGAAACTCCTGAACTCTGTAATTAGCAGGGGTCTCCACATACATTTGGCCATATAGTGTATGTGAAAGGAAGCTTGGCTACTGATAAAGTTGATAAATATGTCTGCTGGTTTGGTCCCAAGTTCCTAGTTGATTCTCATTCATGTACAAAAACATACATTTCAGTAAACTGTTATCTGCTAGTGTTTTGAAGCAGTCATTATTCTGTTCTGTATGAACCCAGGGCTTTTTATTGTTGCACAATCAACACCACCAGACGGTTAACACCTTTAACATGTCTTTTTTCTTCTCATCCTCTCTTAGTTGCGGGCATTCGCAGATGGTGGCAGGGATGACCTAGCCCTGGGTCATGTGATCGTTCTCCTGCAGCATGATTGGCCACAGGGCGAGACTCTGTTCCTGAAGGCAGTGGACAAAATTTGTGACCATGGGAGTTTTCAGTATGAGAACTTCTTCAACTATGTCACCAGTATCCTTTAAGGAGGGTAAACCATCAAGTTTATGGTTAGGTATACAGGTACAGGAGTGCACAGGTCAGTAGAGAAATTCCAAACATAACACATCTAGTGTCCGTTTGTCAGATTGTGTGGGTGAGTGGAGATGCTGCCAGTGTTATCTTTTATTTACAGTACTATGCAAAAGTGAGAGACCACCAAACAGCCATAAATACAAGATATACATTTTTCAGGAGATATTTTTGAGGAGATTAGATATACAGTGATCCACTTGCATAATGAAGGAGAAAGTCGAAGTAAAATAAGTGAAATATAAGCATTTCCAAAACTGGAGGTTTATTAAAAATTATTAAAGCAAAATTATGAAATACCTAAGAACCTTGCAAGATCTAGTAGACCACCAAAACTGTCCCTTTCAGATAAATAGGAGAGAGAGGAGAAAATCAAGCTCCACAGGTGTTTCTGTCCATCATTCCACTGTAAGAAGACAACTCAGTGCTCTGGTTCTGAAAGGATGTGTAGCTGTCAGGAAGCCTTCACTGATTCAAACAAAGAATCTGCTGGTGTTGCCAGAACTATAGATTGACCACTTCAGAGACCAGACCTCAACATCATTATTGTGCTATTGCTTGGTTGTTGAAGCTAATTTTCTATTAAATATATGTTTTGTGATTTTTCTGGTTTTTGCACCATCTGTTCTAGAGTGTAAGGAATTTTTTTTGTATGTGGAAGTAAATTAGTTTTATTACTACTTACTATGTTTTAAGACAGCCCTTAACCAGTAACCCAGACATCGATATGTTGGAAGAGTTTGCGTACCTCCGTACAACAGAAGGGGGGCGGGTCCAACTGGAGTTGTTGCCCAATCAAGGGATGCTAATTAAGTGAGTCCTTTCTTTTTCATCGACCATAGTTAAAAGGTATTGATGGAGAAAATAACAACAAATGACGGTTTAAGTTTTTTCTTTTTTTAACCTATTATTTTGCGTTCTTTTTGTTTTGTTTTGGACATGAGAACTCTCAGCTATATATATTTCCAAAGGGAAGAATATTAAGTTTACAGTCCTTTCTTTCTGTTGATCTTTCTTTCCTCACCCTACTGTGGTTAGCTGGCTTAATTTTCTAAAGATTTCCATCCTGCTGTGTGATTGGCTTATCTAGCATCTAATGACACCTGACCTTTTTGTGGAACTAATGCCAGGGGTGCATTCAAGACAGTAGTGCTAGGAATGATTGTATAAGTATAATGTGAAAGATAACTAAATTTGCCAGTCTGTTAAAGGGAAGAAAGTTGTTTTTTTCTAGAACTTGGTTCCAAATATATGCTTTCACCATTAAAATGATATGGTACTTCAAAGATGCTCCTCTAGGTGGCAGTAGTGAGAACCGCTGTTAAAGGGACACTCCGGCCAAAATGAAAAATGTAACCATTGCTACATCTGTTTTAAACACTCCGGCATCTGACAGTGGTGATGCTTTAGGATCCAGATTGAGATTTTCCAGCTGAAAGACTCAGAAAACACCCTTCCAATGACATATCTTGAAGGCGGGAGGAGCCTTTGAAAAACTACAGCTGCTTTAGGGTGGATTTTTAAGGGCATTTTTAAATTATTTTATTATTTTATTTATTATTTAATGGTAAGCCAAATATCTTATTGCAGCTATATAGCTGTAGTACCTGTCTCCAAATCATTATTACAGTGGCGAGAATGGATGACTCGAACAACAGAAATGACTCAGATGAGCAGGATAAGCTAATAGCTAAAGTTAGCAAGATAGCAGGTTATCTAAATACCTCAGTTTGGCTCCTTTTCTCTGACTAAAAAGGGTAAAAACTTGTCTCTGGCATCCATTTGGTGCAGAATAAAGATAGAATTGCCGTTTACATTTTTGTTTGACAACTCAGGTATAAGTTATTTATATATTAGGCAGTATCTTAGTGGCTAGTGCTCAGGATTGGTTGACACCTCAGGGGATTACCACTGATTGCATGATATACACTTTATGGACAAAAGTATTGGGACACCCACACACTACACCTACATGAGCTTTTATGACGTCCCATTCTAAATCCATAGGCGTTAATATGGAGTTGGTCCCCCTTTACAGCTATAACATCTTCTGGGAAGCTTTCTGCAAGATTTTGGAGAGTGTCTGTGGGATTTTTTTGTCAGTTCATCCAGAAGAGCATTTGTGAGGTCAGATACTGATGTTGGACGAGAGGGCCTGGCTCGTAATCTCCGTTCTAGTTCATCCCAAATGTGTTCGATGGAGTTGAGGTCAGGGCTCTATGCAGACCAGTCAGGTTCTTCTGCCAGCCATGCCTCTATGCACCTTTCTCTGTGCACTGGAGCTCAGTCATGCTGGAACAGAAAAGGTTCTTCCCTAAACTGTTCCCACAATGTTGGAAGTATACAGTTGTCCAAAATGTCTTGTTATGCTGAAGCATTAAGATTGCCCTTCACTGGAACTAAGGGTTCTAGGTCAACCCCTGAAAAACAACCCCATAGCGTTATCCCTCCTCTACCAAACTTTACAGTTGGCACAGTGCAGTCAGGCAGGTAATGTTCTGGCATTCGCCAAAACCAGACTCGTCCATCAGACTGCCAGACAGAGAAGCCTGATTCGTCACTCCACAGAACACATTTCCAGTGCTTCAGAGTCCAGTGGCAGCGTGCTTTACACAACTCCATCTGACACTCGGCACTGTGCTTGGTGATGTAAGGCTTGCATGCAGCTGCTCGGCCATGGAAACCCATGCCAGTGCACAGTTTTTGTGCTGATTTCAATGCCAGAGGATGTTTGAACTCTGCATTTATAGAGTCAGCAGAGCATTGGAGATGTTTACGCATTATACACTTCAGCACTCAGTGACCCGCTCTGTAACTTTACCTGGTCTGACACTTTGTGGCTGAGTTGCTATGGTTCCTAAATACTTCCACTTTTCAATAATACCACTCACAGTTGAACGTGGAACATCTAGGAGGGAAGAAATTTCATGAACTCACTTGCTGCAACAGTGGCATCCTTTTACAGTACCACGCTCAAATTCACTGAGCTCTTTCGAACAACCTATTCTTTCACAAATGTTTGTAAAGGCAGACTGCATGGCTAGGTGTTTGATTTTATACACCTGTGGCAATGAGACTGAATGAAACACCTGAATTCAGTGATTAAGAGGTGTGTCCCAACACCTCTTACAGTGCTACACTACAGAACATGGCATAACATCACAAATTACACATTGTTTGGTATTGTTTTAGGCCGGAATGCCCCTTTAATGAATGATCATTTATGGATAAAATTGGGCCATTATGGAGTGTTTTAAAACAGTTTATTTTCACTGCTTGTTCAGTATGTGTGAAATGGATTAGTTGGTAGCTTTGTGCGATCACAGTGTGGTGGAGTGCGTTCAAAGTCTTGAATGTAGCCTGGTTCTTGGGGTGCTGATGAACTGGTGTTTGCTGTCCGTAGGAACCCCAGCCCCGCCCTGGGGGTGGAGTTAAATACCCTGCTGCTTCCAGGGGCTCAGAAGGCTGACAGGTACCCCACCCCATCACCCAAACCCCTCCCACAACCTCACCTCTGGCTCCTCCTATACTCCCATTCCTCAGCCTGCTCATACGCTGTGACATGTCCCTGTATTTCGAAATGATTTCCCCTGATTTACGTTGTTCTTTATTTTCCAGGTCTTCTTTAAGTTTGGTTTTCATTTCATCCGTGTTTTTGGTTTTGATCCATTTTTTTAAAAATTAATTTCTTTATTTTATTGTTTGTGTGAAAACGTGAAATGAGAGCTCTTTAGTTCAGTACAGGGCTGGCCGGAATGAGTCAAATACTTAAGTATTCAGATGTTACATTGGTGTTGGGTTCTCTGTTCAGCAAGGATGCCTGAGAATTCACGTGTAAATTTTAAATTATGTGATAAATATATATGAACAATAATTGCTCAGTGCAAAATTTGCGATCTGAGGCTGGCACACCATGGAGATGATCTGACAAATCATCTCAAATATACTTAGCCAAGGATCACTAGTCTCTGGTGAGTGTGACTGTAAAACCAGAGAGCTCGGAGCCTCAAACTAGTAGTGGGTGGTACACCAGATCATTCGGGATATGAAATTCGGGGTTGAAAATTTTCCTCAGGTAAGTTTTGTCATAACCGCTAAACTGATATGTCGCAAATTGGAGCACAAAATGCAGTGTGCAAATAGTGTAAACCACGCTAACGATATCCCGTTTAGCTGAATGGCCAGAGGGATGTTTGTCATGTTTCACATGAAAAACATCCAGTTCATTGCATCTGAAGCAGCTCACTTTGTTTTCAAGGCAGCAGACATAAAGAAACTGGCCAGTTTTTGGGGTTTGTCTTAGACTAACTTGGACACTAGAGCAATTGCTATGCTTCTGTTTCCTCTCGTATCGCCTGAGAAACTTCTTAACTGGGTCAGCTGCATCTGTCGCGGTTGTGGTCATGGCTTTACAAGTCAGTATACTAGCTGGTACTAATAGCGCAAATGACTGTAATATTTTCCGAGTTCAAGCTAATTCCAGGGTCTGACGGTCAGAGATAATACAAGTGTATGGGACACATGTATGATACATGTGACTTGACAAATCCGATTAAGTTAGCCTCTTAATCAAATGTCCTGTTCCACCTTAAATGGTGGAGCAGGTACATTCATTCACATAGGCTTATGTACATATTCTCCAGTTTTACAATTTTGCACAATAAAATATTTATGATTTACTTTGGATGTTAAAATATTTTTTAGTAAAACGAGAAAGGACATCCCAGAATAATAAGCCACTGTTAACCTACAAAAATAGGTTTACTAAAGCATCCAAAATGGTCATTTTACATTGACTGTTCGCTTCATTAAGTACACCTCCTTCTGTCTACCCTCTTTGTCTGTTTTCTTAGCTCCACCCTATAGGTGCACATTGTAGTTCTATAATTACAGACTGTAGTCCATCTGTTTCTCTGCATACTTTGTTAGCCCCCTTTGGCCCCATTCTTCAATGGTCAGGACCCCCACAGAGCAGGTATTGTTTGAGTAGTTGATTATTCTCAGCACTGTAGTGACACTAATGCAGTGGTGACATATAGAGTTTTTGAACACTGTGTCCACTCACTGTCCACACCCCTACTTTGTTGGTCCATCTTGTAGATGTAAAGTCAGAGACGATAGCTCATCTCTTGCCACACAGTTTGTGTTGGTCATCCTCTAGTCCTTCATTAGTGGTCACACGACGCTGCCCACAAAACTCCAGCAGCACTGCTGTGTCTGATCCACTCGTACCAGCGCAACAAACACTAACACACCACCACCGCGTCAGTGTCACTGCAGTGCTAAGAATGATCCACCACCCAAATAATACCTGCTCTGTGGTGGTCCTGTGGGGGTCCTGACCCCTTGAAGAACAGGGTGAAAGGGGCCTAACAAAGTATGCAGAGAAACAGGTGGACTACAGTCTGTAATTGTAGAACTAGAAATTATTCCATGATATATACAGAAACCAATTATTATTGGTATCATAATAAAGAATTTTGCCCATACCGCCCACTACTACCTCAACCTTGTTTGTTGTGGTGAATTCTGGAAGTGGATGAAGGTAGGGAAAAAAAAAAAATAAATAATATATATATATATATATATATATATATATATATACATATTGCTACGGTAATAAGGATTAAGCCATTCTAGCCAGTGACCATTTAGGATGCAGACCAAGAGCCACATTCCTCAGGGCGGAGAGATTTCAGTTGTCCCGCTGTCTTGCAGTCTGTGTCCTCTAAGCCCAAGTCACTTCCAGTGGTGGTCATACTCGCGTTCTTAGCGATGCATCGATAATGAGCTTTTATGGAAGATTTCGATTTCTTTACAGCCAAATTGGCCAATGGCCCTTTCTTATGACAACTATTATTAGCCTTTTTTTTAATCCATTTGATACAGGTGTTGCAGCCACATTCAAATAAAGCATGAGTGCACTTGCCTGCCTTATTTCACACAGATCTGCCTAAATAAAAACCAAAAATTGGCTCCTTTATTGCCAGTTTTGATCTTGGCCGATTCCAACTGTGGTTCCCTAGTTGATTGTGAAACTTAAATATTATAGTTTTAAAGGGTGAATTCGAGTACTTTCTTAGAAATACCAACGAGTATTCAAAGCCTGTAAAATACTGTTCAGGCCAGCCCTAGTTCAGTATCATTGTCAGTGTATCTGGTTTTCTTTGTGCCGAGGTTTGCGACATCTGTGTATTTTTTTTTTACACATTGTGTGTTGATTTTTCTGTCCTGTTGATTCTGTCAGATGACGAAGTACATTTCGATTGTGTATGTGTGTCTGTGAGAGAGTGTGGTTTTCTATTGGTTTGTATAAGGAAGTGTTGTCAAAGTGGTTTCAGAACTTATGAGTCATTGCATCAGAAAAAAAACAACCTTCCAAAGTGTGTCTTAGTGTTAAAATGAAGAAAAGAAGTTTCATCACATGCTTTTGTCTCAACATTCTTTATGAAACATACACACTATAACATATTCGTCTCCACTCTTTTCAGACATCACACAGTGACCCGCGGCATCACCAAAGGCGTGAAGGAAGATTTTCGTCTGGCAATGGAACGCCAAGTGTCCCGCTGCGGAGAAAACCTGCTCAGTGTGCTACATCGCTTCTGCATCAACGAGAAGATCATACTCATCCAGTCCTTACCTTGACCGTTGGCCCATAACTGCTCTTTGCCCTAAAGGTCATGAAATGCATTTTTTAACAGAACTACTGGTCCCTCTTTATATAAGGTGTCCCTAATAACAGTCTGTTCACCTGCTTATGAATGTGACTACTATATGTACTTCATTACAGATTATATTGTGCATGCTTAAAAAAATTGCACAGCAATTCCAGTTTTGACTCTCGTGATGGTTGGGAATTGTTTAGATTTAAAAGTGACTGTCACTATCGCTGTTCTGTTGTTTCTAAAGGATTTACGAGTTGATTTCTTGATTTTGCGAACAGGGAACATCCAGTACTAAGGCAAAAGTGAATGTAGAATACAACTCTTAAGTTTATATTTTTTGAACAGGAGACATTTCACTTAGTAATGCCTGCTATTTTGAAGAAGCATTGAATATGTTACCTGGTTCAGTAGTAATCAAAATAAAAAAAATTTCATTTGGTGGACTCATTTATTGATTTACTATGTAGGCTGAGACAATGTACCCATTATGGTTAAATAGATCTTTTTATTATGTACACCTTAAATGAAGTTGGACATTTGGAGATACGAACAACAAATGATGTATCTACCAAAAATATTTGTTTTAGAGGGTCTGTGACTTTGATACATTAGAATTGTTGCATATTCTTGTTATTGTATACCTCATGAATTGGAGTTTAAGACTTTCTTTGTTATATAATTCTATGTTTGTAAACAAACAGTAATAAACTTGTTTTTTTTTGTATTTGTGAAAAGTACAGTAGAGTTTTTTACTATTTGACTTCTCCAACAGTTTTAAAAAATTCCACATCTAATCTGTAATCTTTGTGCTGTCTTTAGATGCCTTCAACTTTCGCTCTCTTCACTGTTCTCTGCTGATGTTTTTCTCTCCTTTCTTCAGCAGTCTCATTCTTCTTCTCTCTCAAGAGGAGTAGGTAGATCTGCCTGCAGCACTGCCCTCAGGTTTGCCCAGAACATTCTCTGTTTGGCCTTGTCTTGTGGCCATTCTAAGTAAGTGCGTCTGGCCATCATTGCCTTCAGGTAGTGGTACTTGGAGGGGATGAGATAGGGGGGCAGCGGCTCTAGCAAAATGAGGATGATGTTGTCCAGCCCTCTTGTTAGCCTCTGGTGGCTAGCGAAGTATAGCTCATAGTGACACCAGTCGCTCTGGACAAAGTGGGAGGACAGCACGAAGACACAGCATCTGCTTTGTTCAATGCAATGGAGGATGTTGTGCACAATCGTCTTTCCTGGGATGAAGTTCCGCTCATGGTGGCATATTCGTAGTCCATTTCGGATTGTTGCTGAGTTTTCGCCCTCCAGCTTGGGCAAGAGTTGACTTTTTACCCAGTCAGAGTTCCGTTGGCTATAGGAAATGAAGGCATGGTAATGCACCCCTTCTAACTCCTCTGGTCGTTGCTGGACAATTCGTGTACGATGCTTTGCACGAGTCCATTTCCAGATCATTCCCAGGTACCATGGAATGTCTAGTTGATGGCATAGCATTCCCACAACAATGATTAGGGTGAATGCTGGGACTAAAATGGTGGCTGCCAATAGTCCAGCATTGCATGTGATCTCGGGCAGACTGAAGTTTTGAAGTTTTGCATGCCTCCAGTATTCTGGGTAACTGCAGCGATACCCTTCAGGCCAGTGAGCCAAAGCAATCCTGCGGTTCTTCCAAGCTTTTGATCCACCCAGTGTGCCTTTGCTGTCAATGAGGGTGGTGAAGTCTCGCAAAGGGCAGGTACAGATGTAGGGGTTATGGCTTGTGTCGAGGACAGTCAGATGTGGACAGGTCTCGAGAGCACCTGGTGAGGGAACATGAAGGGAGTTCCCACGCACTACAAACCTCTGTAGGTTTGGGTACCCCAGACAGTCCGGCAGATCCAGGAGACGATTAGATGTAAGATCTAGAACTCTGAGAAAGTCCAGACTAGAGATATTTGCAGGAACTGCAGTGATCTGGTTGTTCTGGAGGTTCAGAATGGCTATAGCACTTGGCAAACACTTAAACACGTTCTGGTCAAATCCGTTTGAAGATAAATCTATGTGGGTGACTTTAGAAGGCCAAGTGCAGCGTCCCTGGTCCTCTTCGTAGGTCAGTGAGTTCTGGCTGAAGTCCACATATCTGAGAGAGCTCATAAGGCTAACTCTTGAAGTGAGTGGCATCAAGTGTCTAAGGTTATTACCCTTCAGGACAAGCTTCTCCAGATTTGTCAAAGTATCACATTCGTCATGCAGACCTTTGGAGAAGACCTTTTCAGACAGGGCACAGTCAGACAAATCAAGCATCTGTATCATGCTAACAGCTGCTGGGCAGGTCATATGGACTATTGGTGACTGAGCAAAAGTTAGATTCTTCGTAGGCATGTTAATAAAGAAGTCATAAAGGACTTCCTGTTGAAAGATGAATACAGTCACTGATGACTGCCTGACACTGAAGGAATCTAAGAAATAGTTCTGGAGCACATGTCTTCCTCCATTCATAGCAGTTAGAGTAAGGTTGGACGCACTGAACTGGCGGATAGGGGACATTAAAACACTGTTGAGAAAGGCTGTCATGACATTCCAGGTGCTCCGAACAGCAGATAATTGTAAATGCTCTGCTCGAATGGTTGCTCTCTGCATCACCAGGTCTCTGAGGAAGTCCTCTGGATCATATAACCAGCTGAGCTCTACATCCTTAAAGGATGCTATGGCATCAATTATTATTTGGTGGTCAGTGGCTTTGTTTGACATTACAATAGAAACTTTTTCTGCTTTCAGACCTGAGAGGCTTCCCTTTTCATAGTGCTTTACATTCTGGGCCTGGATGAAGAGAGTCTGGAGGAAGAGATCAGAAATGCTAGCAAAGTCATCATTCCGAATAGTGTCAGCACTCAGGCCAAGCCACCGAAGGTTTGTGAGTTTGGAGAACTCAGTCCCAAGTGCCATTACTGCAAACGTGTTGCATGACAGGTCCAAGTACTGTAGGCTTTGTGCATGCAGTAGATACTGCTGGTTGGACAGGTTTTGGAGTCTGTTGTAGGACAGGTCTAGTTTTTCCAGAACGGGAGTGGAGACAAATGTGTCCACATGTATATCCACAAGTATGTTCCAGGAGAGGTTGAGGAAACTGAGGCTGGGTGTTTTGAGGAAGTCATGTTTCTGCAGGGTCTGAATCTGATTTTGAGAGAGATCCACACCATGAGCAGAAGATGGGAGATCAGAAGGAACAGTAGAGAGGTTTCTGGAAGAGTAATTGAGAATGACTGTCTCCATGGCCAAGGCGGAAGTCAGGAAGAATACCAGGAATACACCCAGTGGTCGAACAGGGTACCCTAGAGCCTTCATTACTCTAGTTGAACACTGTCTGTGAAGAGCACAAAGAGACAGTTTGAGTAAAATTGTAAGTTTGGTACATATAGAACGGATCACTGTTGTTCTTCTGTTACCTTTACATATGTTTTTGTGTGTGTGGTTGTTATTATTTGTTATAACAAAATAATGCCAGTGGGTTCTGTGGTACACAGATAGAAAAAACAGTACTGTACAGGTAGATTGTTCTCTTGCAAGGTACAGACAGTGTTCCTTCAGGTTACAACGTGATCCGGAAGATAGATCCGCAATTGAGTACCTTACATGAGTTTTAAAGGCAATTTACATTCACTTTCCCAAGGCAACAATGCACATTTATAGCTTTTCTTATTTTGTTCAGCAGGTGCAAGTATTAGGATTGGGCATGGTCATGAAAGAGGTCATATGCTGTCATGAGTTGTCATAACAGAATATGTCCAGTAATATAACAGTGTCATGTTACCGGTAATTGTCATGACGTGCAATAATGTTTGATGTCATGATGGCTAACTAGAGTACACCTAGGACAAGTTAGCACATGACATCTGCCATGGTCATGCCAATACTATGTAGCAGGGTTCAAGTAAAGTGTTTTCCAAATAACCTAAAACAAATTGCACTCTATCTAAAACACATTCGCAGATAAGAACTTCTATTTAATTTGTCTGGACAGCAATAACTATCGATAACTACATGGATAGAGTAGCCTAAACCAACACTCAAGTAAAAATAATGTTACTTCAGTAAAATAATGACTGAACTACCTTTCCAAAAACAACTTTAGTAGAAGTTCAAAAGCTCTATAATTAACTAGTTCCCTATAGAACTGCATTTGAACTTCCAGCATCCCATTTCTGTTAGCACAGAAGCTGAAGGTGCTCCACTTGGTCTAAAATAACATGATAAACCTCAACAGTCAGAGGTGTGACCAATCACAAAGCAGTACAGATTTTCCACCAATGTAATAATAATAATCCTAATAATAATAAAGTATATTTTTTTGTGCCTTTCATAAACCCAAGAATGTTTTACATTGAGAGGCAAAATATCAACACATCAACCCCAAAACCTAAGACTAAGACGTAAAATGCACAAAAAAGAATTGATAATTAAATGTCAAAAACTAAAATTAAAAAAAAAAGTAGATTCCATTACTTACTTATATACTTATGTTAAAGTGCTATTACTTAAAATTACCCCCGAAAATACACAGACATCAAAATAGTACTTAATTACATGTAACTGAGTAATGGAATTTTTACCCACCTCTGCTTCAATAAACTTTGTACATCTTATACTGACATGAGGTCAAAGTACAGTCTTGTCAGACTGTTGACAAATCATAACTTTTTGTTGGGTGTGAACCTCATGGTTACTTTGGTAATGTTTGGTGCACTATTAAGCACAAACTACATCTTCTTAGCATAGTTAAAGATGATATCTACTTACTACAATTACACAAATAAAGACAGTAAGCTGTATACTTCCTATGATCAGTTGATTGTTATGAAATATTCAAACATCCCCCCCATAAATATAGAACACTTTTTTACAAATAATTACATAAGCCATCTGGTTTCGCTACAATTATTCAAATTTCATTTCCTTAAGGGAAATTTACAAACCTGCAAGGTTTATCAAAAAAACTGGATTCATTAAAAAGCTGTACCCTTATCATTTAATGACTGTCTACATACCAGTTTACTGAAGAATCCCTTGTTTGCTGGTTACAATGAAAGTATCAAGTTGCAGTGTTTTAGTTAAGGCTGAGCAGCGCATCTCTGTACTCTCTTCCACATGACATTTTGTAGCAGCAGAGAAACTGTGAATGTGAAAGTAAGTCATTTAAATAATGAAGCTTCACTTCTGCTTTTTTTGCTTTCACACTTCTCCAAAACAGAGCCACTTCCTGCTGCTCCCCCTGCAATACATGTCATCAGTTTCACTTGGTAAAGAACTGAGATTTCTAGGCAGATATACATTTTTGGGCAGGCCAACTTGTTAGATACAGTTTCCAAATGTTCTATATACAAAGACAAGGAAAAACAACACATCAGACTTAGAACCCTGAACTGAAACATCCTAGGCTAAAGCATACTGCCACAGCTGTCTTACTTTTGATGATGTAGACTAGTTTGATTTGACATTTTGACAAATTTGCAGGCCACTGGTAGCAACTTTTAAAAAATTATTATTATTATTTTTTTTTATTTAAACAGGATCACTTTTACAGTTCCTGCACATTCATCTTTTGACTGCAGCTGGGTTTCAAATTCAAACACTGGAGCAAGACAAGAAATGTACATAATACAGTGATAGCACTCACAGAAAACAAGTCAAAAATTAATTATCTTAAAAACAGCAGCTTAATAAATATTCTGTGCTTATTTGCTTGGGTAGGCCTGAGATCACTGAAATCCACTACTATCTAAAAGATACTGCGAAGTAAAAACTAAATTTGTCATAATATACAAAAGAATATGATGCCCTTTCATCAATAACTCAAAGCAGTCATAGTGCACCTTTTAGTAAATCCCTCCACTAAGTACAGAATGTTTAATTATAGCTTAGCAACTCCAACTAGGCCCGAGCAACTCTGTGTAATCAGCAGTAAAGAAAATGCTGTAACACTGTTCAGGGAGTTTTTTTTACCAATTTCTAAACCAAAGACTTGATACACAAGTACAAGGGTGCCCAATGCTGGTCCTGGAGATCGGCCACACTGTGGAGTTTAGCTCCAACCCGAATCAAACACACCTAATCCAGGTAATGAAGGCTTCCAGGAGCATCTGAATATTAGAGCCAGGTGTGTTGAAACTGAAATTTCCAGGCTGGTAGATCTCCAGGACCTGGAATAGGCACGCCTGCTCAAGTACATTTAAAGCCAAGTACTCAAGTAAGCCAGCAGGATGTTGTGTAGGGCCTCCAGGTGTTCAGAAACGGCCCTGCTTATAATTTCGACTAATTTACTACCATCTTTCTCACTCCAGCTTTGCACCGAGGAGCTTTTCCTTCACTTGATGGAGGAAGAACTGCTTAGAGGGAGTTGTGATTGGCTGAGAGGCCTGTCATTTATTATTTTGCCAACATTTGGAAGCCCAACAGCCTGACCCGGTTCAACATCCTCCTCTGCCCGTGTCTATGTGCGTCAGAGGTCCTGTTGCAGTGAGCAACGTTGCAGAAAAACTGGGTCACGGACTGTTTGATCACTTCATTTAATAGTAACCGAGGATGTTTCATTTCTTGCTTCAACTTTAATGGGCGTGCAAATGTACAGTGTATGCAGATGCTAATAATCCAGATGCATCAGAGAGAGGCCTGTGTCACATTTAATCGTAACTTTAATCGTAAACTCTTTGTTCTTCCTTTCAAATCCCTAGATACCATGAACCACTCTCTAAACATCACAAAGCTCACCAGCCTCCAACCGACTGGCAGAAAGCATTTAATTGTGCTTGTTGAACTGTAACTAAGCAACATTAAAATGCAGGACTTGTGCAACACAACTGGAACAGAACAGAACTGATCTCTCTCTAACCTACTTTTCTCTGAATGGCTTTAAATTTTCACTGTTGCTTTTTGTCTATGTTGTGCTGTCACCAGGTTGATCTAATCAAGCCTTGCCCCTGATGCCTGGCTGCATCCAGAAACACCATTACATCCACTTTTTGGGCCACAAACGGAGGCCTTCAATAAGGCCATCTTCACTTCGGCCTGGGAAATCTGATAAAGCTTGTTTTTATTGAATCACGATGGTTGACTCTATGCCATATGGCACTTTTTATGAATTTGTTTTGTTGTCTATCCGGGAACCAAACAGCAGTCTGCCACAGGATATTGCGGACAACTGGGAGAAGGGGAAATCAAATTTAGGATGTGTTGTCTGGCCTTTTATCCATTGTATCTGTTATTTTTATCTATTCATTTGTTGAAGCCTTGATCAAAAACAGTCACCTGAAGATTAGCTCACCGACAGAGCGCATGGGAAATGTACATGGGAAGTGAAATCTTCATTTTGGGTGTAGGCGTCCAAATCGATTTGATTTTTTCTTTGCTGTTTAAACACAAGTACATAATGGCATAAGTAGTTACAGTCAGTTGCATACGTTCAGATGTGCACTTTTGAGCTTTTTTCCATTTGTTTCAATGTAACAAAAAAAATAATAAAAAAACTGCAAAAAAAGGGGGAAGATGTTCTTTCCACAAAACAAGTCTAAATAATAATATCCAGAAAATATATACATAATATTATATATCTAAATAAAAATAATCTCCTTTTCTGCGTTATGGTTCAAAAGTTTGGAATCACTTGCCATGGTAGCATTACTGTGCAGAAGTCAGAGACCACTCTTTCATTTATTTAATTTACTGTTTTTCTAAGAAGTCTGCAGGGATATTTTTCAAGAGTTCAGTCTTAGAAGTTGGCTGCGTTGGAAGCAAAAGTGGAGCTTAATTTTCTCTCAAAAATAAAAGCTAATAAAAGTACTGTTTATCTGATAGTGGTGAAATTTCTCCACTTCTTTTAATGAGCTACAGTACTGACAAATCAGACCAAGCCACTTTTCATTTATTTAAGTTCAAATTACAAGTGATATTTTTAAGGAGATTAGAAGCAGAAAATACAACCAATTTCTAAGACTGAACTTTGGAGGTTTGGAAAAATGTCCCTGCAGATTTCTTTGAAAAACTGAAAAGAGACTGAAAACTGAATAGAATGCAAGCTGTAATAAAGGCATTAGCTTGTACTTAAAGGCTGTTTTGATAATTAGTATAAAATTGCAACATGCTATTGTAACTGCAATTTGTAAGAGCTAAACAAATATTTGGATCTTTAAACAATAATTTGCTTTCTCTCTCTCTCTCTCTCTCTCTCTCTGTCTCTCTCTCTCTCTCTCTCTCTCTCTCTCTCTCTCTCACTCTCTCTCTGTCTCTCTCTCTCTCTCTCTCCCTCCCTCTCTCTCAGCCCGTTGCCCTCTCAGAGAAATAGGAGGGGGGAGGAGAGAGAGAGGAATAGAGGGAATGATAGCTGAGAATGAGGATTAGAGTTCACGTTAATCATTGATCAGAGGTCCTCCTTCCTGACATCAGTGGTGGGCTTTTGAGTAGTTACATGTGTATGTGTGTGAGTGTGAGTGAGCGAGCAAGGGAGTTAGTGAGAGAGAGAGAGAGAGAGAGACACACACACACAAGGAGTCATAGGGCAGTTCAGGCAGGTAAAGCAATCAGATGTCTTCTCTTCCTCTCGGATTTGTTTGTTTTGCTATATTCCTTTTTCCTGCTTGTTGTGGTTCAGGATGAGTCCAGGTTCTGACCCTTCTTCACTGTCCGCTCTAAGTCTGATGTGACTGGAGACAGTTCTCGGCAACCTTCGTTAAGATGACCCGTGTCCACTCATCTCCCTGGGTCCTCTCTCTTCGCCTGTCCCTCCTTCTCCTGGCAATCTGGGACAGAGCGGAGTGTGGGTCTGGGGACGGGAAGAGCCTCTGGCAGCGGCCGCTGAACCACAGCGACTTTCTGACAGGAACGTTCCCTGAGGGTTTCCTCTGGGGTGTTGGAACATCGGCGTTCCAGACGGAAGGCTCCTGGGATCGGGATGGGAAAGGCACGTCTATATGGGATCACTTTACCCACAACCTCTATAGAACAGGGAACAGCATTGGCATGGCAACAGCGGACATAGCCAGCGACAGTTATGCCCTCTGGGAGCAAGACGTGGAGTCAGTTCGATACCTCGGGGCAAAGTTTTACGCTTTTTCACTCTCCTGGCCTCGACTGTTCTCAGACGGCAATGCTATGGGACCACCCAACCCTGCCGCAGTGGAACACTACCAGCGCCTGATCAGGAGTTTGAGAGCGCTAGGTTTGGAGCCTGTAGTGACCCTATTCCACTGGGATTTGCCCCAAAGCCTGCAGGAGCACCTGGGCGGCTGGAAGAACCCAGAGATGGTGCGGGTCTTTAGCGACTACGCCACGTTCTGTTTTGCTACGTTCGGCCGAGACGTCCGATATTGGATCACAATGCATAACCCACTCCTGCTTGCACTTCTGGGGTACGGGACAGGGGCTCATGCTCCAGGGGTGACCGGTGACCCTGCTGACCCCTTCATCGTGGCACATAACCTCATCAGGGTGAGTGCAAGGGCACAAGGTCAGAGGTGAATGGCGGGTTTCATTTTTCTTATGTATGCGGAATAATAGTGGTTAACTCTTCTAATACTGTTGAGATGACAATGCTTGAGGGCTATTCATTCGCAGTGAACTTTGAACACCACTTTATGGGCTATTACTTTACTACAGACTGAGGACTCGATGTGCGTCTGTTTATCTTGAAGTACTCAGAGTCAAATGATAAGGAATCAGTCGACATCTATCAGCTAATCCCTAATAGTTTTAAGGATACATTTGATTCCTGGACTTTTACAGATGTTAGGCAACATCCTATTTGGGGAACCTTCCCAATCACGTTAGTTTGTATGGAAAAAATAATATTCATCTGGAAAAATGTTTCGTAGATGCTAAACTGTAAAATTACATGTCAAATTACAAGTTTTGTTGATTTGTTGAATTTTACTCCACAACTTTACTTTTAAAATTTCTTTATAAATAAAATAAACAATATGTCATAAAAAAATAACACAATTAAAATAGAGTGAATAACATGGAAGCCATCAATATATCATCTATTTATTTTTCTGCCAATATCATGACCCAACGACATTTAAAAAAAATGAGAAATACTTCTGGGGCCAACTGTGGCTTGGGGTCCCTAAGCAAGTCCTTATACAGCTTATAGCAAGAAACAATCCATTATTTGATTGATTTAAAAATAATTTACACAAGATGCTTTCAAATTTCACAAAAAACAAATAATAAGAAAAATGATTATTATCATTATTATTGTTACAAATCTCTTTATCAAACACAGTTCTTTGAGGGTTCTTTATGGCATAGCTCAAAAGACCATCTGTGATGACTTTTTTATTTTAAATAGTTAATATTTTCATTTTTTCTTATTGAGACTGATGTAATGAACACTTATACAAATACAGATTTATATACTGTTATATTTGTCAGAACACAGTGGAATCTTATTTAAAGAGGAACATTACCAGAATATTATGCAGAAATTATGAACAGATTTCACCATTTGTTCATAATTTCTGCATAATTTCTGAAATTTCTGCATAGTTAAATGGTTAGGATGTAAACAAAGTCATTCAGAGTGGTTTGATGTATTTTATATTTATATAGGCCTAAAATATATTTTAATCCATTCAAGGCTGTGGGGTACATGCAGGGCGTTGTAAGGTAAAATAGTCCCAAAAGAAAACATATATTTTTCAGATATATTTTATCATCAGCAACATTACATACAAAAACTCAGAAGATGCATGTAGGTTCACTGGTGGTTTTTGATAGTAAATAAATTGGCTTTATTTGTGTTGTAGACATTGTGACTCTTGGTTCGTGTCGCCACCACTGTAAAGAAATTCCGAATTGGAAAGTTTTGCATTAAACTGTTCTGAATAACTTTGTTTAATCAATTTCCCTTTAGCAAAAGAGAAAAAGAGATTATGACACAAAGTCCCAGTCATTTGTGCAGCAGACAGATTAATCATTTTCTACATGTTACAGGAAATTTAGTGATTTATTGTTGCATAATAACAAGATAAAGGCCAATCTCTGCCCCCTGCTTCAATACAGTCATAAGACGGCTTCTGAAAATGTCAGTTGCATTGTACTAAAATGGCCTGAATGGAAATTGGGTTTTCATTTACTATTATTAATTTACTCATTCCTATTCATTTCACAGGCTCATGCTGAATCCTGGCACATATACGACAAGCGATTCCGTCCCCACCAGCATGGCCAAATCTCCATCACCCTCGGCTCCCACTGGGTGGAACCTTTTAAAGGACAAGCAACGGCAGCCAATGTGGAGTTGTGCCAGAAGTCTATGGAGGCTGTGATTGGCTGGTTTGCTGAACCCATACATGGAAGTGGGGACTACCCAAGCTCCTTGCAGGTCTCGCACCAGGGGCTCATCCCAGAGTTCACCCCAGAGGAGAAACTCTGGGTGCGTGGAACTGCTGATTTCTTCTCTCTGGCATTTGGGCCTGACACACCGCGCGCTGTTCGCAGCCTATCTAGCTTTGGCCAGTCAGGAACGCTGAACCTGAGGAAAGTTCTGGTGTGGGTTCAGCAGGAGTATGGGGATCCACACGTGCTGGTAGCAGAGAGCAGCTGGTTCTCTGATGCCTCTGTAGGAGTGGAGGACACGGTAGCCATTTTTTATATGAAAAGGTTTATTAACCAGGTGCTTCAAGGTGAGTAAGGATGTAGAAGTGCATTTAGAATCTAGTACACATGACTTTTCAAATGTTATTATAAACCTTAATTCCCCCAAATTATGTAAAATACAGATTATAAAAAAGCAGTGATTTGTAAATCCACTCTGACCTGTAACCAAAACAGTACAAAGATAAGATGTTTGGTGTTATCATCTTTACTGTTTTTTGTAAAAATATGCTTCTTCTGAAATTGAACAGCAACATGTTCCATAAATGTCGAGGTAGTAGAAATTTAAGCCTAGAAATGTTGTGAAATGTTCAAAAAACAATAAACAGGTAATGCAATCATGACTTGTTTAGGTTTAAGAGGAGCGTCCAGAAAAGGCTTAGTACTTTTTGAGCAAGGCTGGGTTGTGGCTCACTACTTTGCCAAAAAAAGTTGTCAAAAAATTATCCAACAGTTTAAGAACCAACCGTTCTTAAGAAGAAATTTCTTCTCAAAACCCACTTATGTTTTTCACTTGCAGTTTTCATTCTGACATTCACCAATGTTTTCTTATTAGATTAGATAAGATATAAGAACAGAATGTACGCACACTCAAAAGCACAAATGTCAAACATTTCTGCACTTCAAGAACACATTATGAATTTGATGTAAACGTTTTCTTTGGACCTTTTTCAAGAACAAATTTAAGAACAAACTTAGAAAGAGATTGGTGAATGAGGCCCGGTAGTCATTGATGAGCAATTGCACCTCATGGCCTCGGGAATACTTGACAAATCATTCTAAATAAAACAGTGTTCATTGTGCACAGCTAAAGTCATATGCCAACAATATCCAGAAATACTACTGACTTCTCTGGGCTCGAGATCTGAAATGGACCAACGCACAGTGGAAAAGTGTATTATAGACTGGTGATTTAACATTTCAGATTGTTCATGGAAATTATGAATGTTGTCTTCTTTGGGCCAAAGAAGAACACGACCATCCAGACTGTTACCAGTGTAAAGCTCAAAAGTCAAGGTCTGTCATGGTATGGAAGTAATATTTGGACAGGATCAAACTGGAATGAGCGCACAATAAATTTAACAAAGGAAAACAATCAAATATCATGTTTTTGTGCTGTTTTCAACTTAATACAGGGGTGAAAGAATTTACAAATCCTTGCTTTCTGTTCCTATTCACATTCCACATACAGTCCCCACTATTTTAGAACTGAGGTTTGTATAATGTTAATATGCACATCAAATTGACATTTTTTATCTGTATGCCCCAGCTGTGGTTGTGGACCACGTAAAGGTGTTTGGCTACACTGCCTGGTCTCTGGTGGATGGCTTTGAGTGGAATAATGGGTACAGCATAAGAAGAGGACTCTTCTACATAGATTTCAATCAACCTCAACGCACAAGAGTCCCAAAGACAACAGCTCAGTTCTACAGGCAGGTTGTGAAAGATAACGGATTTCCTACCAATGACACAGGACAGGATATCACGGGTCAGTTTCCTTGTGACTTCCATTTTGGAGTGGCAGATTTTACCCTGCAGGTGAGTATGGAGAGGGGGATGTAGTGGTTTTTATGCCCTGGTCCTGGAGTACCTATGCAAAAGAACGGCTTTTTAATTGGCTAATTAGTTGTATGAAATATGTTGTAGCAGGAAAAACACCAGAGTAGATACAAGGTAAGGGTGCTTCAGGACCAGGGTTGGGAACTGCTGCAGTAGTGTACGGTTCAATTATATGAAGTAGTTGCAGCTGACTTAGCTGTTAGTTTTGCTACAATCATGCAAAATCTTTACTGCACTGCTATTGCTAAGTTCAATATTGCTATAAATAATAAGCCCTTCATTATAAAAAACATTCAGTCCTGACAGAATAAAGCAGTGCATGCAGTAAACTTGGTGTTTCAAGGAAAGAGGTAGGATAACTTGAAATCGTCAGCAAGCATGTGGTTTGGGTAGCAACTATGCTAGCTAGTGCAACAGCTAATTTACCTTTGGCACTTTATAGATCATATTTCTTACTATAACTTCAGCTGGATTAGCTATAATGCTAGCTAGATAGCATACTTGCTGCAGACTTACCAACAATCTCAGGCTGTTTTGCCTCTTTCTTGTAAACACCTCATTTTCTCTATAGTAGTGATTCAGTGTTGCATTTCATGAAGGTTTTTCTATAATGAAAGGCTAGTTATTCGAAGCCATGTTAAATCTGACCAGTTTTAGTCAGGAACTACTTTTGTACAATGTAAATCCTGCAGCTAATTACAAGACTAAACTAAAACTTTTCTACCAAAGGCTTTAGACTCAGCTTGGGCTTGCACAAAGTGAATTGTGAACATCTCTGCTGTGCCTCTTGTTTGGCAGGTACATCTACAGCCATTTTCCCCTCAGTTCACTGATCCTCTCCTGTACCGCTGGAATTACACCGGTGATGGTACTTTGAGTCCTGTCATCGGAGTAAAGCTTCGCACACGTGGCTCACAATGCAGTGACTTCCTGGCTATTCAGCGTCACATCCACCTAGTAGAGATGACAGGGACATCACACTACCGCTTCGGTCTGGACTGGCCCCAGCTCTTCCCAAATGGTGACGTCTCGTCAGCAGACAGGGAGGCGGTGCGATATTACCGCTGCATGCTGACTGAACTCCAAAGGAAGGGCATCCAGGCAGTCGTCACGCTCTACCAGCCCAGTCTCAGGTCACCGACACTGGGCATGCCCAGCCTACAGCATGACAGTGGCGGCTGGATGAACACAAGCATGGTGGAGGCTTTTGCCGACTACGCCACTTTTTGTTTTAAGGAATTTGGTTCACTGGTGCAGGTTTGGATAACCATTAATGAGCCAAACCGGCTAATAGAAACATATAACGGAAGTGCACAAGACAGGGAAAGGGTGGTCCGTAACCTGCTGCTGGCACATGCTCGTGCTTGGAATATTTACCACACGCACTTTCGTCAACTGCAGGGGGCGAAGGTGAGCTTTACAGTGCATGCTGATTGGGTGGAACCAGCGAATCCCTTTGTGAAATCGCACAGCAATGCTGTTCAAAGCTTCATGTTACTTGAGCTTGGGCGATTCCTTGATCCCTTCTTGAAGGATGTAGATCACCCTGACAAAAATACCTGCCCTGACTGTTTTCACTCAAGCTCCTTCCATCTGCCATACTTCTCTGAGGATGAGAGGGCTGAGCTCAAGGGGGCTCTAGATTTCATCGCTCTTAATCACTTCACAACACGGCTTGTATTGTCCAAGGCTCCCTTGACTGAGATCCATAACCACGGCTACTCCCTCATGTATGACCCCACGTGGACCTCTTCGAAAAAGGGCCAGGCTCTCGCCCCCTGGGGGCTCCGAAGAGTCCTAGGTTGGGTGAAGGATCGCTATGGGGACAGTCGCTCCATTGTCATCACAGCGACAGGGATTGATGACCAGGCATCCCATGATGACCAGCTGAGGCAAACCTATATAAGGAGCTACCTGCAGGAAGTGCTGAAGGGTAAGTTAGAAATAATGAAATATTCAGAACCTTTAAAACCATCTGTGACTTTGATGTAGTTGGTTACCGACTAACACTCAGACACTACTGAAACATCTGATATTTTCTGTTGGAAGTAAACTGACTGGTATTGCTGAATATGTGCTAATGCCTGCTATACTATGTTTTCACCAAAGAATCACTGGAATTTCTTAAACCTTAGGAAAATTCCATGCCCAGGTTTTTAGGTGGTGTCAAATGATACATAAAAAATTGTACAAAATCTTTCTTCATACCCACCATATAAAGTCTTAATACGTGTAGTGCTTACTGTATAGTAGATGTGGTTGACAGACAGCCTTGAGCTGAAGGCTAAAGACCTTGTTCATACCTGGGCAATCTGATCATAAGTGGACAACATTAAGTACAGGTATGAACGAGGCCCAGTGCATCTCCAAGAAGCAGTGTGATTCAGTCACTCAAACCAACTTCAGAATCGGTCAGCAATGCATGTGACCACATAACATTTGTTGCATAAATGCTAAAGCATTTTGATGCATCCCTGACTGCAACAAAGAACTGTCTAATTAACTGCATCATTGCAGCACACTTGAAAGCAGTATCATTCTTTACTTGTTCTAAGTTGTCTTAGCAAACCATGCGCCTGTAAAAGATCTGTAACAAGCTGTACACGTACACAAACAAGGTCATTTTCATGAGTGCAGGGAGAGGCTAACGTAGTAAACGTTACAACTCCTCCTTCTGTCATAAAATCTAATCTCAAGTGGTCACAGGAGATGCACTGAAGACACATGGAAGTGGCAGGTGTATTGAGTCATACATCTTGCTGTCCACTTGTGATCAAATCACTCAAGACACGCGCGGTTGAGGGATGGAGGTCAGGGAACCGGCCTTGTGACTGGAAGAATGCCGGTTTGATCCTCTGAGCTGACAGGACATGACTGAAGTGCCCTTGAGCAAGGCACCTAACCCCCAACTGCCCCCTGGGTGCTGTGGATAGGGCTGCCCACCGCTCTGGGCATGTGTGCTCACTGCACCCTAGTGTGTGTGCATTGACTAGTGTGTATGTGGGTGATTCACTGCACGGATGGGTTAAATCAGAGATGAAATCTCGACGTTGGGGGACTAATAAAGAGTAACTTATGTTAACACGGAAAACATAGTTTGGGGTCAGTCATGGGCTGGAGGTTATGGAACCAGCCCTGTGACCGGTAGGTCGCCGGCTCGATCCCCTTATCCAACAGTATGTGACTGAAGTGCCCTTGAGCAAGGTACCTAACCCCCAACTGCTCCCCGGGCACTGTGGATAGGGCTGCCCACCGCTCTGGGCAAGTGGGCTCACTGTCCCCTAGTGTGTGTGCATTCATTAATGTGGTGTTTCACTGCACAGATGGGTTAAATCAGAGGTGAAATTTCACTTAACTTAAGATGGATGTTAATACCAAGTGTGAATAAAATATAGAGCTTAGAAACAGTTAAATCTGATGTCCACTATGAATTATTTGTTGAACACACTGTAAGTCTTGCACGCAGCTTTGAGCTCTGTTTCTAGTGTAGTAAATTGCATGCATCTTGCTAAGTCATTAAATAAATGTATTTACAGTCGTTGTGCCTGTAGTTAATGTATCCTGTACTGGTAGATGATTAAATGATAAAGTGTATGCACAGCTGTTGTTTCTGTAGCTATTAATGGGTCAAGTGTGTTCTAAGGGAACTCTTGCTTTGCCAATATCTGTCGCTATCTCTCTGGCTGCTATTAATCTTCAGCCTTCAATAAGGTCCGAGGTTAAAGGTCGCAGTACACAGCATTGCAAAAGCATTTCCTCACACACAGTTCCTCAGACTTATCAGCTGACCTCTCGCTTGGAGCTGTGCTTTATGGACAACCTTTGAGATCATAACCACGAGCACAAAGATTGTCATGCATTCTTGCCTTAACACAATTAGTTTTATAGCTGTGTGTGCATGGTGTGATCGTGGCATAACCACTGGTATTGTGAATGTACAATCCCAGTCACAAAAAAGTTGGAACAGTATGTGAAATGCCAAAAAAAGAGAAATTAGTGATTAGTAAAATCTGTTTGACCTGCATTCAATTGAAAATACTACAAAAACATGATATTTGATGTTTTACCTTATGGACATTATTGTTTTTTTTTCTTTTTGTAAATGTATGCTCATTCCAAAAATGATGCCTGCAATGTTTCAAAAATGTTGAAACAGGAGCATGTTAATCACTGTGTTACATCACCTTTACGTTTAATGGCATATAATAAATGTTTGGGGACTGAAGACACAAACTGATCCAGTTTTGAAAGCAGAATGTTTTGCCAGTTATACAAATCTTCAGCTGTGCAACTGTATAGAGCCTTTATTGTCATATTTTGCACTTCATAATGCACCACACATTTTCAATATGAGATAGTCAGGTCAGTTTAACACCTACACTCTCTGATTGCATAGCCGTGCTGTTGTAGCACAAGCAAAATATTTTTAGCTGCTGTCATGGTTAAATTAGCATGACCATCCCTGAAAAAGACGTCATCTAGAAGGCAGTATATGTTACTTGAAAATGTGTGTTTATCTTTCAGTGTTAATGGTACTTTCACAGTGCAAGTTACCCTCTTACACACCCCCACACCACAACAGATCCTGGCTTCTGAATTTTACACTGATAACAATCTGAATGGTCCTTTCCTTCTTTGGCCTGGAGAACACAATGTCCAATATTTCCATAAATAGTCTGAAAGACAAGTCAGCATTTGTCCCGCAAATTTGCATGCAAACTTGCATTTGTGGATGGAGCAATGAACTGAATGTTTATTGACAACAATTTCTCAAAGTATTCATTTGTGGATTTTGGCCTTGCTTTTTATGCGCAGAGAATCTTTTGCTAATATTATGTGCAATAAAATCTTTGTAAATGCTTGTTGAGGAACATTGTAGAGTGACGAGCCTCAACCCATCCTTGCTTATAAAGGACTTGAATGCTGAATGCTCCTTTTTACCCATAAACAATTACATTACCTCTTTTAAAATGTATTATGAACATTTAACAACTTTTCCAGTCTTAAATTGCCCCGTCACACCTTTTTGGAACATGTTGCAAGCATCGATTTGTGTATGTTAACAAGAAATTATGAAGTTGATAAGATAAAACATTAAATATCTTGTTTATATACTGTTTTCTTTTAAATACAGAGCAAAGCAGATTGACTAATCATTGCTCTCTGTTTTATTTGCATTTCAACATTTTTGGAATCAGGTTTGTACATGGCCTATAATTTAAAAAGAAGCTTACTGACTGAAATAATGTTGGCTGAAGTGTTGTTAGAAAGTACATGGGACATTTCCCATTTACTTACTGCTAATAGACTTGACACAATTTGTACATAATCGCCTGATCACAATTATTTAAGCTGAGCAATTATTTTCCACAGAAGTTAGCTTTCACAATGAAATGTTTACATTGCAACAAACAGAATGTGAGTCAGGTGTGTTTTCATCAGTTCTGTTGAGACAACCCAGATAGCATGCGGATGTGGGCCACTTCTGGCAAACATATGGTACTGCTCCCACTGTCGGCACTGGCAAACTGCATGTAAGCCAAAAGTGGCACATTAAAATGTTTATTTGGCTCATATATCCTAAAACAGATCTGGGCCATTTCTGGCAGAGAGAGGTGTATGTTGGCCTATGTAACATTTTTGTTCACTGAAAAAATTTAGGTAGTCCAACACAGTCTGCCTTAGTACTAGGAACACTACTAAACAACCTACACTATATGGCCAAAAGTATGTGGATGCTTGACCGTCATACCATGGACATTAATATGAAGTTTTAAAGCCCTACTTTGTAGCTATAACAGCCTCCACATAATGCTAATAGTAAAGTCACCAAACTTTAATGTTAGCATTATGCATTCTAGTCGATAGTGTTCTCCTGGCTTCTGCCAAACCCAGATTTGTCTAACAGTCTACCAGATAGTAAAGTGTGATTTATCGCTCCAGAGAACATCTCAACCACTGAATTATGAAGAAATTTTGAAATATCAGGGGACTTCCCATATATCTTATGAAAACTTGCCTCACTGCTGCAAGTTGTAGATATTGTCTGTTGACATCAAATAGAGCCCAATGGGCGAAAATAGCCTTAACATCTGACCAAGATGAAAGAGAAATTCCACTGATTTCTTCAAAATTTCTGCATAATTCAATCCGTGAGATGTAAGCAGAGACATTCAGAGTGGTTTGATGTGAAATGCATTATAGAGAAACTTAAATTTATTTACAGTGGTGGGAACTAGAGGTCATGGTGTCTACAGCACTTATATAGCCATTTTATTCACTGTCTAAAACAACCATTAAGCCTACATGTAAAATAGTGGCAAGTACAAAATAATAATAATAATAATAATAATAATAATAATAATATATGTTTTAGGTCAAAGCCTTCTTCCAAAACTGTCATAAACAATGTCTCAGGCACTAGGCAATGTATTCAGGACCATTTAGTGCAATAACTTTCTGTGAGGTACCCATTAAAGTGCTTCAGATGTCTGCTTTCTATCACCACTGCTGTAAACAATTCTTGGACAATAACTTTGTTACTTTCTCTCGAAAAGGCACCTTTGACATCAAATCACTCTAAATTACTTTGTTTAAATTTTAATGCTTTAAATATGCAGAAATTTTGAAAAAAAAAAATGGTGGATCATAATATAGCTGATCACAGCAGGTACTGTAAATAACGTCCTGTGCAATTTCCCAAATATGAAGCAATGAAATGACCCTTGTTTTGCATGCCTCAGAATACTCACTTCTTCTTTTCTCTTCTTCTTTGTAGCACGGGAGTTGGACGGCATCGATGTGGGTGGGTTTTATGTCTGGAAGCTCCAGGATCATCATGGTTCTGACTTTGGCTTCTTCACTTCTTCCCACCACCGTTCCCGGCCCAAAGCATCCGTCACAGTCTACCAGGAGCTCATCTCTCAGCGTGGTTTTCCTGCCCCCACCGGCGATCCTGTGACCTCACCATCGGCGATATCATGTGAGCTAAGCGAAAGGAGAATGACCTGCTGGCTCTGTAACGGCATGGCTGAGAACAAGCCCCTGCTCTTCTTTGGCATATGTGTAACAATCAGCATGCTTATGCTGGCTGGAGTCATCATCACTTCTGTGGTGATGAAGAGCACGAAGAAGAAGAGGAGAGGGGTGATCCAGGCCATGCCACAGCGGCTGCGCCGGCAGCAGAGGTTCGCCATGCAGAGGGTAGCACACAGAATCTGAAGTCCAAAACTGATGAAGGAATAATTTGGCATAAAAATCAATTTTACACGATTTCCCTCTTTACCCCAAATGTTGTCAGTTGGCCAAGACATGTTTGCTTACTATTTTTGCTGTAAAACTCCATCAGGCTTTGTTTCCTACTGTAAGATAGAGCACTAGGTGCTTTATTGACAAATGTAAGGCAATTAAAGTCATTTTTAATGCCATTTTGTGAAATCTGTAATGCTGCTTAGAGCCGGTCATTTCATGAACTTCTGTTCTATGTTCTATTACTTCTATTATGAAGCAGAAATCTTTATAAGTACCTTGAGGACCACTGCTACGATAATGCTAAATTCTGCTAGCGCTTCAGAGGTAATTTCTGTGAGTGGTGTTCACTTTCCACACAGAGTTTAACGCTATTTAAGCCAGCTCCCCTTAAATTTGAACATTTGAAGCATTTGACATTCAAATGAAATATTATGTACTTTGTATATTTACAGTGAATCCTTTGGTAAAAGCTAAAGCTAACTGAATATTATTGGAGGAGGTTGTTAGCTTGTTAGCTATGAGCTATTCAGGCCAGACCTAGTTAAATGAAACCTTTTACATCACATAAATGCAATTTGTAACAGCAAACATTTTACTTTACTTTGTACACATACAATATGTAACTACAAACATACAGTACAAATGAAAAATCCTGCTGGTGTGGGTTTGTTTGCTTTTTTAAGTTATACCTTGAAGCTAAGAGGCTAATGTAGCTAACGGATATCCAAAACTAACTAAATATAGCTGTAGTAGCCGTCTGAATGCGTGCCCATACTTTAGTCCATTTTTTTTAATAGAATTATGTCATAGAATGTCTGAAACTACTTAAGTAAATCTATTTGAGATTACTTAAAGAGGCATTCCGGCTTAAAACTGGCTTTTTCTGTTATATGTCACTTTATGCAGTATTCTGCTATGCAGCATTGTGTTTCTCAGTGTGACTGGTTTGATTATGTATTCTGTTGTGTTTTCATCCATCAGTGTTTTCTTACTACAATGCCCAGCATGCAATTATGTCTTAAAACAAGTGGAAATAGGCCCTTTTTACATTTCTGCCAGCAGTAGTCATTGCAGGGTAGCGCTGCTTCCACTAATGCAATAACAATAGCAACAATGATGAGTTGAGCATGTACAGCTTACTATAGTATTAAAGCTTGAAGCGAAAACAGCCTTATCTTAGTTTCAATGGTTTGTCAGCTGACAATGAACCGTTGAAAACGAGTTCATGCAGTTAGTAAAGGATTAAACATCATACGGAGCAAAGTAACCTCTGCATTTCACAACTGCTGACTAATGTTACACTAAATGCAGTTCACTTTACAGCCACTTTACAGAGGAACAGTTTATAGTTTCTCCCCCAAAAATGATTAGCAACTGAGAGAGCGAGTGCTCGGCAGAGTGCTCGGCAGAGAGTAGGCGTTTGTTCACTGGTGCCGGTGGTTCCCCCTTAAATGGTGCCTGAGCCACCAGAATGTAACTGCTGCACCATTTAAGGTGGAACGGGAAAATTCGAACAAGAAGCTGACTTCAGCCTCGCAACATTTTAGTGACAGTTTCTCGATGCAGAGTAAACGTATCAGGAAACCAAATAAGTGCTTATAATTGCAAATAAAATGTCTGCAGTGGTGCTACGGACCCTGCCCTTTTTGCCACTTTAACTAGATTACTGTTAGTGAGCTGTTTCAACATCTCCAGCTAACATGGCTTACCAAGCGTTTTGGTTATAATTATTTTTACCTATCCATCAATTTATCACTCTCTAGATGTTAGATGACGTTACTGTACTCTGATAGCTGTGAAGGAATTTTTCCACAAAGCATTTATATCCTTTATTTAGTTTTGACCCCTGCATTGTTGTGTGGTTGGTTCTCCAACAGTTCTGGGCACATCCTCGAATTTCAATCTTGGCAACTATGACAAAGATAAAGTGACACACCTTTCTGTGGTGGCTGAAGTGAAATGAAGGCCTCTATTTCTGAGGTTAATAACTGTCTGAAAGGCGATAGTGGAACTTGTTTTACCCAGTGTTTACGTGGGGCCTATCGCCCCACTGCCCATACGGAATACACTGATGTAGAGGCATCAAAACAGATGTGATATCGGCTTCCTAACAGTAATGCTAGCTGTCTGGCTTCCTTCTGTAGTAGCCAGTTCGCGAAAAAAATAAAAATCAAATAGCTCACCCTCAAAAATCCACCCAAAGCCCTTGTACTTTTTCAAATGTTCCTCCCACCTTTGAGATACTTCATCAGAAGGGGGTTTTGCTAGTCTTTAAATCAGGAAATCTCACTCTCTAGACTATTGTGGTGTCACTGTTGGAGGCGAGTGAGCATGTTTACAATAGGTTTAATTTTCCATTTTGGCCGGAGTGTCTCTTTAACAGCTCAATATGGTTTGAGACAAGTTTAACGTTATAGGTATGCAGCTTGCATGATGCTGGTGTGTGTTAGCTTTCATTACTTGTTAGCTACATTAGCCTTATGGTATAAGTGCAAAACTCAAGAAGCTAACTTTGGACGCCAAACATGTCTTGGCTGATCGACTGCATTTGACTGAATTTGGAATAAATGGAAAACTGTGTAAATTCGATTTGATCACTATAAGTAGTAAAATACTGGTATAGTTACTAGCTTTATTGTTTTCCATAAGGTCAGTTACTATATCTTTCTCTTCATCAATTCTGTTCTGAAAATGACCCTAAGTAAGTAAAGCTGCAACAGCCAAGTACAACATCAGTTTGCTTGCTCAGGGCAGAATGAAGCCTTTAAGTGTTTAAATGGTGTTGTTGGCCAGTGCAACCACAGTTTACTGAAGGATCAGGCAGGGTTTTGATCCAGTGACCTCACAACAGCTTGTAACTAGGGCTGGGAGTTGATCCCAAAAATTTGATTCTTTGATTTGAGGCATTTGAGAATCAAGAGTTGATTCTAAAGCTTTAGAATGTATACAGTGAGCTGAAGGCCACTAGATCATATACAAATACACTTGAGTGAGTAAACACACTCCGGAAACCTAAAAACCCAAACCTGTATCATAGCAGAAACATGCCAGCTGTAATCAAGCAGTCATCGTTTTCCTGGTAATGTAGCAGCTCCTGTTCATACTCTTGGTAATTTCACAGGAATTGTGGTAGATCCATCAACTCTGACTTGTGTTCACACCTAAACCTTTCCCATGTAGAGCTGCACTATGCGTGATTGTTTGATAAAACTAAAATAATTAGCATTATTGAGTCAAGAGGAAAAAAAGAAGTTTTTTGGTCCATTTCATATGTCTACGTTTTAGCATCATGCACACAGGCTCACTGAATACTCTTTGAATCATCAGATTCATCCGCCTAGTTAAGGGGTCTGAAGCACAGCAGACATTACAAAATGTTCTGCATATTGCATGCGATTACCTATTTCTACCAGAGAGGTCTCCAAATCCCCAAATCCTACACAGTGCAGCTTTAATTAAAGTTTAATTCTGGCTTCTTGTGAAAATGGGGCTTAAATCTTGATTTTTGGAATCTTAAACTGAGAATATTACTGTGTGTAATCAACTCCATCAATTCCCATGGAATCAGCTTGGAATCAGAATCAGAGTTGCTTCCAGAATTTCTGTATTCAAACCGCCCCACTTACAAAACTGGTGTATTGATTGCCACTTGAAGAACTGCAGATCTTACCAATGAATGTATGTTGTGTAAGCATATATCCATGTAGAGGTGGGCAATAAGACCATGTTTTAGCATTATCTTGATAAATGATGTCACAGTCCACTTTTCAGAGCATATTGTGGATATTAGTACTTAAAGGACACTGAAAAACTGCCTGTTCCATTAGACGGAATAGTTAGTCTTAATAGGATAAAGCAGTGCAGTGCAATGCTGAAAAAAATCATTGTGCTCATTTGTTTTTGGTACTACTACTTTTTTATTCCAACTTAAAAGCATCAGAAAATATTGTAATGCATATCGTGAATCATAAGAATATCTTGAAATATTATGCTGTTATATTTATGCCTTATCGCCCACCCCTACATCCATGATAATGTGGAATCACACATGTTGTTATTTATATGGTTTATTTTTCCATTTCTCCACAGTTGAAAAGAGTTTATATAAGAATTTTCTAATTCAACACTTGTGCATCATGTTGTTTATTGAGCTTATATATTGCACTGCCTGCAGTGTAAAAATTTCAAAACTAAATCTTATGTTGGGAATTAAGTTCAGATATGTGTAAAAGTGAAAAAGGACAAATTGTTGTTTCAGCACATGAAGATTTCTGCATATATTTGATTTGTTACAGCTGAGTATGTCTTGAGTTCTTGTATATATTGTGTAAATGTATATTTTGTGATTTTAGTGCAATAAAATAACTGTGTAAAACAAAGTAATCCTTCCATGTGAGGGTCATTTGATTTGGGAATGGAGACGCTTGAACTATGCCATCTGGAGGAGTATGATTGTATTGGACCATTGCATTTTACATTTGAATAAAAATTTATATTAAACATGAAAGAACGCTCACGAGGTTAATATCAGGTAAAGTATAGATAGATTAACACTGCAAACTGCACACATTGTCACATACTGTATGTATATTGGTTACAAACGTACATATGCTAACTTACAAAAAGGTATATATACATGAGGAGATCATTTGCAAAAACAGATATCTCCATTTTAATGAATTTCATAATTTTTTTTAATGTGCATTCCAGGTAATATCAATCAAACTGTGACTGGGTTGTTTTGATTAAGGAAAATAACTCACCAAAATACAGATAACAAAATTAAACAAAATTAAACAGCCCTTATTTAAATGTTAACTTGTTAAACAGATAACTCCAATGGTCATTTCATATTTCAGAGTTAAACAAAGCCTTTTAATAGATACAAATTTAAGTGCAATATTTAACATTCTTTAACATAAAACAAGTAGTAAAGTGCTGAGAACTGCAGCAAAAATAGCTCACTAATGGGCAATATTGAACATATATAAGATCATATTTCTGAATCTCAAATGGCTCCCTATATAGTGCACAATATAAGTTATGAAATTTTGGCTTTTACACCCAAATATTGCTCTTCATGTCCGGTATGAATTGTGCACACATGACTGAACCCAAAGTGGTTCTTTAGGCACACTGTGCTCTGTTTAGATGCAGTAGCCATTATTTCAAGACCTACATACTGCAGTTTGTAGAGAGAAGGTTCAAAGAACAGTTTGTGGCTGTGTTGGGTCACCTGAGCCAAATACCTCACGCTGATTCACTGAACTTATGGGGTTCTGCTCAAAAACAGCTGGCGTTCGACTGTTTCTGCTGTAAAACCCGAACTTGTAATGCCGTGACAATGAACAATAACGGCTTTTGTCACAAAGGTTTAAGGTATTTAATGCTCTTTGTGTTAATAATAACTCACCACAGTCAGCTTGTGTTTTTAAAGGATGCCGTTTATCGGTTTCAAACCATAAAAAAAATTATACATATATATATATATATATATATATATATATATATATGTGTGTGTGTGTGTGTGTGTGTGTGTGTGTGTGTGCGTGATGTGTCTTCGGATTCATCCGCTCAGGGGACCGAAGAACAGTGGACATGCAAAAAGTTCTTCTGCATGTTGCCTGCAATTACATATTTCGACCAGAGGGGTCTCCAAATCCCCAAAGACACAGTGCACAGTGCAGCTTTAATTAAAATTCTCACAAAGAGAATAGGCCCTTTTCACACTTCCAAGTTTGGAACGCGAAAGTAAAAAAATAGCAGGCTAGGACATACAGGCGAAAAATGGAGCAGCATAGCAAGTCCTACTGTAGCGTACCTTTTTGCTCAAACAGCAAAAGAAAACAACCATTCGAGTTTTCACGACTTCCCAAAAGATGGACACTTCTATGTTTTAAATGGATTACAGCAATTAAGAGAGATGAAAGTGCCAAATTTACTATTCTGCGTGGCAGTACATATGTGTGTAGCCAGCACGTCAGGCCTGAGGAGCTGTGTGTAAAAGAGGCAGGAAGCAGAGTTAGGCTGAAGAAGGGATCAGTTCCATCATGACTTGCCTGGAATGATTTTGTGAGTCAGAAGGAAAATCGTCAGACACCATACGAGAGGGCAAGTATTCGTCTCGGTTTCAACATTGATGACATGCAGGGATGGGAAGCTATGCTAGTGAGCCCTGCTAATGTTATGGGGCACGATTACTGGCGTCCAACATCTCCTGGTAAGTAATGTTACAACTCATTTATGAATATACATGATAAAAATAATAAACAATAAAATGTCCAAATAAACAATAAAACAGCCTCAAGATACAGTACTTACCTGTGTAACAGTCTAAAGATACAGTACTTACCTGAATAACAGCCTCAAGATACAATACTTACCTGTATAACAGTCTAAAGATACAGTACTTACCTTAATAAGTCTAAAGATACAGTACTTACCTGTATAACATCCTCAAGATACAGTACTTTCCTGAATAACAGCCTCAAGATACAATACTTACCTGAATAACAGTCTAAAGAAACAGTACTTATCCATATAACAATCTAAAGAAACAGTACTTATCCCTATAACAATCTAAAGATACAGCACTTATCCATATAACAGTCTAAAGATACAGAACTTACCTGTATAACAGTCTAAAGATACAATACTTACCTTAATAAGTCTAAAGATACAGTATTTACCTGTATTACAGTCTAAAGATACAATATATAAGTCTGAAACATGATAAATCAGATTAAACATTGTAATCACCTCCTAAACAGTCCATATAATATAAATAAATTACACACACACACTTAGATTGGTTAGTACGATACCAAATAATGTATGTTGGCTAGATATTGCACATTTATATTTACTACATTACTACATGTCAAGTACAGAGCTTAAATTTACAGTACAGAGACTTAGGTTTAGTCACATTTCCTTTAAAGTAAAACTATAAGCTAACGTCTTCCTTCTTTTGTCACAGGAACAGTGGATGCTGCCACTGCAAGGATAAAGGAGCTGGAGCAAAAAGTGATGGAGCTGGAGAACGAAATAAAGAGGCTTACATTCCTGACAGATCAACCTAAGATGAATCATTTCGGCTCAACTGATGAAGAATTCCGCTTCTTCACACGATTTCCCCTCCGAGGAAATCTTCATGTCGTTCTGGGAGTCTGCTGCACCGTCAGCTTTTAGAATCATTCACTGGACCAAGGCACAGAGGGAGGCTAATGGAACACCCAGTCCTCACTGCAAACTGCCCCTCATTGATAACTGTTTCCTGTTTCTTTGCCGCATTGCTGCTGGACTCAAGGAACAAGCTTTGTTCAAGGTCAGTTTGTCAACAGTTAGCCGCATCATCACAACATGGACCAATTACTTTTACCTTGTTTCGGGCTCTCAACCTTCATGGATGACTTGACAGCAGGTGCAAGCTAACATGCCTGAAAAATTCTGGCGGAAAGAAATCCGCTCAATTCAGCAAGGAAGATGCTGAGAAGACACAAGCAACAGCACGTCTAAGAGTGCTGGTGGAAAGGTCAATCCGAGAGTACCACACCTGGGATGGGGTTGTCCCACTTTCCCTCACAGGCTCAATCAACTAACTATGGACCGTCTGTTGCTTGACGTCGAACTACATGGGTCCCTCTGGACATCAAGGAGGATGAACCTGTTTGAACTCATGTGTTCATCAATAGGTGTAATTATTCAATCATTTTCAGGTTTTAGAATTTTTCAGTTCAGATTCATGTATTTCTTTTTAATCAACTCTGCTTACAAGCTCAGCTTAAACCTCCCACTTTTCAGAATCACTCTCGCTCCAGCTACTGTAGTTTCTTTCTAGTTGTTCAGGTGTTACTGTTGTAGCATACTGTTGTATGTTGATGATATTGTATAATGATGTGGCTTCTGTTAAACAACACTGCATATGAAAAATCCACAATTTTATAATGAATATTTATGAATATTAAATCGAATACATTTTAACCCACTTGTCCTTGGTGCTTTCTTTGTGTTCCCACTGTATTCAAGGTCACAGGTATGGCCATTAAATACTGTATTCCAAATATACTGATTTTAGACAATATATTTAGACAATACAATTACCAGAACTGAAGCATTCTTTAGAACACAATCAAAAAATATTAATATTTTCTCAGTGAACGTGTTTACCCAAAGTAGCTGACTTTTGAGGTGAGTTAAAAGGTAAAATGTTTCTCTATGTGCACCTAATAAAAACCGAATAATGCAGTAAACAAATGGCAAAAACAGGTTTTTTTTTCAAATATTTCTCAATGCTGGCTCATCTGCTTCATTTTAAAAAGACAAAATTCATACATTCAAAATAAAGAATACAAATTTAATCAATATAAGAAAATTCAATATTTCAACAAACAAACAAAACAATACTGCAAACACCAAACACAACCAACAATTTTATAATCTTAATTTACTATCTATAATTAATATCTGTAATATCTAATAATAATCTACACTTTCTCGTTTAGGTAGACATCCATGTATACATGATGACTGAACATGTCTAGGTTTTCTCTCATGGATGTTGTAAGTCCTTGCTCCTGCCAAATCCTCTGAATGGTGACATCACAGTGAGTATCTGTGATGACATCACACCATTCAAGACCAGTTATGGCAAGCTGCCCCTGTACGTTTCAGTAGTATTTGTGAGTGGGTTTCAGCACGGCCTCACCTCCAACTACTTCAAAGTGTTTAGCCTCCATGACTGATGCCACGTCGCAGCACTTCACCTCTGCCAGTCCAAATGGTGGTGATGCTGTAGGGTCATAAACCCTTGCATCTGGGCATGTTTCAAGGTGGGGAGCATCTGGATGGATGATGAATCCACATGGCAGTACTGATACACTGCATGCATCAGAGCACTGTTGTAACACTATAGACTCCAGTTCCTGTCCTCTTCTCACATCCCTGGTTTATGGTGTCCCTTTAAGGATTCTTTTTGCTTGAGAAGAAGATTTTCCATGGACATGGCATGCTTGTGTGGCGGTCACTTTCAGGCTTTCCAGGTGACATTTCTGTTTGTAGTTGGGTGTAAAGTCAAATTTGAAGTTGAATCTGTAATTCCTAATGGGCAGTTGTGGGTATTCTGGGGCATCTGGGTGCTTGATTACCTTGCTGTTACTTTCAGGTGGGCACTGATATGACAAAACTGAACCATATGGCACAGGACCAAATCTGGAGTCTACGAAGAGCAGCTCTTCATCTCCATTCAAAAGTGACTTGCATATTCCAGGCTATGGGCGCACGTTTCTCAGCTTCACTGCAAGTTCCAATATGTGAGGGTCAGGAAAGGGACCTTTACAACAAAAGACAAAATGAACAGAAGATTTAGGTTGCCTTAAGGTATGTATGAATTGATCCTTAGTTTTTTCCCTCATGCTTCTCAGTAGTGTATTAGGTAAGTATTGTATCTTCAGACCATTTCTCAGGTAAGCAGTTAACTTTCAGTCCATTGCTCAGGTAAATATTGTACCTTTAGGCCGTTTCTCAGGTAAGAATCATACCTTTAGACCAGGGGTGTCCAATCTTACCTGCATAGGGCTGGAGTGGCTGCAGGTTTTCATTCTAAACAACCAGCAGCACACCTGATTCCACTTGTTTAACCAATTGGTCAGACTTCAAACAACTGATCACATGTGCTTCTGCTTGGCTGGAATGAAAACCTGCAGCCACACTAGCCCTTTGCAGATAAGACTGGACACCTCTGCTTTAGACCGTTCTCAGGTAGGTACTGTACCTTCAGACTATTTCTCAGGTAAGAATTTATCTTCAGACTGTTCCTCAGGTAAGTATTGTATCTTAAGATACAATAAGATACTTAAGATACTGTTATTGTGTTCTCCATGGAAATAAACAAGCCATTAAATTAAAACAAGAAATATCTTTATCTTATCTTTAGTTAAATATCGTTAATTGATCATATTAATAGATTTTGCTTCACACTACATGTCTAAGAAGATAATTCTGTGCCAGATCTTAAAGCAATCCTATGTGTTTAGTGACATGCACTAGACAAGTGTATGTGTGTATGTATACCATATGTGATAACTGGCTCAGAAAGTTCTAGCTGCTGGCATGTCCCATATGGAAAAATATATATTCCAAATGTATTTATCAAATATAATTTTGCAATATATAAAGATGGCCACAAAATGTATTTGTTAAAGATATTTTTAAGTGCATTTTTGTATTTGTTACTAAATTTTTTCACCTGTATGCAGTGTAATAAAGATTACAGATATAACTAAATGGTACTGACATATGTGTTTTGTATTATACTTTGCATTAACTTTGTACGTCTGCAGTAAAACACTCAGACAAAATGTATTTCAAATAAACAAGATATCAAATCGTAACTGCATTTTCACAGTGTATCAATACTTACAACACTTGTTTTTGCCATGTTAAATGTTCATTTGCTAAAATGTAAAATTAAGATACTGTAATACTAACACATTTCAAAAGGTATTCCAAACAGTAAAGTGCAATAGAGAAGTAGTTGGCTATTTTCATACATTTTCAAATGTATCTAATAAAGACATTATATACATTTATTTTTGTCTATGTGTAATATTTCCCCTTACTAAAATACATAAATATTTTAAAATAGATTTTGTTAATATGTCAGTATATTCTGAAATACATTTAAGTGTTTGGAATGTATTTCAGCCTGGACTGCAATGTATTTAAAATGTATTTCAAATACATGTCCATATGTATTTTTTTCCATATGGGATGTGTCTGTGTGTGTCTGTGTTTGTGTGTGTGTGTGTGTGTGTGTGTGTGTGTTGTGCACACACATATGATAATTAGTTCATCTGACCTCAAGTTGAACTCACACATACTCTGTTTCTGAAGTGTATGTGTGTATGCATGAAATGTGACCTCGGGTTGAACTGAACATCTGTGTATGCTGTGTATGTATGATATGCACCTGACCAAAGTACTTGGAAAGAGGTCAGGTTCCTTTAAGTTGCATTAAAATGAAAGTAGTTTTTTTTCCTTCTCCTGTAAATTTTGGAGGTACAAAGTTTTGTTCTGACAGCAGTGAAATGTAGCATTTTTCTTTTTTTTTTTGAATTATGCAATCAATGTACAAACAGTAATAGCAATGCAGTGTACACTTGTTTACTCAACACAAACCGAAGCAGTTGGTAAATTCAAGTAACCGTATAAAAAATATAATAAAATTAAGTATTAATAATAATAGTAGTAATAATAATACACTTAAAGGGGCAATTACTCCCTAAGCCATTTTCATAAATTAATTCTTTGCATTTTTTGGCATTTTTCTTTTTCATGCACTTTAAGGTACCAAAATAGTGCATGAGCTCCTTATGAAAAACTTAAAAAGATGGTGTTGTTTTCATATACCTTACTTTATGTATGAAAAATGTTCTTAACAATAAAATAATATTTACAACCATTTCAGAATTAATCTGTGTCTCGAAAAAGAATTCCATATATAATATCTGCCTTTGTAAACTCAGTTAAACCCACAACCTTTGGGTATAACCAGTAATGTAAATCATCCCAAAATGTGTTCGAGTACTTACAAGAAACAAATAAATTCTCAGTTGTTTCAATATCTTCTTTACAGAAAACACAAATATTTTCATCCAAATTAAACCTTTGTCTCAGAAATTCTTTAGATAGATTTATTGCATTCATTATTTTGAAATGAACTTCCTCAGCCTTTGGGGGGATAGGAAATGTAATATACATAGATCTGAGTTTTATTTATATAATCCTTTGGGGAAAAAAAAGAATTGAATTTCTGAAACAAACATCTGGGTACAGTGTCCTATTGTCATTTTTCATATTTCATATAGTGTTTTAACAATTTGCTCTACCCATCGCGTGGTCCTACTGAGCATGCGCATACCTATTACTATGCGTAGTAACTTAATGTTCCAAACATTTTATTGTGTTTTTAATGTTTATTCAATACAGACTCAGCTTAATATTATTATTTACTCTCTGATAAGGTGATTTAAGAGATCAGAATATCCTAATTATTCTTTTAGAGCTGGTAACGTTTTCTGATAAGGAGATTTAGGCTATCAAATTATCTTAGCTATAGATTACAGTGCTGGTAGAATTTTCTGATAGGTTAATTTAGGCCATCGAAATATCCAACATACAGTTTTATGTTGTGCCCCTTTAAAATATGATGCTCTGAAATAAACAAAAATGTATTGTGCACTTCCGGTTATTTCTCGATCCATCAAATAATGGAAAAACAAATAAAATATATATTCTGATATATTCGTTCTGTAACTGTAGTCATATTGTTATGCTAATTTACAAATAAAATAAATTCAAGGCAAAATGACAGGCTTTAATTTGAAATGTTCCGGAGGTGTTTCCTCTGATCTGTCGGTCTCTATGTTCTTCTGCTGGTTAGTGGGGAAACTCCCACTGCGCCCCCTAGCGCCGCTCCTCACTCACCGCGTCGCTACTGTATTGTGTAACCGGGACTGATCGCACCGCTTTTACCGGACAAAAAGCGCATTTGTGTAATCACTGTGGGATTAAAAAAGACAAACAGAGGGAGAAAGAGAGTGTAGAGGCTATAGGTGTCTGGAGAAATAAGGAGAGAAGAGGAAATAAAGAGAAAAGGACCGATAGCTAGCTTCTCCGTGCAGCCGAGCGAGGCCCGACACCCACCGCGGGGAGGAAGCGCTCTGGCCCGGCAGCAGCATGGCCAACATCGCGGTACAGAGGATAAAACGGGAATTTAAAGAAGTTCTCAAAAGCGAAGAGGTAACGCTTACATACACACGTATGCATTTATTTGGTCATGTACGACTGTGAATGTAATGCAGATTACATTGACATGGCTGTAGGTAGGTAACCGTAGCGAGAGTCCTGCACATTAAAAACAAACAACTTCCCCAATTCACTGCGTCTTGTGCTGGACAGCAAACGCTGACAGCCCCTTTGTAATTACGACACGATGCTTTGTTGTGCCCTGTAATGCTGCATGTTTTTAGCTTTTGCCTTAAATGGATGTGTTAATGTCATGAAAAGTAACGAAGCAGAAGTCAGCTTCCTGTTCGAATTGTCCCGTTCCACCTTAAATGGTGCAGCAGTTAGGTTACAAGGTGGAACCGGAGCATTCCAACATGAAGCTGGTGAACAGAAAAACAAGTAGCCTCAGTGAGCCAAATGCGAGGTAAATTCACCATTAACATTATATTCTAATGCTGAATATCAGACTGTCAATCTTCTCAGTGTTCCTGTCCACTTAGCCATGGCGCCATGGTCCTGCGTTTGTGTTCATCCTGAGACTGAGAGTGAGAAAGAAGTAACTTAAGACAGACAGTTTCATCAACAGTGGATCATTTATTTCCATACATTAAATAATCCACTATAATGAGATTAATATATTATCCGATGCTGCATGGTATCGCTAAATAGCAGAAACGTTTCTCCTCTGCACTTGGGAACTCCAGACTCCTCTGGGTCTTCCTATTCAGCAGGTTCTTCTTCGAACTGTTCGTTCCTCCTTAAATGGTGCAGTAGTTACATACCGTTGCCTATGACCGTTTAAGATGGACCCAAAAATTCGAGTAAAAAGCCAATTGGAGCCTCGTCAGCTCATGAGTGGCGTGAAGTACCTTTATTTCAGCATAGTAAAGCGTGTAAAAACAATGGAGACGTGCTTTAAGGGGTTCCCTACTCGTCTACTACCTAAATATGTGACTTACAGTGATGAAAATCTGACGCACATGAAGTTTGTGAAGTGAACCGCCAAGCTAGCCGCTCGGTAAAGGGGCCGCTGACGTTACACTAATACAGTTAACTAGCTAGCAAAGTTAGCCAGCTAAAACGCACTGTACAGTTAAGCTGATGATATAGAAATACTTAAAAATAGCTATTTTTTGTTGTATTATAGGTGACAGTGGGGAGAGGGGGTAATTTGGGGAATTAATTAACCGATATTGTGGTCCCTATACGAGCTAGCGACAGGTTAGCTTAGCTTAGCTTAGCTTAGCTCAGCTGGCCATAAACTGTGATACACCAGGCCTCTGATGACTAAAATTGAGTGTAGTCTTTGTCTTTGGGTGGTTCAGTAATAAATAAAGTCGTTAAGGTTTTTTTTCCCATTTTCTTCAATATGTTTGGACACCTAGTATACATGTGTAATAGTGTGCTTTAGCTGTAGTATACGCCAGTCAGTGCTGCTGCCTCTATAGACTGTTATAAAGCACGAGAAGTTTCAGCTTAGCAAGCACTTTTTAAAGCCTACATGAAGGGGTCAGCTGTCCTCCTGTCCAAACTCGGTTTGGTAGGACACTTTGGCTGGTCTGTCATTTTCAAGTTCTTAGAAAGTCAGCTGACATACTGGCACATGACTGTGCCAACTTGTGCTGCTGCATGAGGCAGGTGGGCAATCTGTGTGGCATGCTGTGGACAGGGTTGGGATGTAAAGCTGTAGAAGTATTGGGAATGTATGTATAGAAATTAAGAGTCTGTATTCAATCCAGGTTACGTCCTGTAAAGGCAGTAAGGCTGGCCGATTAATCAGGTTTTATTTTCAATTACGATTTTGGTTTCCAACGATTTTGAAAATAAGATAATCGAGATAAAACGATTATTGTGCTACGCTTCGTTTGGCAGTGATGCTCTCGTTGTGTGTTATAAATGGAGAGCACTGCTTTGCTTTACAGTGGTGCGTTTTCACCCTCCCTAAAAGCCTAAACTCATCTAATTTACTTTGGCCCATTTTATTTTTATTTAGTATTTTTATATATGTATAGTAGTTTTGCAGTACTTTTCTCTAAGTGCACTACAGCATAGTTGATCTTATTTATTTTGATCTTTTTTAGATTAATCGTTTTAATGTGTATCAAAGTTTCAAGATACTTTTTTGTCATTGCACAGAGTACAACAAAATTGGGCATAACTGCATAAACAAAAAAGATTAAGAATAAAACAAAAATGTAAGGTAATATAAAATATAAAATGCAGGATATTAAAGGAAATACTATAAAATTTAAAATGCTAAAAAAGTAAAAAAATAAAATAAAATGATAAAAAGTAAAATAAAAAATAAAAAGCGTGGATATTAAAGAAAGTAGCACCTATGGTATTGCACATGAGGGTATTGCACATATGTCGATGGTAGTGTTTCTATTTACAAGTAGTGCAGATTAATAATAAATATAAAGTGGAAGTGAATGTAAACATCTTTAATATCCCTTGAATATGTTTGGATAGGTGCTGGAAGCCACTCTATATGTTTTATATATATATACACACTGTCTTATTTATTTTATGTCAGTTTTACATTTTTAAAATTAATTTTTAGTAGAATTTTATTTAAAGTTCAAGGAAAAGTTTCAACAAGTGCACAGTGTTTCCAAAGTCAGTGAATAATTGTTTAATAATTGCAATCTCAATATTGACCAAAATAATGTGATTATGATTTTTGCCATAATCGAGCAGCACTAAAGCGCAGTATTCAGAATATAGCTATTTTTTTATTTTTTAGAATACTTACCACTAAATAAAAAAACCAGCTTCAAAAGAAACACCATACCTAGTTTAGAATGTATTGTAAATGTATTCTGAATACATTACTTTTTATGTATTGTAACGAAATATGTTACTGAATACATTTAGGACAGTGTAATCAGTATTTAGCCATCACTGTGTAAATACTTTGTACAAAAACAGTATTTTTTCCATCTCTGCATTTGGTACACATAATTAGGGAAACCTAACTATGATCCCAGAGGGGTTGGGTCCAGCACATACTTGGGGATTTTCCTGCTCACATACATGCTAAACCTGGGAGTGAGCTGGTTGAACCAGATGTGTTGGAGAAGGGAAATGACCTGTGCTGGACTCTAACCCTCGACCTGAGCTAAGCTAAACCAACTCATCTAGTGTTACTGACAAGCTTCCACTATATCTGTTTCTTTAATAAATTCTCACTTTGGTCCTCTCTTTAGTAACCTGCAAAAGTGCTGTGACAGAAACTATTGTAAAACACGCAGCTGGACTTAAACTAAAAATTAAGTTTAGATATTTATCTATATTTATATTTATATTTGGACCTAAACTAAATATAGGTTGCAGAGAAAGGGTTTCTTACCCAGGTCTTCAGTTTTCAGTAAGTGACCAAACTGTGCTGGACCATAGCTGCAGTCTAGGTGGGCTGCATTTCTAGACCACTACATCATCAAAGGTTGTTCCAACCAGAGGAATCCAAAAAATACAGCCAAGAAATGCGGCCTACATTCTGACAATTTATGAAGGATTGTGCTGCTGAGGAACCTTTCTTGGCTGCACGTTAGCTTTTCTAAGGCAGCACGTGACCCGCTAGGACTGAAGTTGACCTCACTTGTTTTGTTTTTTTTAGTCCAACACACCTGACTCCACTCATCAGCTCATTGCCTTTCATGAGTGTAAAATAGGGGTACTATAGCAGGGAAACACTAAAGTGGTCATGGCATCATTTGGAGTCACTGTTTTATACCATTCACAACCCAACACCTCCAGCAGGTTTAGTGGCACTCGAAACAAGCAGTGTTGTACCAGCATGTTTTGCTCCAAGTGACACTTTTATACACATAAGCGAGACGGTTTCCACCAAACACTAGCCTGCTGTGCTGTGAAGAAATGTGGCTATAGTTAATCTGAAATTTCCCCAAAAGGTCATCTGTATGTGTTCTTTGTGCTGGTTAAAGTGCTTACATTAAATAACAAAAGTAAATTGTGTGTAAACTCTAGGTGTCGTTTTTCCAGACAGAGATTCTGATGATTTTTCTCAGTTTCTGCATAGTTTGACTGTTGAAATGTAACCAAAGTCCTTCAGTGAGCTCTTAGGTGAAATTGTAAAGAAACTAACTTACTGTTTTCTCTACAATAGTAGTGCTAGGAACCAGGGGTCGCAATGTCTACAATACCAGTATAGCCATTTTCTCGACTATCCAGAATGATTAGTAAACCTACTTGTGTCTTCTGAGTTTTATATTGCTGTTGTTGGAACAAAACCTTGTATCTCCAAAATGATCACTTTACAGGAGAAGGAAAAAATATGCTTTACTTTTAATGTAAGTCAATGGAACCAGACATTTTCCCAAGTAATTCTGGGCCATTTCTTTTGGTCCATACATGTTGAAATTTACACACAATATGAAGGACAGTAAGTATTTTCAAATTATGTCAAAAACTGAAAAACGACAAAAATGGAGATAAAAGATTTTGGTCCGACAGCAGCGATATGTAACATTGATGACAATAAAATAGTGGTAGATCAGAAAAAACAAGTTTCCAGTGGGGTCTGTTTTGCCTTACAACACCCTGCCTGTATCTCTTCACCATGAATGTGTTTAAAAATATGCTTTAGGTCTAAACTAAAAAAAGGTCATTTGAAAACTGTCATAAAACAAACCACTCTGAATGACGTAGCGATTAAATTATGCAGAAATTTTGAAAATTAAGTGTAATTCACTTTTATGCCTAGGCCTTAGAGTTTTTCTTTCTTAGGGGAGAATCACCATTGAGAATGCTCTGTAGTCCACAGCTATCCTTAATCCTTGTCCAGTAAACCGACCTTAGGTGAGCCGTCAGTTGTCAAGTCAAATGCAACGTTTTGTGTAATATGGTTTTGTAATTTGGTTCTTTTGGAGTGAGAAGCTGTCTTTTAGCCTGCCTGAGGTGGAGCAACCTGGCGTAGCATCACACAATGTATTATGCTTAACTGTTAACAGGTTACAGGGTTCCTGCAGATCCTTAATGAGTCTTATAATGTTTTAAAGACAGTCTAAGATGATACCTGAAGACTGGGTTATAAAGCGTTATTATGTATGTGTAACTAATTCTGGACAGTGAGTACAGGAAACTCATCGAATTTATTGTCCGTAGTTATCGACCAGATGCTTCAGATGCAGCAGATGGAGGTTAGAGCTGAAAAACGCCGACATAATTCTTTCGTTTATTTATTTATACACTCTTTATTTCATTAAAGTCAATTAGTCCCTAATAATGCAATCCTTGTTGTTCACAGACGAGTAAAAATCAGATTAAAGTGGACCTGGTGGATGAGAACTTCACAGAACTAAAGGGAGAGATAGCAGGGCCACCCGACACGCCTTATGAAGGTGAGAACCTCATGCCTGAACTTTTGTGGGACTGCATCCTACCTGATGGACATTTAAGGGATTTCATGGTTAACATTGGATTTCTCATCTTCCATCTATTTGAGATTAGTTTAAGCATAAATAAAGCCAATTTAGAGCTTTAACTACAAAAGCCACAAAACTGTGGCTTACAGCTTTGTTGCTAATGTTTCAATGCAGATGTAGTTCTTCACCCACAGTGCTGGTTAAATTTGAAGAACCAAAGAATGGACAAGTTTCCCAGACAAGACCAAAACAAGGACAAGTTTCCCTGTTAAGGGTTAAGCCTAGTGCTGGTCTTCCTAGAATTCTGAATGAAGGTTCTCCTTTGAAAGGAAAATACAGGACTTGGCTTAATCCCTGCCTGGGAAACCAACCCTGCATATCCACAAGTTTGTAGACACCTGTTCATCTGGTCAGGGGTATTAATATGATGTTTGTTCGCTCTTGCAATAGGGTCATTCTACAGAAGCGTCCACTTTTTTATCTATCCATAGGTGTCACTGGTGTTACCAATCCTCATTGGTGTTACACATAAGAAAGGTAACACCAGTGACATTTTTAATGAAAAATGCATTTTGCAAAACAGCTGCTACAGAGCATCAAACCTCATGTTGTCAATCATGGAATATCCACTAAAATATGTAATTTAATCCATTTGCATTCTGTTTTTTCACAATTATCTAAGAATAAAGTAGGTCACACCAGTGACTTCAACTAAAAGCTTTGTATGAAATCATGAGCTAAATGAGAAAATGTCTGATAATTGAAAGACACAGTGGGCTCACCATGTGCTTTTCTTCATACATGTTCAGAAAATAGGTAAAAGGAAGTCAAGTGATGTCATCAGTGTGATTTTTATTTCAAAATAAGAGATTTTTTGTTACGCGGTGACACCAGTGACACGACTCCTGGGACCAACTTTCATTATATATTTTATAATATTTATTTGGCATTTGTTTTCTTTGTCATTTAAATCATATATTTCGGAGTCATGTATAGATTATTGCAGTTAAAACTGCAGAAAAACGTGTTTTTTTTTGTTTTGTTTTTTTTCTTCAAAATATGGCCTCAACCATTACACATGACTGTGGGGACGAGCTCTTCTGTGGTACTTGGAATTCTAGAATTCTAGCTAAATTGAGGCTCAAGAAGGTTTAATTGTTAAAATAACTTATTGTTTTCATTTAAAATATAAATAAATTGTAACTCTAACGTGTTGGTATGTAAGTGTAATGTATCTGTAAACGCTAGGGTCACAAAAAAGGACGTTTCTGTAGAATGACCCAGAAACAGCCTCTTCTCTTCTGGGCAGGTTTTACACTAGATTTTGGAACATTGCTTTGAGAACTTGTTTGAATTCAGCCTTCAGAGCATTTGTGAGGTCAGATACTGATGTTGGATGAGTGGTTCAGGATCACAAACACTACTCCAACTCTTGTTCGATGGAGATTCATCACTCCAGAGAATGCAGTTCCCCTGCTCCGCAGCCCAATGCACTTTGCATTGGGCATGGTAACCTTAGGCTCATGTGCAACTGCGCTAGAGCTTCCCATACTATTGGAGCAATCATTGCACTTTAAAATAGGACTTCACCAAATTGAAAGGGTATCTGCGTACTTTTGGACATATAGTGAATATAATTATCTTTGACTGTTACAGGATTTGTATGAACAAATAACCATTATCTGTACACATTTGTAGAGCAACTTACTGATCTACTTTTACTGATCTGATCTACTACTACTGTCAGATTTCACCTCGCTCTTGAATGATAATCTGTCAAGAATGTTTCAGCTTTGAATTGTTTACAACATATATAGCAGCATTCTGAGGAGAACTGAAACTGTTCAGAAGAGTAAAACCAGCCCATGTTTTTTCTCTAGTTTTTGTACATTTTGTCTGAAATTTCTTAAAATCGTGTCTCTTGTGTTAATGCCTGTGTTTTTGTTTCTCAGGTGGTAGATACCAGCTAGAAATTAAAATTCCAGAAACATATCCGTTCAATCCGCCAAAGGTATGTGTGAGCATGGGCTCATGTGCCTAATCAGGTTCTGCTGGATTTGAGACCAGTTTCTGTGTGGGTGAGAGGTGGGGGGTGGTGAAGGGATTTTGAAATGGAGAAACAAGGGTTTTAGAAGAAGAAAATAATTTAGTTTTATTTTCCCTGTCATATAATTTTTTAATAATAAAAAAATAGCGAACTATAAACTAAGGGCATAACGTTTTTGTATTGAAAAATCAGTTTTGGAACAGTGTATCGAACAAAAATTGTATCACTGATGCGTCGCTTGGCCCCTTCCAAGAATTTTGTAGTATCTTTTGCAGAAATTACTTTTATTTAACAAATCTAAGCATCTAGGAGCATCCTATCCAATTAAAATGAGCAGAGCTTTTCATGCTTTTATGCTGTAACGACTTGACTTTTTATAAATCAGTGAAATTTTGTTAGAGTGGTGCAGAAGCTGTTGAAAGTTCTATATTTATCTGAACCAAAACAATATGTTTAGTTTTATAATTGGAACTCTGAATATGTAGTTACATTTTTGTTCGTTTATTTGTTTTTTTTTTCTTATGTTCCAAATAGAGCAGGTAGCAAATATGTACACATCTAAACATTGATGTTAACCTGATGGCACACCCTCCCTCCTCTGTTTTGTCCCAGGTACGATTTATCACGAAGATCTGGCATCCCAACATCAGCTCAGTAACTGGTGCCATATGTCTGGACATTCTAAAGGACCAGTGGTGAGACATTTCAGTGCATGAAGTAGGGTTGTGCAGTGTATAATGTGTCAATCATTATTGCAATATTTGCTTTTTGGCAATACTTACATCAGAATTGTCAAAAAGCCAATGTAGAAGGCTGCACTATGCAAATGAATGCTCCAGCCACTTTTTAATGTGTTTTAGCCGCAAAGTTCAATGTTTGGGTGTTCGGATGAGTTAAGATATTCTTGTAAACTGTTCTGGTCAGAATAGTGCGGGCAGTCTTTAACCAGACATCATTGTTTCACTCATGTGTTTTTAATAATGCAAGGCATATTGCAATTGCAATATGTTTATATAAAATCTCTGTAAGACTATTTTATTATAATGCAGCCCTAGTATTTTTGTAGATGGTAATTTTGTTGCTTTAGGACAGTGATGGTGTGGTGGTCTGGGGGCCAAAAGGACAAAACAATGCACAAACCAAATTTAACTCAAATATTTAAAATTGTATTTTAAAATTAGACTTTGGCAAATTCTTTTGAGTGTTAACAGACCATTATTAGTCAGTGATTAACTGTTAACTAGCGAACCTAAAATTGTAGACACGACACATGAAAACATCAAACGCAGCACTGTGTTTTATATTAACAAGGCTTTAGGCTTTATTAAAAGAAAAAAGTAACATAAAACAGTAACATAATGTAGTCTATTCACTTACTGTTACCACATATTATTAGACAAGTCAGTGAACATACATGGCCTTAGCTTGAAGTTCTTATGCATAGTTTAAACAACAGTCAACATAGAGTTGGTAGGCCTACAACAAGGTAAATGTGAATGGGATGTTGAGTTGAGTTGATGTAAATAAAAGAAAGCAGTCATGCATTAATTGAGACACATCATAAGACTCATGAAAACTTCTTACTTGGTGCTATAAGAGGGCAGGGGAAGTAATTAATTAATCATCAGCTCAAGTGATTGTAACAGCCCTAAAAGTCAGTAGCTTGCAGCTTTTAAGCTTTTTGTTATGGGACTAACACAATTGTAGGCTATAACTTAAAGGAAGTTCAAGTAATTTTTTAAAAATTTCTGTAGAGTTCAGTCATTGATATGTAAGCAAAGTAATTCAGAGAGGTTTCATATGAAATGATTAAATGTGGAGAAACTTGCCAACTTAGATTTCTTAACTGTGATGTTAATAGGAGCCACCCCTGGTTCCTGTCGCCACCAGTGTAAAGAAATCCCACTTTGTCTGCAGCACACAAATTGCCACTCAAATGACCAGTGAACCTACACACATCTTCTGATTTTTTTTCATGGTAAAATATTGCTAAATCTGGAAAAATACATTTTCTTTAGGTACCATTTTGCTTCACAACACCCTACATACCCCCCTCTGCCATGAATGCCTTTTAAAAATATGTTTCAGGCCAAATCCTTACCACAAATCTTTAGTAAAACAATGTCTCAGACATCAGGCAGCAAATTCTTAACAATATAACATACAAACTTTCTGTGAGGTAGATTTTAGAGGCATTGAACGCTTCAGATGTCTGGTTCCCATCACCGCCACTGTGAACAGTTCTGACTTTCACACCAAGCCATTATGAAATACTTTGTTTACATCCGAAATATTTAATTTTGCACAAATTTTGAAAAATAGGTGAAATTCCCCTCTAAGGCTACACTCAACAGAAGCAACATGATGTTTAATAATAAAAAAAAATAAATAAAATTAGTTGTTGCCTACTTTAGCCTTGTGTCTTGTGGCTAAATATCCTAATTGTGGCATCGACTCCCGAAAACCTGGGATGTGAATAACTAAGTAGGCCTCTTCTTTTATGGGTAGAAAAGTTTTAAGATAAAAGACGATGCAACAGTCATGTACATTCTATTTTCGTTTTGTTGTTTACATGTTTTGTAAATAAATGTAAGTTCTCCTGATAGACTAGGTGGGTGATTTGTGCTGCTTGCTTGTGAGTAGTTCTCAGTCATTGTTAGTCCTTGCCAGCTCAGATGCCCTCGAGACGTCCCTGTACTCAGTCACTAATGTCTAGCATTCTAACCCAGGGTTATATATCTCACTTAACAATGCCTATGTAGTTCAAAATAAATGTGTACGTCCAGTGTGATTTATCGTTGTACTCGAATGGTATCTACTAACTCTTTCATTCATTCCTAGCAACATTAGCATTTAGGTGCAAAGTATACCTTGAAAATGAAAGGCTCCCCCTCTTTGTGTGTGCAGGGCAGCAGCCATGACACTCCGGACGGTGTTGCTGTCTCTACAGGCTTTATTGGCAGCCGCAGAACCAGACGATCCACAAGATGCAGTAGTGGCCAATCAGGTACGGCCTGGATATTATTTCTTGGTTTCTAGTGATAGACAGCAGATTTGTATGTAGTTTAGTACATTAAGTAGTGTTGTGATATTTGTGTTCTTAATGACCAACAAAACTAACATCTGGGGGTTCAGTGCAGGTTAGAACTAAACCATGCAGGAAAGTGGATCTACAGGAAGAGGGTTGGTGACCTCTGCTTTGTAGATAGAAGAGCACTTTTTAACAATTTTTCCATAATATTATGATATTTAGATTTCATATTTGTGTTGGTAGATAAAAAGCTATGATGTTCATATTGTGATAATTGAAATTGAAATTTGGTTTTACCTAAATTCCTGGCCGAAACTGAAATTTAATACACACCTGGCTGAAAACTGACTTCCAAAAAAAAATTTGTTTGTTTATTTGTTTTATTGTTTTATCATTTTTATTTATTTATAAACCTACTAAAATGATTACAGTATGTAGGCTAAGCAATGCTCCACAAAATCTGATGTCCTCAATAATAGAATGGTTGGTCATGCAAGCCAGTGAATGAATTTTTTTTTAGTTATACTTAAATATTACTTAAAATAATAAAATTGTCTTGTTCCATTAGCAATTTTTTTGTTTATTTCAACATAGAATGCAAATTATTTGCATTCTGTGTTAAAATGCTTGTTTCAAAGAATAATTAAAATGAGTAAAATTATTTGCCAATGGAATAAGACAGCTTTACTACATACATAAATATGTTAAATTATCTTATGTCTTAATAATTAGAAATATTAGATTTTTTTTTTGCTAGATTTAAGATCATTTCCAAGACTTCAAGTTTTCATGATACAGTATTTATGCCTTGAGAATGCATGTGAAAGGGAGTTCTTGTATACATCAGTATGAGCATATACTGGAGATCCAACAAGTGCATTTGTAGAAGAATTTGTGATTAAACTAATGTGTTGTGGTTTTGTGTTCTTGGCCTAATCTCTACTATATCTTTACTGTTTTTAATACCATCATGTGATAGATTTTCTTTTCCCCCCTCAGTATAAGCAGAACCCAGAGATGTTCAAGCAGACGGCCCGACTCTGGTCACATGTTTACGCAGGTGCTCCTGTCTCTAGTCCAGACTACACACGCAAAATAGACAAACTCTGTGCTATGGGCTTTGACAAAGTAAGTATTACACAAAATGTAAATGAACTGTGCTAAAAACATAAGTAACATCTGCCGCTTGTCGCACATTCAAGTTGGACAGGATTCCTGACTCAGAGAACCTAATAAATGCAACTGTGGTTCGCTTGTTTAACAGAAGTGGTTAACAACTTTGCTCCATTAACCCAGGTTTAGATACTCAAACTACAGCCATTTGATCATTTTCGGATGTCATTTTCCAAATATTTGTTGGGCTTGGGTCAGATTCTAATTTCACAGTGGGGTTCTCACAGCCTGTGTTGCATTTCCCCTGCTTTAGTTTTTCTGCAAACCCATGTAATGTTTCACCTTTTAACCTCATTGTTTTTTGTAAACACTTTTTTTCAAACTGATGCCTGTAGCTCGTTCCAAAAAGTTGGGATAGGAGCAATTTAAGAGAAAGAATTGTTCAAGAAAAGATGCATCAGTTTCCAAATAACATTCCTCGGTGAGCGATTGCAAGGTTTTTTGGTATTTCACTCTCTGCAGTGCATATTATCATCAAAGGACTCAGGGAATCCTTAGGGAAAAAAAGGGCAATGACAATCACAACTGAATGCCTGTGACATTCGATCCCTCAGATGTCAGTGCATTAAAAACCGGCATGTTTCTCTGATGGATATCAACACGTTGTTCAGGAATACTTTGACAAACCGTTGTCAATAAACAATCATCTGTTTCTGCATCCACACATGCGAGTTAAAACTGTATTATGCACAGCGGAAGTCATGTATCAAGAGCAACCAGAAACGCTGCCGACTTCTCTGGGCTCAAGTTCATCTGAAATAAAATTATGCAAAATGGAAAAGTTTTTTTGTGGTCAGATTGTTTATGGAAATAATAAACCTCGTATTCTCTGGGCCAAAGAAGAAAAGGTCTGTATTGTTACCAGCGTAAAGTTCAAAAGCTAGGGTCTGTCATGGTATGGGGGTGTATTCGTGAGTAACTTGCATATTTTTAAAGGCACTATTAATACTGAACACATTTTGGGCAACAGATTCTGCCTTTTAGACGCCATCTTTTTCAGGGATACCCATTCTTATTTTGACATAACACCAAGCCACATTTTGCACATGTTAGCAGAGCATGGCTGCATAATCATAGAGTGTGGGTGCTAGACTGGCCTGCCATTCAGTCCAGAACTGTCTCCCACTAAAATGTGTGCAAACCTCAACAATGAAGGACCCATACAGTTGCACAGCTGAAGACTTATATAAATGAAGAATTTAGAACTGGGTCAATTCGTGTCTTCAGTCCCCAAGTGGAACATAATAAAACTTAATAAAAGTGCTGCTGTAAGGAAAGGTGATGAAACACAGTGGTAAACATGCTTCTGTCTCAACTATTTTAGAATGTGTTGCAGGCATCATATTTAAAATGAGCTTATGTTTAAAAGAAATTCATGAAGTAAAACTTTTTTGTACGCGTTTTTATTAGCATTTTACACACTGTCCTACCTTTTTGGAATTCAGTTTGTTTTTTACTGTATTCCTCCTCCCTACTTTCATTATATTAAAACAGTTTTTACTCTGGCATGCTGGAATCACCCAGTAGTGTTGTTGACAGAATTCAGCACCAAAATCCATGAGGCCCCTTCCTAAATAAATGTCAAATCAATTCAGGAAAGTACAGTTTATTACAGCCTAAAGGCAAAATGTTTTTGTTATCTTTTTAATATATTATACAGTCGTTTCCAAACGTTTGGGCGCCCCTGTCACTTTACATGTTTTGTTGATTTTCTAAGTGACACATCCTCTACACTTTTTAATACACTAACACTGTTTATTTACTGAATTTCACATACTGGGGAAATAATGAAACATAACTTTTGCACAGGCCACAATTTATCCCACATTTAATATTTATGGTATATTTCTTTTCTAAAAAAAACATACTGTGCTTTAAATTTTGCAGAAAAATGTCTATATGTTAGTTCTTTGTAGAGGGTGTGTTCACTTACCTTCACATAGAAAATCAACAGAACATGACCGTGGATATTCAAATTTGTGCATACAGCTTTAACTCTGTCATACTTGCTTTCTTGCTGCACAAACCTAAAAATCCAAATCTTGCAAACTACACTTATTTAGTTACTAAAGTGTTTGTGTACCTGAAGCTGCTTCAGATAAACTTTTACTCAACTGTTTGGAGTTATTAGAGCTGATGGGGTTAACATAATTAGTAGGAGAGAGATCTGAGTGCTGCTTCGATCAATAATAGCTATCTCTGCCAGCCCTCTGCTTGTATTGAGATCAGCATTAATGTCTGTAATGCTTTTGCATGTGATCAATATCATTGATGCTTCTCAAGTTATTCTCGGCATAAATAATTCAGTCACGTAGCTGTGTGGTCACTTCAGGTGTTTTTCCACCAGGCAGCACCGTTATTAATCCGAACCCAGTTACTTTTTCACATGGGTGTTATACACCAATCAGGCATAACATTATGACCACCTCCTTGTTTCTACGCTCATTGTCCATTTTATCAGCTCCACTTACTATATAGGTGCACTTTGTAGTTCTACAGTTACAGACTGTAGTCCATCTGTTTCTCTGGATACTTTGTTAGCCCCCTTTTACCCTGTACTTCAGTGGTCAGGACCCCCATGGACCCTCACAGAGCAGGTACTATTTGGGTGGTGGATCATTCTCAGCACTGCAGTAACACTGATGTGGTGGTGGTGTTAGTGTGTGTTGTGCTGGTACGAGACACAGCAGTGCTGCTGGAGTTTAAACACCTCAGTGTCACTGCTGGACTGAGAATAGTCCACCAACCAAAAATATCCAGCCAACAGCGTCCTGTGGGCAGCATCCTGTGGGCAGCGTCCTGTGACCACTGATGAAGGACTAGAGGATGACCGACACAAACGTCTGTCGTCTCTGACTTTACATCTACAAGGTGGCCTGACAAGGTAGGAGTGTCTAATAGAGTGGACAGTGAGTGGACACAGTGTTTAAAAACTCCAGCAGCACTGCTGTGTCTGATCCACTGTTTCCAGCACAACAACTGAAGAACAGGGTAAAAGGGGGCTAAGAAAGTATGCAGAGAAACAGATGGTAATTGTAGAACTACAAAGTGCACCTATATAAGAAGGAGAGCTGATAAAATGGACAATGAGTGTAGAAACGAGGTGGTCATAATGTTATGCCTGATCGGTGTAGGTGTTGTAAAACTTTTGTCCTTTTATAAATGAAATGATCATTTCTCATGCTCTCCTTGTCTCGTTACATTTATTTTAAGGGTCTGAAGTGTCACAAATATGCAAAAAATAGAGAAAATGAGGAAATAACGGCACCTTATGTTCTTATTCAGCATGATGGATCTTGGCAATGGAGTAACTGAATTAAGCACGGGTACTGAGATATGGTACGGTTCATTTGGCAGTGGAAATGATGGTAAAATCACAGATTGGGATCCGTGCTGTCCAGTAGAAAAATGACTTGTGTTTGCTGTGTCAGAGCCAGTGTGACATTGAGCCTGTTTCTGTCTCTTACAGAACGCAGTAATAGTGGCGTTGTCGTCGAAATCCTGGGATGTGGAGACAGCGACAGAGCTGTTGCTTAGCAACTGAACCCAGCGTGGGGAGCAGAAGCACCACCACCACTGACCCCCAATTTACCGAATTTTACCCCCCACCCCCTGACCCACGTGACTCTGCCCACATCAGACCTGGATTCATGAACAAATTGCACCTGAATACCACAAGCCACACTGTCTCTCGCTCTCTCTTTCTTTTTCTCTCTCTCTTTCTGGTTCTTTCTTTCTCTCTCTCTCCCTCTGGTTACCTTTTCCCCACCTCTGCCAACCTCCTTGATTTCTATTAGTCTGTTCATCTATACATTTTCTCATTCTTGCTTTCTTTTGGTTTCTTTTGCCCTCTTCTTTTGGATTAAGCGTGCCTTTCTTTCTTACTTTCTTTCCTCTACATTCTCTCGTCACTCCTTCCTTGTCTGATCACATCATTCTCTCTTTATCACCTACATCATCATCCTCCTCCTCCTCCTCCTCTTCAGACTGGTAATGTGATTCTGATCTAACTCTTACCACCATGCTGGACCGTCCCCAACACCACCCACATTTTCGCACAATCACTTGAGCCCCTTTTATGTGGAATTCCATTTTTACAGTGACAGTAAGTCAGACAAGCAAAAGAAAATTACACCAGTACTCACCGCTCTTCACAGGTAGTGTTATCTCAACCAATCAAGACTGGAATATAATTAAAAAATTTAAAAAAAGCGAGAAAAGAAGAAGAAGAATGAAAAAGAGAAAGAAAATCAACCCCACTGAACAAAACAGCGCCTGCAGAAACGTCAGAAGAAAACAAAAAGGTTTCATCTGTAAATAAAGCTATTAAAGTCTGTATAAATTAAAGCAATGTGGCAATGCTCTTATTTATTATTGTTTTAAGTAAACAATAAAGCAGAACAGTTTTGTGGCTAATGGAGCAAGTTCATCGTCCAGTATGTGAAGTGTTTTCTTTCTCTTCAGGGTGTGTTGGACTGCTGAAGTAATTGCAGATACTGTAGTAGTATTCTGTCTAATCTATTGCAGATGAATAAAAGTGGAAAGGAAATATGTCAAGGTCTGGGTATATTAGCAAACAGTCAGTTGTCATAGTCAATGTGTCGGATGTGGGAGTAACCATGAAGACCCGAGCGACTTTTGGGCAAGGGCCAAAGCGTTATGGCTGGATAACGGGATCTTGTGGGCTGCTCCCAGTCAGCAGTAATGACTAACTACCAACAGGAGGGACAAACAAAGAACCTGTGTCCAGGTGGTGGCCACCCAAGGCTCATCGATGCACAAGGGCAATGAAGGATACCTTATCTGGTTCAAACCAACAGAAGCACTACTGTGGCACAAGTCACAAAAATGTTTAATGATGATAACACAAGGACTGTGCCAAAACACAGTGCATTGCACCCTGCTGTGTAGCTGCAGGCTGGTCAGTGCCCACGCTAATTTCTGTGCACTGTTGCAAACACGAGTGCTGGAACTGGACCTCGGAGCAAGTGAAGGTCTGGTGAGGCACCTGGTCTGACGAGTCCTTTTTTCTTTTACATCTCGTAGACAGCCAGGTTCATGTGTGCTGTTTACCTGGGAAGTCATGGCACCAGGATGCCCTGTACAAGACAAGCTGGTGGAGGGAGTGTGATGCTCTGGCCAATTCACAGTGTCACTCTGACATTTGTCTAAACATTGCTGTGGACCAGGTACACCCCTTTGTGGCAGTGGTATTCTCTGACGGCAGTGGCCTCTTTTAGCTGGATAATGCGCCCTACCACACTGCACGTTGGAATAGTTTGAGGATCAAGCTGAAGACTTCAAGGTGTTGCCCTGGCCTCCAAATTCCACAGATCTCAATCCGATCAAGCATCTCTAGGATGTGCTGGAACATCAAGTCCGATTCACAGTATCTCTACTTCGCAACTTACAGGATTTAAAGGATCTGCTGCTAATGTCTTGGTGCCAAATACTACAGAGCACCTTCAGAGGTCTTGTAGAGTGCCTTGGTGGGTGGACAAGCATATTAGGCAAGTGGTCATAATGTTTTGGCTCATTAGTGCTCAATTCAAATACGCAATTAGTTCAATCAATCACAGATTTATGCATTTATTCATTTAACCATTACACCTGCAAAGGCTGGTCTAAGTGACACCAGGACAGAAAACTGCAGTTAATACACTTTTGGTCAATCCTGAAAATGTTTACTTACTACCACTACACATCAAACTTGCCGACTGATGAAGACCTTTGACTAGGCAATGGATAAAAATTATGCTGGATTGATGTCAGAATAATCAAAGAAGGCATTATTGTAGGCTGTAAGATTATAAAAGTAATACCAAAACTTGTTTGAAAACGGGAAGAGCAGAAAAACAGCCAAGTGACCTACCAACATCACACAGCTATGGTATGAAATACGTCATTAAAACTACAGTTTCTAGACCAGATTTCTTATCTGAGAGAATTTCCGCCTAGTGTGTTTGCTGACCACTGTTGGACCGGCAAAATATCTAGAAGTAAAATACAGCAGAAAATTAATTACTGTAACTTTTGGGAGAATTACGCTGTATGTTTTCTAGAAAATGTTAGGTTGCTCTTTATTTTGAATTTCCCCTATATATGATCTAAAGATACTTCAATTATTAACAAACTTTCTGGTGATACTTCATTGATTATCAATAACATTATGGTTAGGGTTATATTTAGGAGTAGGTGAAGTTTTTGTCTTGAGGTTAGGGTTAGGGTTAGGTTTAGGGGCAAATTTAATAGAATCTACAACACTCAACTTCAAGTTCAGTTGCTTTTATTTGATATTTAGTTGAATGTTACTTAAAGAAAGACTGAGCAGCTACAGTGAACCATCCAAATAAAGTGTTAGCAATTATTAATGGTGTTGCAAAATCTCAGGGTGGTTGAATTCAGTGCAAAAAACTATTATAATCACCTACTTCAGTTCATGTGACCAAGAAAAATGTTCATGTTTTGTCATCTGTTGTTATTAGGCAGATATCCAAGAATGATAACTGGAACAGTCCCAATCAAATGTAATTGATATTGTGAAGTAGAATGATCCCAGTCAACTTTCATCGATACCATCTTAACCTCACAGATACATTAAATCGTTCAGCTGAAAATCCTGCTTGGCACTGCAGTATAACCTCCAAGACCACAATGTGCCTGTCATCCATTCTCAGAATGGGAAATCAATTCAGCTGGAACTAATGCCTTATATCCTACCTGCTTTTAGGAGCATGGAGTCATGTCTCTGCAAATTTGAGTAGCATAATAAGAGTCTCCTAATCCTCTGTATCAGAGGCAGTGCTAATCCTGGAGGTTTTTCTAGCTCTCACTACATCTGACTCAACTCATCAAGGGGTTATTCATTTGCTGATGAGGTGAATTAGGCATGTTGGAATGGAGTAAATGTTGAACTGCAAGCTGCGTCGGCCTTCTTGTTTTGGAACAAGAGTATGAAGTGTTCTTTTAAAGAATGTAATCTTTTAAGGCTGTAAATTTCTGACCTAACAAGGTTTCAAATCAGTTAAGATTGTTTAGGAAGATGCTAATGAAATCTTAGATTTCACCACAATTTACTTAGATTACGATTCTTTATTAAATGAGTGAAGTCTCACAATCACACCCACTGAACACTAATCGATTCACTTAGTTACATATGAATAAGAATTACACAATGTAAATATACTATATGGCCAAAAGTATGTGGACATTCGACCATCACACCTACCCAGATAGCAAGCATATCTTCACTGTCCAAAGGAATAAGTATCACCAAAATAGTGACTTAACAGGAGGGGGAAAAATGTAACTTTCAATGTAAGTTAATGTAAAGAGGTCTTATTCCTAGTGTTTTAGGAGCATCAGCACCCTGTTGATTGTTTGCCACTGCCGGTCCATCCTTGGACCACCCAGATTTCTGTCCTGCATACAAATCTAACTAGGTCTATTTTCAATGTCCTTAAACAGATTTGAATTCTACATAGTCTTTTATTTTGGAAAATAAACTATGACACACATCACAAACTACTGAGAGAAAAAAAATGACTAGGCCTTGTTAACACTGTGCTAGATTGGTTAAAGCAATATGTCTGGCTTTACTTATGATATTGCTGTTTATTTACTAAACCAATTTTCAAAGCGTACTAAAAGAAAGAAATTAATGAAAAATAAGAAAATTGAATTGTGAGCAGAAAATGAGTGACTGAAAGTGGCATTTTGTCTAGTACTCTGCTTAATCACCAGTGGGCTGCCGGGAGAAAGGCAGTGGGCCACCAGCTTTGCCATCAGCAGGCCAACAGTGGTCCACTATCTTATTGCTACATGAGCTTGTTCGACATCTAATTCCAAAACCATGGGCATTAAAACACTATATGGACAAAAGTACTGGGACACCTACACATTAAACTTGCAGAAGCTTTTTGACATCCCATTCTAAATCCATTGGCATTCATACGGAGTTGATCCCCCTTTGCAGCTATAACAGCTTCCCCTCTTCTGGAAAGCTTTCTACAAGATTTTGGAGAGTGTCTATGGGAATTTCTGCCCATTCACCCAGAAGAGTACTTGTGAGGTCAGACACTGAAGTTGGGCCTGGCTCACAATCTCCGTTCTAGTTCATCCCAAAGGTGTTTGATGGGGTTGAGGTCAGGGCTCTGTGAGGGCCAGTCAAATTCTTTCACACAAAACTCACCCAGCCACACCTTTATGGACCTTGCTCTGTGCACTGGGGCTCAGTCATGCTGGAACAGAAAAGGTCCTTCCCACAAAGTTGGAAGCATACAATTATCCAAAATGTCTTAGTTTGCTGAAGCATTAAGATTTCCCTTCACTGGAACTGAGGGGCCTGAAAAACAACCCCATAGCATTATCCCTCCTCCACCAAACTTTACAGTTGGCGCAATGCAGTCAGGCAGGTAATGTTCTCCTGGCATTCGCCAAACCCAGACTCGTCCATCAGACTGCCAGATAGAGAAGCGTGATTCATCACTCCACAGAATGCGTTTCCACTGCTCCAGAGTCCAGTGCCGGCGTGCTTTACACCACTCCATCTGAGTGCTTGGTGATGTAAGGCTTGCGTGCAGCTGCTCGGCCAAACTTACCAATCCATGTGTTTATGGACCTCGCTTTATGCACATGGGCACAGTCATGCTGGAATAGGAAAGGGTCTTTCCCAAGCTGCTGCCACAATGTTGGAAGAATATAATTTTCCAAGATGTCTTTGTGTGCTTTAGCATTCGCATAACCCTTATTTTCTCAAGATTTTAACCGATTATGTCGATATAATGTCTTTTCTCGAGATTTTGACTGATTATGTGTATATAATGGCTTATTTGCAACAGGACATTTCCACAGTGTTATAAACAATAAATGTAGCACTGATCTTATTAGACTTTATTACCCTTTATCATTAAACACAGGCATGCACAAATGATTACAGCTGACTAATGCTTGATTGATAGCTAACACATTTTAGCATCACTTAACACCCTCATTTGACCCCTCCCAACTCCATAAAAACTGCTCCCCCACTCAAAATTCACTCAAAATCAGGTGCCTATGAGTCTAAGTGTAAATGGCCAGCTATACCCACAATGTACAAATGCCAATACATTATTGCTACTACAGAATGACATTGAGAACACATGTAAGTGTACAAATGTAGCTTTTTTATACATCATCATATATGCCAGGTAATTATCATAATGTTAAGTTTGTATATCGGCACATTCCTTACAGTTTGACACTTCAGATCAGTGTGGACCAAAACACTGATATATATTTTCACATTCCTACTGTCTTGGTCTTTAGATCAGAGAGAGGGCACAGTTGGGAGTGCAGGAGGTGCAAAAAGCAATAAGTGAACTTGAGCAGATTTTAGTTGTTCTAGCGCATCTGTGCCACTGGGGGAGATTTATTCCCTGCAGCTATTATGACATGACAACAAGCTGCCATTGATCATTTGCACAACATGCCACATAGTGAGGCGTGATTTAAATCCACAGGAAATCAGTAAAGCACCGATTCCTTGCATAATAGAAAAGGGAATTGAACT